CTTTCCAATATTTTGCTATCAAATCTACATGTACAGTATCTACATGTACAGTTGTACACTTAAAAGTCAATGTAAAGCTGTAAAGGCACGATATATAAGTTTTTCAGCTGCACGGTTCGAATGAATTTTAATATGTATCGCCAATAGAATGACAATTATGACAGTGAGTGAGTTTGGAAAGATATGATGCATACTTGGCAAATTGGTATAGAAACAGAAAGGAAAGACTACCAGGTATGGGGAAGGACCTGGTAAGTGACCCATTATACTCAATACATGTTTTTGTCTTTTTGTTTGGATTTGGAATAGATCACAAACTGACCTCAAAGGCCCCATTCACACAATAGGATACACCATATGAACATGTAGGGGTTACTATAGGGAATGAGCCTCTCATAGCACCAAACCTACATTGTACATGTACATGTAGGTCTGTGTCATTAAGTCACTGCCTCACTAGTGTTTACAAAATAAATACCAAAATTGGTCTACGCAAGATTTAATTTACTTAAATTTGCTACATTACATGATGCAGGGACTCTGTAAACCCTGCTACAAATTGGGAGTTTCAAAGCAAAAAAAAGGAAATCTTCAATAATTATTTTCCCCTATTCAAATACAAATATGATCTCCCCTGAACTACTGTAATCCATGCCAATTAAGACAAACCTATTCAAACCTTTTCTATGGGTAAAGCTTAGAACAGTAGGAGTGTCAAGATTTATAAGCTCGTATAAATGGAAATAAGACAACCTATAGCAAAGCACTATCATGTATTAAAGGTCTGATATTTCTGGAAGCATCCTCAGTGGAGCAGAAACGATGTACACATAAAGGGCTACATGAAGTGCAGTGCAAGACAGCTTTCCCTTTTTCAGGACAGAATTACTGGTTATTGTGAATAAAACATCTTCTGTGCGTTGTACATGTACATGGAGACATTTATTGGCAAGCATATTACGATCTGTATTATGTGCTAGATCATACATGATATTATCTCTGAGAAGTTGAAGGTGCTCATACATATAACTGTGTCCAATAGTAAAATGAGATAGATTGATAAAGAAGGGTAGAATAACAATATCACAGACTATGTGATCATCATAAAGAATGGTAGAGTGTTGTTGTTGAACATTGTGTATCAGTAATACAAATCTGTTTTTTTTTTTTACTTTTTCTTTTTTTTTGGGGGGGGGGGGGTTACATTTAGATGTGTGCATCTTTTTCTTCCTAAAGAAATACTTATGTATTTCTATGTAACTTATGTAATTCTATATTAATATTGTTTTACAGATCTATACAGGTACATATACATGTAGGCAGCGGCAGTGGTCTTACACCTCCACTGCCGCTGCCTACACGTACATGTACATGTATACAGCACATATCATTATTCCTGAAATGGAGAGCTCAACATACTCATTTGATACCAATGGCACAATCTGCAGTGAAAAAGATTTAATGAAGAGGCTAAGAAATGCAACTACATGTAATGCAATCAATTATTTCAACTTAATTAAAACTACATGTAAGTACATGAATGTATTTCTATGAAGGAAGAAAGGGAACTAATTGGTCTGAAAAACCAAGACTACAGGAAATGAACTAGAGGCATCATACTGGCAAGGGGAAATTGCAGGTCTACCAAACTTTACAAGATGTACACAAACATGTAGGTATAAAAAAAATCAGATCATAGATCTAGATCTATGGAGCTTTCATACGAAAACAGCTGGATATCAATTAACATCACACGGATTATGTTGAAGATATTTAAATGGAAGATGCCATTCTACACATGCCACCCCAATATATCGGTAATGAATGAGGACATACTGGTAGACCACCTGAAGAGGGGATGGTCTTAAATTGTCAGAGAATGTACACCTCTGTCGAACAATGTTTATGGTTGAACTTTTCAAACGTATAGTTTAAAAGAAATCCAGAGGGTTTATTAACACATTTTACAGCTTCCAAGAAAGAACATTAAAGGATCCTTTTTTATGTTCTTTCTTGCTCTATTATGCTTAAACCTTTCAAATACAGTGAAAGGAATCCAGAGAGTCTATTACAGATAGTTTCCAAGAACGAATAAAAGAGTACTAATGAGATTAATCCAGCTTTATAGAGCTTGACTCAATTCTCGCTACCCCAAATAGCGATTCTGCCGAGATCCGGGGAAAATCCTGAAAACGCGCATTGCATTATGGGATAGCTTTTCGACATTACAGCTTCCTGTGCAGGCGCGCGATAGCGCAAACGTAAAACGCCGTCGCCACACAACGTGTATGCACCGAATATGTCGTCTGCTCGGTCTTGTTTTTTTTCGCAAATATTTCAACGTTTATTTGAACATTTCATTCGTTGTTTTTTGCGTCTTTTGACATCAGTGACGATGGTTTTCTTTTGTGAGGCTGCACAGTGCTGGGCTCATGATTCCAAGCGTAAGAACCCTGAAAAATGGGGGTGGATGAAGGCCGTGACTTGGGATGGGACTCTATACCGGAAGTTGTAGTGACGACCCGAGAGAGTGAAAATTACCTCGTCTCGCGAATTTCGAGATTTTCGTACCTATTTAGGGTAGCGAGAATTGCAGTGCTCTATTCAAATACCAGAAGGTAGGGGGGTGATTGAGGTTACATTATCAACCAGATTTCTGGCTAGAATCAGGTTTCTCAAACATCTTTCAGGCAAATTTAGAAGGTGATAAACGCAAAGCCTTTTTCAAACGTCTTTAGATATGGGCATATCTAAAGACGCAAAAAGGTGCGTTTTGTATGTGACATACACTGTACAGCCAGAATCACGTTTCTGAGAGATCGATAAACACAAAGCTGTTTTGAACCTCACATACAAATAGGACCACCCAGGTGTTGTGTACAAGCATGTGTGTGAAGTTGATCTCCGAGAAACTGTCTGCTTCCCTGGTCAAAGCAGCTGGGCAGACACAAGGCCCTTATTTTGAATCGTGACGGGACGGTAAACGCGACATCCCGCAAATCACGATCGTAGAGTGGGGTTTGATAGTGGGGTACGATACATATCTAGTGGCAAGCCCTGATAAACGCGCCCTTAGACTCTCAGCTGGTACACATAAGGGATGCATGAACAATGGGCTCTGTTGTGACTCCTTTTGTAACAGCCACTCATGTCCTCCCATAAGCCCCCCTCCCCCCATATTGAATCAAATAAAATTACTGCGCCCCTTTTAATCAAATACTCACAGCTACATGTACACTGTTAACTGTGACAACACACCATTTTGATGGAAAAGAAAGACAAGCCAAGATAATTTAACATTCAAGTTTTTTTCTCACAAATGTTACAACTGTTCAGCAGTAGTTGTATCAAATGATTGAGCGTAATAATGTAAATACATGTATGAAAATGTGAACATTCAGCAAGTCTGCCAGGGTTGTACATGACATGTAGTTCTGACTTTGTGAAAAAGATATTGCTATTTTTACTGGGAATGTATTCTGTAACATGTACATCACATGTATTAGTCTATCTACAGTATTAGTTTTTCTACAGTACATGTTGTTTTTGAGCACCTCCAAAAGTTCCAAGTTGCCCCATCTCGTTCGTAAAGTGCATGAAGATGGCATAAAGAAAACATTTTTAATATTGGAAGGAAGCTGCAAAAGGATGGTTACTTTAACACACTGTCTCAGCTCAACACACTCAAATTACTTGCATTTGCAGTCCCTGTGACAGCATTGTAAATGTAATTAGTCCTTTCTTAGTTTAGGGAAAATGAATTAAAACAAACATGTGCTTTGGTTAGTTTGACAGTTGGTCTGTTTCACCCGACTGCTCAGAAAGAATGATTGGTACAACAACAACAAATTATTGTCAAAGGATTACGGAGATATCGCGATTTAAAAATTAAATGTTGAATCGACGTGGGTGCTGCAAACTCACAAAGTCATACACACGATGAGACCTTACTTCTTGCATGGAGATTTACTGTACAGTATTTACAGGTGATTTATCATGAAGTTTGATTCATTAAATAAAAGATAATTTCATATTTTGCAAGGAAATATAACATACAATCAGTTGGTATCACTTTTTATTAATTTAAATACAGTAAATCCCCATGTACGAAGTAAGATCTTGTTGTTTTTATGACTTTGTGAGTTTGCAGCGCGCACGTCGATCCGACACTGAAATTTTATATCGCAATATCTCTTTAAAGACCGTCACCACTACTGGGCCAGAAGGGATTAGACCACACAGAGAGCCATCGAGGTCACTGTGACAGGTGGCTATCTCATTAACTCAGCCCTCATTTAACATAAGAAAAAGAGGATCATGGGGGACCAACAGGCACCGATTGGGGAAGTTTTCTATATAGAGCCTTAGAGGGAGCAAGTAGCTACAAGTATGGCAGTGTGCCTTTAATACTTCGGCGATAATTTTTTTAGTTGTACCATATTTGTAGTAAAAAAACTTTGCCGTCCATTTGGTAATAGATTGTTCTATTTAAAATAAATTAATTAGACTCTAGTGTGGAATATGAGAAGCATTGGATCGAATATCATATTTTCTACTATTTTCAAAAATCTCTGCGAACTTTGGTCACTCCATCAATTCATAATTAATAAGTCAGAATAATCCATTGATTTGGTCGTCAATTCTGATTGTATCCATCAATTTATTATTAATTTTAAAACTGTTTGTTGCAATTAAAAATTGACTTCTAAATCAATGTTTATAAAGACTTTAGAATAGATAATAAGAAGGCCTGAGTGAAACAGAGCCATTCATTTTAACCTGCAGCTGCCTGTTGTAATAATTATTATCATGATTTATGGTAATTGCCAATGTCAATGAGTCGAATGACAAGGCAAAATTAAAAGGCAAGCAAGACTCCAACTGACAAGCTGACAAGAGGCAAGAGATTTTTTTGGTTTAATTATGAACTAGGCGGTAGGCCTAGATCTAGATCTAGATCTAGAGTTTAGGCCTAGAAAAAAAAAAGTTTTAACATTCACCTTTTCACATTCTGTTCTCCACACGGGATCCTCTTCAACTTCTTCTTTTTGAGAATCTTCACAGCTCTCCGACAGAGACTTTCCGAGTCGAGAGCCTCTTTCACCTTCCCGTAAGAACCCTCGCCCAGAGTATCGCCCATCAGGTACTTCCCCACCATTTTCGCACGCTTCTTGCGCGGTTGATAAACAATATCAGCCGAGTCCACACGGTGTATGAAAATGTGGTCGTCATCATCGTCTCCGAAGAACGAGAAGTGGTCTGTTTGAGCCCAGTGTGGAGGAATATGACTAACCGTATCCTCGTCTAAACATCTTTCAAGCATTTCTGCATCTACCATCGTATCGTACGGCGGTGTCCTCAAGGATTAAGAACACAGCAAATCAAAGAAATTCCGAGATACATTTGGGGTTCTGCCACAAAAGCTTCCATGAACGATAACTTCTACAGACTGTGTACACGGATACTCATCGCCATGTTGTTTATAACTTCATGCAGTCACGTGACTTTCCCAGGCTTGCGCGCAAAGGTCGTAGGTGAAGCAGTCGTTGGACCGAGACCATATTTTGCCACAACAAGAAATCAGTCTAAAATTATAAATGAGTACATTAGACAGTCTTTATAAAATAGCTACCATACAAGTAGCACATTATTACTTCAATAGAAAACCTTTGAATAAACACATGTGCTTAATTTACACTCAATTAAATCAAATGTTACAACTTCAATTCTATCTTATCTATCTTAAATTTTTGCTGCAAAAAAACTTAATTAATATCTATTCTTAATACATAAATTGTTTCGTTTTCTATGTTTCTTATCTTAAATTTATATGCTGTGTACCTAATTGCTGTTTACATCATTTTTAAAGAGTCTTACAAAGTAACATGAATAAATCATTGGAAAAGTAAAAACGTACTTGTCTAGTTTACAATGGCAGGGTCTTTGACAAAGAATAGCGACACCCTTTACCGTACTACGATTACAACAACGGACCGCGGTTTCCTCTTTGTTTACGTTCTGAAGGCCATGTCGCTTTATACATGTGCACAGGCTGGGGTCCACGTGCCTCTAGCCAAAGGAGCATACCCTTTCGATGGATCGGTTGGATCCAGTCATACGATGAGTCATATTTTGTAATGATATTACCGCAATCGACGTCACTCCATAATATTCGAGGAAAGAGAGGCAATTTATGCCTCGTAATGCACGTGCTCGCTTTTAGTCGGTTCTAAGGGAAGGCAATTATGACTTAATTTCCAAGAAAATTACCTTAGATTCGAAAACAAATTGATTGAAGTTGTGTTGTTTCTTACATGAGGAGGATACTGGTACTTATTATTTACGCTTCACCTGCCAAACTCCCTACCTGTCAATTGACTCTTTTGGGGATTCCGTTTCGGTATGGGCCAACAAGTACTTGTGGGTCATGGTCCGAGCAGTATTATAGCTTCGTAGGATCGAGGGTTCTTTGGCCGGGGGCGTAATTCCGTATAGGTTGGGGGTAGTCACATTTCATGTGCCCTTTTGGGTCTTACATTTCTGCCGAGGGTACAGTTTGAGTTACATCAGAAAGGCATATGCAGATTGAGATTGGTGTGGAGGGGTGCCTCAACCCCTGCAGATCTCAGGTCACACTATTGGTGTCCATTCCAGCAAAGATCTTGATGTTGGTTTTAATGTCATTGAATCGATAATTATTACATAAAAATGTTACTTTTTTTCATTGCAAAAATGATTTATGACTCCTATTTGAAATAGCTTTAAAAACTATATCCACAAACCAAACCCTTTGCATGGACCATGGAACCGAGGGGGGGGGGGGGGAGGCGTAGACCCTGCACATTTCCCAGGCCATAACCCACATTGTGTACAAACACAAAATTGCTGTATAGGACGCTAAGGGGCGGATCCAGCCGGCGGCAAGGGAGGGGGTCAAATAGGGGGCCCAATTCGTGAGAAAATGTTTAGCTGCGAGTTGGCCAGCCGGTTCATACTAATGCACATATTTTCTCGCGAAATTGGTCAAAGTGTCAGTAAAATGCAAAGTATGATCTTTGCTATTTAGCGTCATGTTCTCTTGAATGTTGCGTTCACGAAGTCTAGCACCCCCCATCCAAAAAAAATGGATGAAAATCGCTGCCCATGCTTGCGACAGAAGCCCGATCGAACACCCTATAGAGCCTGCCCCATCCCCTCCCAACCACCACTAACAAATATGAGTATGACCACCATCCCGAATATTTATTCTATAGAACCGAGCATCCGTGCCAAGCCTGATCAGTCGAGGAAGGTCGTATCTCCCTGTTCGGCCCCAGTACTTTAAAAAAAAACTTTCGACATAGCAATTATTAAAATCTTTATAATTGAAAACTTTTCTTGTATAGCCAATTTCTGACAGAAAATAAATTTGAGTGCACCGGATTATTATTTATGGTAATACAATACCCACTACCATTAATAATAATAATAATAACAACAACAATGAAAATGATGATAAATTACAATAGTTATAATATAATGATAATTATTAGAATACTAACAATAATCTAAATACCACAGCATTACCTATTCAATAAAGCACAAGGCTCAATTATGCCATGGGACCTCTCGTATGAAAGTCTATAGCCTTCTCCAATATACCACAAATAGAAAATATTGAGATATATCATTTACGAGGCGTGATAATACCACAATCTTCATGAACTTTCTGAGCATGAGTTTTCAGATAGGCGTTAGAGAGCGAAACCAAAACCTCCAATATTAATTTGTTAGGCCTTTTAAGTTTCATCGACACTTCAAGGACTATTTATCTTTTGTTATTATCTTTGTTATGAAGTTTAAGGCAAGCTTTTCCTTTGAATTTTATAATGTCTTAATATTATTTTATACCCTACTTTAAACATTTAATTAAAACTACATCCATATACATGTTTTATATTTATATACAGCAAAAACGTCCAACGAAAAGACACTGACAGTTTCCACTGTAGACAGATGGCCTTTTTTCAACGCACATTCCCTTCTACAGGCAATATTAAGTGACCACTAAAGGCAGGTGGCCTTTATTGAGAAGTGACCACTGAACATTGCGTGTGTGCAAAAAAAAATGCACACCAGTAGTAGCAAACGCGGAAGAGACCCTTTACTCATTAACCATTGATAATAAACGTCCATTTTACTTTTCATTTTGATTTTATGATACCTTTACAAAATATCAATAAATGTAAGTGCTGAATAAATACTGTGTTATTATATTGCACACCAGTGGCGTAATGAGCAAAAACGTTTGGGGGGGCTGGCAAAAAAAAAATCCGCATCACCCCACTCTAACATGCAGGCCCCGCTGAACGTTTTTCAAAGTGGGGTCTAGGGGCAAAGCCCCATCAGGGGGGTCAGAGGGCGGAGCCCCCGAAGCTCAATGGGTATGGGCACCAGTGGTGGATCCAGGAGTTTCTTACGGGGGTGGCATGGGGTGAAATATAATTATGTAAAACCTGATGAAGCGACAGGGCGAGGCTTTAGCGGCGAGGGGAACGACCAAGCGGGGGTGGGTCTGGGAGGGGTTTTTGACCCCCTCCCAGAGTAGGAAGCATTTGCAATTTTAGAACCACATTAGACGCCTTTTCAGGCACTTCCTGGAGTAATATGACATAAAATTGCTTTCTCCTACCCCCTCCAAGAGTAGGAATCTTTTACAATGTGAGAACCACATTTTGCGCAATAATAGTCCACCGGCACTTCCTGGAAATGAGACGTTGTATTAGGTTCGTTGCCGCACAATGCACAAAGACGGTGGTCCGGTACCAGTTGTACTAAAAATTATATCGAGTGTATAAACTGTGTTGTTATGAGGGGCGTTGCTAGATCTTTTTCAGTGGGGGAGGGGGGAGAGGCTACCGATTACCTTCAAAACGAGCCACCAATTACCGACAAATATATTAATGCCAATGTCCCAATCTCTACAAATTTAACCCTGTAAACCTGGGGCCAGGAACTAAGTTATTTTTTCAGTTTTCCCCCTCCCGCGCGCGGAAGGTTTGATACTTCATTAAATTATTAGAAAAAGAATACGATCCGTTGTACCGTTCTAGACTTTTTATTCTTGTTTCGCCCCTCCCGCGCGAAGCGCGAAAGCTATGACGTTTCATTTATTTATTAGAGAAAGAAGACGATTCATTGTACCGTTCTCGACTCTTAATCCTTGCCTGAATTCATTTTCGCCCATCCCGCGCTTAGCGCGGAAGCTTTTACGTTTCATTAAATTATTAGAGAAAGAGGTCGATTCGTTGTACTGTTTTCAACTTACAATCCTTGTCCGAATTCCGTGTCCTCCCTCCCGCGCAAAGCGCGGAAGCTTTGACATTTCATTAGATTATTAGAGAAAGAAGACGATTCTTTAAATGATTTTTTTACTCTTAATCTTTGTCTGAATTCAGTTTCCCCCATCCCCCCCCCCCTCCCGCGCGAAGCGCGGAAGCTTTCGGCGTTTCATTAAATTATAAGAGAATGAAGACGATTTGTGGTACTGATTTCTACTCTTAATCCTTGCTTTCACATTTCATTAAATTATTTGGAAAAAATACGATGCGTTTCCTTAAATTTTTACTCTTAATCCTTGTCTGAATAGAGTTTCCCCCTCCCGCGCGTAGCGCGGAAGCTTTGTAGTGTCATTAAATTATTAGGGAAAGAAGACGATTCGTTGTATTGTTTTCGACACTTAATCCTTGTCTGAATTCAGTTTTCGCCCCCCCCCCCCGCGCCAAGCGCGAGAGCTTTGAAGTTTAATTAAATTATTAGAGAAAGAAGACGATTCGTTGTACTGATTTCTACTCACTTTGTCTTAAATCAGTTTCCCTCCCTCCCGCGTGATGCGCGGAAGCTTTGACGTTTCATTAAATTATCAGAGAAATTGTCTGAATTAATTTTGTATTATCTTTGTCCGATAAAAAGTCACAGTTTGTAGGGAGAAAAAAAAATTGCCGGCCGACCGACATTAAACATCTCACCGACTTCAAACTTCTAAATTGATATAGTACACGAGTTAGATAGAGCAAGAATACCGACACAGCGGACCCGACACAGCAACATAATTATCTATGCGTATCTTTCTTGCCCCTTCGACGTGGCGACTCCACCCAACATTCCCTTTGCTCTCTTACTCCCACCCATCTTCTCTTAGGCTCTTAATACCACCCTCTCTCTCTCTCTCTCTCTCCTCTCTTTCGTTTGTCTTGTTTTGTTTTGTTTGTTTTCTTATGTTTCCTTTTTCTCCTTTTTTTCTTTCTCCTTTTTTTTTCTTTCTCCTTTTCTTTCTTTTCTTTCTTTTCCTTTCTTTCCTCTCCTTCCTCTTTTTTTCTCCTTCTTTCTTCTCTTCTCTTTCTTTACTTGGTCATGGTTCAATTTTATTTGGGGGGGGGGGGGGGGGGGCTGGCGCCCCCCAAGCCCCCCCCCCCACCAGTACGCCAGTGTTGCACACCAATCCCCCCCCCCCCCCCCAACTATAACGATCTTCTCTCTTTCGTCAAGTAAAATGAATTCTGCCCTCTCTTGCTGGAAACAACGCAGTAAAATAAATAATGCTCTTTTTTCCTTAATAAGGAAAAAAGAGCATTATTTATTTTACTGCGTTGTTTCCAGCAAGAGAGGGCAGAATTATATTATAATATAATATAGACACGTTCATTGTCGCATATTTTCACGAGCGAGTATAGCTGCCATGTTCTTATCTTTTTATTCCAACCTTTTTATGTAAGTTACATGAATGATCCAGCTTCGGCTGCTTTTCTTGTAAAATGATTTGTAGAAACAAGTTTTGATTGCATTAAAAACTATTATTTAATTTAATTGAGTTTAATTAAATTGATAATGCACCCTAGAGAGAAAAGAGGACTTGCGTGATGAGAACGCTCATACTGTCTTTTGTTTAACTTGCCTGAATCCATGGTCTGTTCTATACGGAAATAGTGGAGAATGGAGATGGTGCACACAAGACCGTTGCGTATATCATATGACATTGGTAGGCGAAAAATATGGGAAACGTTTTTGACCCGAAGTGGTTTGTACAAGAGGCCTAGATTCCAGGTAGTGACGCAAATACGGAGGAAGGCAGGCAAGTGCCCTCTTCGTCGTCGAAATAATATGAATTCCGTTTGACATGGACGAATTATTGAGAAGAGATGACACGACCTCCTTTCCAAGGCTCCTTTGCAAGAAACTTACAGCTGATGGTAAATTTGCTCTCAAACTACCATGGCAACACCCAATCAAATAAAGGTTTCCATGGCGGCAAAGTTACCATTAATGCTAAGTTTTATGCAAAGGGGCCAGAGGTCCTTGTGCTCGGACGCAATGTTCCCTCGCATTTCATCTACCCAGTAATTACCCTTTCCAACGATGGACTCAATGGTACGCCACTGTTTTCAGATTGTTAGTCATTATTATCGAAAGTCCTGGCTCTAATCCATTGATTTTATGATAATTATGAAACTATGGAATTCTTGTAAATATTTGGACTATTTACAAAACATTATTGTTCAATCCATCCCACTGGTAACTTCGCTGCCTTCGTGAACCATGCTGGTGTTTATTTCCTTATCTAGCGAAATCGCGAAATGCATAAACACAATTCTTATATTTTAATATCCATATGGAAATTAGAAATCCTGACGTTAATCTAAATATCAATTTACTCGAGATGAGATATGTCTTTAGTATCAATTTTGTAAATAAATTTTAAAAAAAATTAGTTAGATTTCGTCAAATCAACCTCTTTGAGCTGCTTAGAGAGAATGTATAGAAAATGTGTTTCATCCATGAGACTGTATTTTGGTAAAACATGATTGTTGGGCATGTTCCCCTGACACGTTTACTCCAATTTAGTTTGAAGAAAAAACTAGACCGTTATTGGACAACCCTTTCATTTAGACGGGCGTATAGAAGTGCCCAAATATGATAAGATACTATAATTACCCTCTCTTAGACACTTTCTTTAAAAACGCGTATTAGTGTGACTGTTCCTAAAATCGAAGTGATTGAAAAGGTGGAAAGGCGGACGAGTCATGCGGCTTTATCTCCGGACAGAATCTTATATCAGGACTTCGAACGGGAAAGACAGATCGCGAAAACATTTCCCCGAAAATAAGGGACTATTTCTGGACCATTACACCTTTATTGCACCCTCTCTTGTCCTTATCCATTTCTTCCTACCTCTCGTTCATCGTGATAAGGCGATCTGAACGACGTCTTTATTTACCATCTTAAAGAGCGCCAGGCAGGCATAAAAATGAAAGTCGATCAACATTACCGGTAATTTAACGAACTCCTAACAGTACTAAATAATAACTTCATCCGTCACCTCCTTTTCCACAGATACCCCCCCCCCACCCCCACACGCTTTATGATTGTCATTAGATGCATATTATGGTTTCTAACGTAATATATTTATTCGGAAATCCCACTGTAATTGAAGAAACATCCAACGCTAACAGATGCCAAATTAATTTTAGATGTTGCATGTGACAAGATGTGGAAGACAGACACAATGTTGACTCTCCTCTTACAGACAAGCAACCATGTTTGCATTTTAACATAATGGGGTCATGTACCATGGTTTTGAAAGCGTTATATTCTCCACAAGAAGTCTGTCAGCCCTGATGCCTTTAACGTGTCATAATGTATTTTTATACCCCGAACATAAAGTCGCGATATTTTTCTTTTCACGTCTTGCGCTATTTCTAGCGTTGTCCAGGCAGCGCGTTTCCGTTTTACACCCTGCCCTAGGCTTTTCGGCAAGAAATTACACGAAACATGCTGTATCCGAAGTCTAAGTTTGTTTATATCGACGTCAAGAATAGCGAAGCCAAAGCTTATGTACAATTTCAATTGGGGATGCGAGGGTCTTCTTGTTCAAGACGGTTTTCCCGATATATTATTGTTTTGTTATCGCTGCCGCTGGGCTAAATTTTGCGAGCTGATCACGCATCCTCACGCTCTTAGAGTATTGCGTATTAATGGATAAAAATAAATGATACGACTAGGAAGATCAACTAGTTAGTATTATAGTATTAATGACTGCTTTGAGAGAAATAGTTGTTTTATTACGCTCAAGGGAAGGTTAGAATTGTGCTATTCCCCGAGGCTTGCCGAGGGGAATAGCCCAATTCTAACCTTCCCGAGAGCGTATGAAAACAACTATTTCTCGAATATTAAAGCAGTCATTAATACTTTTATATGCCGAAAAAAAATAGACTAAAAAATGAAAAATTAAAAATATTTATCATTTATGTCGAAGACGGGATTCGAACTCTTGCGTACAACAAGAGGTGTACCGAAAACCAACGCTTAGACCACTCGGCTATGGCCCGCCGTTAACATGTCTGGCAGTTTTTTCCAATAGTCTATATACATTAAAATGGATTGAAACCGGCTTCGCGTGTGATGAATGCTTCGCAAAAGCTCCATATACGGACTCTTCTTTTACTTTTGCAATGCATATTGGCACGAACTTAGATCAAGATCTATCGGCAGATGTTGTTTTTTTGTTTTTGGAAGTTTATTTTCGTCTTCATGTCAACAATGCAAGATAAAATTGTCGGTAAGATCGATCGAGATTCAATTGTATTGAAATTACCGACCAATCCTTCGCACACATACGGCATCCTCCATCGCTCAAACCATTTTTTAACATGTAAACCTATGGGGTAACCATGGAGGCTGACCAACTTTTTTTAATAACCATGGTTATTAAAAATATTGAAATGTTTTATGCATGGTTACCGAGAATTTTACAGGAACAGTTGAAGTTTATGAATGCAATTCGACCAATCAGATGGCTGGATTTCTTAAGTGAGGTATATAAAGAGAGTTAGCTAGCGCTACGTGACGTTTTCAGAGTTCTGGTGGTGTGCAGAGCGCCGAGGCAAGATGTGGACGACTAGACTCCGAATACCAGTCGGTTTGTAAAATTTTATTGGAGAAAAGCCTAGGGCAGGGTGTAAAACGGAAACGCGCGTCCAGGCACCCCTACGTCAGTGTGACGTCATCGTAAAGAGGCACGCGAACGGAGCGAGCCGAAAATGTAAACACACACGCCAACATTTTCTACTGCATTATAAATGCACCACCAATGTGTGTGTGGATTTTTGGTAATAATGCTTGAAAGGGCGTTTGGAATAGCAGGAAAACCGCTAATTTTGATTAATCGGGCAGGAAATCAAGTCTTCTATTTCCTTGACGATTGAAAATGAAGACAAAAGGAGGAAATACTGATCGAAAACGTGAATTTCCGGCTTAAAATGATGCTCTCTCTTCCTCTCTCTCTCTTACACACACCAAACACTGGGTGCACAAAAAGGATGCACGGTAATGTATGTGTCGCCTTTTCGCGCATGTGTGTATCGGATACTACTATAGGGACGGAGCGAGCATGATGCGGGTCGTCTAAAAGAAGAAAAAAATTGCCAGCTGCTAGATCAAGATAAACCGGTCTTTGTTGGGAACCGTTCTTTGTCCTTTATCTCTCCTGGTTCCAAGATTTTTTAATAACCCCTGTTATGGTCTGGACTGGCACGCGACCGGCACACGAATGCGGGACCTACTGGAGTGAGGAGGTTGCAGGAGAGAAGCTCTCTAGCTTTGGACGCCGGGTCGAGCTTCATATTATTCGCCAGTAGGAGATAGACACATACAAATTGAAGGTGAGCTTAGCATGCTATTTGCACTGAATCTCACTGCGCGGCGCCATTTATATTGAAAGGTTGAATTTAGAAATATATGGTAATGGAAATATGTTGTAGAAGGTATATGTTTACACCTGTCACTAAGGCCTATTATACTTGTATAATGTAATACATTTTCTATCGGATCGTCTTGAATAGAATAACAAGATCTGAAGATAAAGCCTATATTCATAAGCCAGTGCAATCAACTATGCAGTATATATAATGCTTTCAAACATAATAATGCAAGGGATATTGTTGAATGGTCTACCGAAGCATTTCCCGAAATAATTTAAACGCAAGTATTATAACAGTCACTTAATTCTGATGCAATAACTTGACCATATCTGTATACAAGTATCATAAACATGGTCATTTCAAGTCATTGTGCAATGGACGTATATCCTGACGTGTTATGACCAAAGACAACAAACTTCAGATAAAACTAAATATTACAATGTTCTAATGAATGATTGATTAATTGATTGATTTTTATTCGACAAGCTTCCAACATACAACAATATACAATAATAACAGATCAGAAATAAGTCAGCTTGAACAGGATAACCCACGAAAGATAACTACATGTATACTATTACAAATATTTGGGAGGATGTAGCATTTTGTTGAAGTAGACATGAAAATTAATTTGATTCAAGAAAAAGAACCCTCTGTACTTTCATTGATAATCATTGCAATGAATTAGGAAAGGGTTCCCTCGATTCAGTCGGTTTAAATTTAATAAATATAAAAAATATCGAGATGAATTTTTTACACACAAATACTAACATATAATTTTATATATATATATATATATATATATATATATATATATATATATATATATATATATATATATCTGGTATTGATGATTTTGTGTATGGTTACTGATAGAAATATATTATAGAAGACATATCTGATTCAACACAGTGCATTATATATCTTTAATTTGATGTAGTCCTCGTTTACGAGAGGGGGCACTCTATCTTAAATTTCTCGAATATTGCCAAATTGTGCATGATACCCAATGCTAATCGTGTACATGTAATTGGTAAATAATATGGACCTATTATTAACTTGTTGATAAGAAAGTTATTGCTATATATACGTGTACATTTTGTAGGTGTCAATGTTTGCTTGCTAGTTACTTTGATTTCTACATGTTTTGTAAACTTGAAGATGTAATTGATACTCCTGGCTATCGTTCTTCATATTTTGTTGTAATTGGAATATGGTTATTATTGCTATATGAGTCATAATCTTATACTTTCTACTAGTTGTTAATTTTCTAAACCGATTTTATTTTTCTATTCGTTTTTTTATCGCCACCCAAAAGAATGATGACACAGTTTCGTATATAGGCCTACATAGTACAAGCATAATGACTATGTACCTCATTCATGATTTGCTATCCTTATTTCTTAGACGTACTGATAAACCATATTATAACCTTCACTCCTTTATAGGATTTCTATTTTTGAGCGATACAAATTATTTAAAAAATGTTTCACTCTGTATACACACATGTAAGGACTCTAATGCAATACACTGCGATCTTGAACATAATTATTTTTGAAATTAAATCACGATTATTTCAATAAAATTACAAGGGGTCTGCATGCATGAGAATCCCATTATACATGTACAGGTAGACTTCAATTATATTATATACAGTATTTTGAAAATCATCATTTATATCATTAACACTTAAGTTTTCGATTTAAATGAATACAAATCACAATTATCTTCACACACAAAAACCGCCTGGTACCATCACTAAAACACAGTGATAATCATATGCGTACCAAACAGGAATGCGAGTTCTCTATTCTGACCATATTTAGATCGAAGCATTGGGCTTGTTCCTAGCATTGACCACGTCTTTGTTTCGTTTTACACAAAGGATCCGAGACCCGAACGTTCTGTTTCTTGACTCACGGTCCTTGGAGTTTCACTGAAACTCGAGAGCTTTCATGTTATTTCAGCTTCCCCCCACATATAGGCCTAGTCATATTTTCCCCATAATGCTTGGAGAATCATATTGGCATCTGTGATGAATTTATTTAACCTCCATTGTGTTTGGATATTCCTTTTTGGCAAAGGTGCTTATGATTGTGTGACTATCAAAATAATAAAAGATTGGCTTAATTGATAATAATTGTTCATAATGCAGCTGAGTTCGTTCAATTACTTGTGTATTATTCCATTGATATGTGTTGCATATATGCCTACAGTGTAATGAGCATTATCTCATAAGCTCCTTCGAATCTTGAGCCAAGAAAATGAGAAAAAGATTAAAAAATAACCAGAGAGAGAAGCAAAAATATCAGAAAGAGCTGGTAATCTTTGGAATTTAGATTGTGCGTACCTCTAGTTTTCATTTTAGGCAATAAAGAAAATGCTTTGTTGGTTCAGCGAAGACCCTGGGCGGTCGCTAATGGGTTATCGCAAGGGCTGTCATCTTTTGTTCTTAGCTCTGTTGCTCGTAGAGTGCACACATAGCAGGCGAGCGAAGGGGGAAATTGCCATGAGTTCTAGCGCCATCTTTCGACGGTGATAATAAGAATGACCCACATTTTCCAGGCTGATGATGTCACGTATTCCAAGAAAGCGATGACGTCAATTCGTCCGCTCCTTATTCATGCAACATCATCATTCTTACTCACCAACATCACTTTTATCATCATCATCATCATTATCATCGTCATCATCATCATCATCATCATCATCACATGAAACATCATCATCTCCATCATCATCATCATCATCATCATCATCATCATCATCATCATTATCGTCATATATCACAATCATCCCCACCACTACAATCTAACAATATCACGCACACACACACACACACACACACACACACACACACTTGTAAACGCATTCAAGAAAATAACATCTCTGGCGATTTCAACCTTAAGATGCCTATAATTATATGCCAATTATATAACCAGGTTATAAAAACGATTGATTGTATGAGTTTTACATTTCAAAAGTCTCAACCTACGTCTCATTGGGTGTGTTCTATTGCTTCTGTTTAATAATATTCGGTAGAACATACAATATATACAATGGGATTGTAGAGGTGTCGTGGTCGAGTGGATAAGTCACCGGACTGTGGATCACAAGGTCCGCGGTTCAAGTCCCGCCGCGGCACTAATGTCCTTTGGCAAGACATTGATCTACATTTGCCACTCTCCACCCAGGTGTTAAAATGGGTACCCGGTAGGATGCGAAAGCTAATGTGGTTTGATTAGCAAGTGGCGCTTGTAAAATGGCGACTGGCTGGAATGCTCCCCAGGGAGTGGAGAATGTGCATACCTTGTGTGCGGGTAAGCCTGAATCCGATGACCGGGGTAATAATAATATGTTGTAAAGCGCTGTGATACACATGTATGTCTGTAAGAGCGCTATATAAATGCCAATATTATTATATACCATTGTGGTCTATCCTCCATGTGTCTCTCTTTTATTTGTGTAATTTAGAAATTAGGACGCCACATTTTCCTAATCCCTTCCTCTTGATCCTATCAAATTAATCTTGAAACATGAGCGTTCAAAATCAGATGGCTACATTTAACTTATTATAGGCAGATCTATTTTTTGAACCATTAACAATTTAATTACCAGGAGAATATCATTATATATGTTGTCTATTACATGATAATTATCCAATTTTACAATTTGTACTGTATAATCTCCTTTAATTCTAATCGCGTATCCAAATATTCTAATCTACATGACTGTTAGCAGTTAAGACGATGCTATTTTTATTGTTTGAGGGGGGGGGGGGTCTTTTTATATTTCTGTAAAGACTAACTGAATAAGCCTATTGATTATCGCATTATGTATTGACTACCCAAGTTCATATATAACTGATTGCTTATTGAGCTTGATGTTTCCCTACATTAACAAGCAAATTAGGTGGGTGTGAAATAAGTACCCAAAACAGAAAAATGCTTTATCTATAATGCCTATACTGTAAGACGTGAATGATGATATAGCAAATGCACTAAAACCATGACATGACCCCACTACCATCTAATTGATCCATCAATCCTTCATTCATCCGATCGATAAATGTATGTCTCATGACCTAGATTAGATAAAAAATTCCTCACCGTGTAAAGGGAGTGACTAATGCATGAACGCCGATTACAAGAAACTCATTTAAAGTGATAAAACATAACAAAATGATCACTTATCTAACCTAAATCAATTCACCGGCCACTGGGCAGAATGTTCCAAAATATGTATCACAAACAACAAACATTGAAAACGAACCACATCGCTGTCTACATAACTTGGAAATGGTTGCCCTAATATTAGCAATTTAAAATCCGCAAAGGGGGGGGGGGGGTGGTGGGTTACAGCCCCGCCTTGTCAATCAAAGCAACATTCATTATTATCTTCCATATTTTCGCTAAATATGTCCTTCTTTTCGTCGACCTGTCTTGCATTAATGATACATGATAAAATCCTCTAAGCATAAAATTAAATGTCAAACATTGTCCTGCATTGTAATACGACCGCCGATAAACAAAACAGTAATTAACCATCAATCAGCAAATCAAGTGGTCGTATAATTTCTTAATTGCACCATGAGATAAACCTTGTTGTTATAATCACAATCTCCATCGAATCAAAATTTACAAATTAATTTACGAATACATAAGCCTCTAAATCCCTAATCATTCTAACAATCAGTAAATTATTATTCAATCGATGAATCTGTCTGAAGTACTCTAATCAGATAAACATTATTGCTTTAATCATAATCCTCATTTTGTTTGAACCCATTGAATAAAATGCTTGAAGGAGAAAAAAAAAACACCCAGACGCGCTTGTACAAAATGAATTTACAAAGGGGTTCAAGACATTTAAGGCCTCAAAGTATCACCCCACTAATCATTCTAACAATCATTCAATTATTCAATCGATGAATATATTTGAAGTGCACTATTCAGATAAACATTCTTGCTTTTATCATAATCCTCATTTTGTTGAACCCATTGAATAAAATGCTTGAAAAAAAAACCAGACGCACATGTACAAAATGAGTTTACATCAGGTGTTAAAGACACAATGCCTTAACCTAACACTCTACCAATCATTCTATCAATCAGTCAATTATTTGATCGATGAATCTATCTGAAATGCACCAATCAGATAAACATTTCGCACCATCCTCATTTGGTTTGACCCCATCACTATATACCAAGCCAATATGGCATCCCATCTCACTCTCCTTGATGCTTGCTCCCATCTCTCCGTCTCTCTCTCTCTCTCTCTCTCTCTCTCTCTCTTTTTTATATATTTATCTCTCTAGCTCTCCCTCTCTCTTAGTACTATTATTTTTTCTTTTTCTTGCTCTCCCCACTCACTTTCTTTCTGCCTTTCTTATCATTTACATCTCGTAAAACCCCTCTAGTATTGTCTCTCACTCTCTCTTTTCCCTTTCTCTTATTACTTTCTCTAACCATTTCTTCTTTCTTTGTCTCTCTTTGACTCTCTCTCACTCTCTCCCTCTCTCTCTCTCTCTCTCTCTCTCTCTCTCTCATTCCTTCTCCCGTTTCCCCATCTTTTCTTGATCCTTCTCTTTCCTTCTTCTTTCTTTCTTTCTTTTGTAAACGTCCCCTTTTGTTTCCCTTTCTGCATTTCTCTTTATTTGCTTCATACTCTCCCCTCTGCATCTCTCTATCTCTCTCTATCTGTCTTTCTCTATCTCCCTCCCTCCCTGTCTTCCTCCCTCACTCTCGATGCACCTGTATTATGAAGAGACCCTGGTTGATTGGTGTGCTAAAGATAGAATCATCTAATGACAGTGGTCGAGGCCAAGGCCATGTGATCTCTTCGTATAAGGCTTGGGTCATCGCACTGCACAGTCCCTTATATACGGGACCGTGCTTATCGTTCGCTGTATATGGCGGACAGATAGTGGCGCCAATATGATACCCTACTATATAACACGTGTGGGCAATTTATTGCTATTAGTGGCAGCAAAACCGTCACCATAGCACCAATATCATTACATAACATCATATAATAGGGATGGATATATTATAATATATATATCCGATATTAAATCCAAGTGTTGGCATAAGGTGACGCCAAAATGATGAAGAGAAGTTTCATGCTTTAAATCCAACAGTTTTATAACTATGAAATGAATTTCGGCGTACCTGGCCTCTCTTTATATACAATATCTCTCTCTCTATATATAACATATACTAAATAGTGTATTCTTTATGTAGGTATTTCATCATTCATGTTCATCATTCATGTATATGTAGTTAAATGTGCTGGTAGAAACATCAACTCAAAATGATGTATTTGGCTTTGGAGAATGTCATGAGTATTATGTTATCATATCATATTCTATGCCCAGACACGAACAAACCATATTTTGCGACATTCAATGTTGATGCTGATGCTCGTATATGTATTTCCACGAGATTATGTACAGTTATCATGCTTAGCTTCTAGATTGCAATGAATGTAAATCAACTTGAATGTGAAAATGGGTTAATGTCATGCCTAAAATATGACATTATGAATTCAAATGTGATGGTAACAATTAAAAAAAGAAAATTCTTATTTCATTTTAGGTCATTAAATATACTCCCTTACAGTTAGTTACCTGTCCATTTTTGATCATCGTGAGTGGTCGCGGAGTTTTGAACTTTTAATGTCCAAAACATGTTTAAATAACGAAACATTAGTATATTCAACGTCTCTAGAGAAGTAGTATACAGTTGAAGAGAATTTTAACCGTGTGAAAATACGCAAGCTTGAAATTATGTTTTCTGGTACATACATGTATTGTGATTTGTCATCTATTAATAATAAATGGCTTTAAACATGTTGTAATAACTGGATTTAAAAAAATTATCAATGAAGGTAGAACACTCTTATGGGACGCGATTCCTGAACCAAAAATGAAGTAATTAATATTTTAATCATTTATGGTTCTTAAACATAATTCAGTGGCCGGAAAATTGCTGGTCCTTGGGACAATCTCAAATGTAATGATCTGACTATTGATGTAATTAAATGGTTTGATCAACAGCTTTTTTGAGCTCGTTTTTGTTCATATTTCTCTTTGGAATTGAAAAACGTACCATTCAAGATGATTTAACATGTTGGTAATGACGCCTTATTATTCACTCTCATTCATTATTGTAACCGAGATTTGCAGCTTTATCAATTTTATTTTAAAAACTTGTATCATATATTTTTCTTATCTTTTCTTATTGTTTGTATTTTTCAGATAACGCCAAGACCCGGGCATACGACCGTATGCAAAACTTGTCTGCATTGAGAGGTTGCACGTACATGTACGCGTCCAAATCTGATACGTACCCGCAGAAACACCCAGACATCTTGTAAAAAGGATAAGCCAAGTACAAACTGGAAAACAAGTATACCTGCACAAAGAACACAAGTAAAACCCGCCGTAACATGATACAGGGATAGGCTATTATTAAAAGCGGCAATGAGATTCTGCTTGAAACAGATAACCGCTTGATGCATAACGCTTGCTGTATTTGCTGCATGCATTCCATATCGCAACGCTGTTATGTTTGATTGTTGTTGTTGTAAAGCGGAGGAATAGTGATGGTCAGAGAATTATTTTTAACGCTCTTGTGCTCATCAATAATTGACAATTTCATTGAATTGCTCGAGCGGGAAGACGCGTGAGAGGAATATACACAGGGTTCTTCATCTGACAAATAAACTTGACTCGAGAGGAAAATTACTTTCAACGCATCGGTGACAACACGGGGATAACTTCATCGGGATGGTATCTCGAGACTATTTCTTTTTCTGAAAGCAATCTCACACGCCAAGGACCAAGAATGCCCATGTTATTGTTGTGATTTAGTTGTCAATGTAAGCTGGACTATGTTTAAAAATATACGAACGGCAAATAAAAGGTCAATTAAGGTCTGATAAAAGGGGAATACTTTCAGTGGATGCTTAACTAGGACTGGCTTGTTTCGAAGAGCGTATCGACATTTCTACACGTTGAATAACCACCACAGTGTCTCTCCTGGAAAACAGAGTTTGAGAATTCCTTGAGATTTGGCGAAGAGTAAGTGCATGTAGATTATTGTTAGATTTATAGCGAAGTGGAACATGCGAATGTCTTTAACTTCTTAAGGAGGTAACATGGGGAGTTCGAACAGCAAGAGCAATACGGACACCTCGGCCCGGTACAGCGTGCCCAAGAAGACCCTCAAGTCATTCCCCTGGAAGTCGCTCCAAAGACGACAATGCAGCGTCAACGCCTCCACGATGACGCACTCGCCGCCGTCCTCCTCCGCGCCATCGTCACCATCGAGGACATCGTCGACGAATTCGGAGCCTCCGTCACCAACGGCGCGACCGACGGAGTGCCCTCGGAACACCGGAGGTCAAATCCGCATCGTCATCGACCTCGCGCGGTCTTACCATCTCAGCACCCACGAGAGATCCAACATCCGTTGGCACACCTCTTGTCAGTTTGCACCCTTTGATGATTCCAGGCTGGTCACATGTGTGGGTGTGGCCAGTGACGTCACGGGTAGGCGGATTGATCTCAGCTCAACCCTGTATCAGCGAGATGACGTCGTGCATGTTTGGAGTCTAGACGGTGCCAAGAATAGTAAGATATCCTACTCATTTCTTGTCATGACTGTCTCTTGGGTTTTAAATGTAAAGTGAGATCACAGACGTAGCCATTATTTCACTCCATTTTGGAGGAGGGGGGGGGGGGGGGGGGGGCTGGGGCTTGGGCTGGGGCTGTGTTCTCTAAATGTGCCGAAAAGTTTTCATATGTACCGACATACAAATTGTACAAACTAAATTTTTCAAATAAACTTGATATGAGCAGTATCTCAACTGACCTTAGCCTACTATAAATGTGTTAATTGTGCTGTATGAAATATTTGCTTATCATTATATTTCTGCTCGTTCAATATATACTTCTAATTATGTTATCGTCATTTTTATTCGTGTTTTGCAGAGTGTTATTCTGTGAGGAAACGACACAACGACAAGGTTCCGGCCCACTGTAGGATGCTTGGTGATGGACGCTACATCTGCTACGCCGAGAGCAACCGTCTGGTTTTCAGGAGCAGCTCCAATCCCAAACACTTCTTTCTCCGCGACACGCTGTTCCAACCCGGCGGCGTCTTCAAGTATTGTGCAGTATCTTCTAACGACTCATACGCAGCATCTATCGTTCAACTGAAGAGCGTTTATAAACTCTACGTCTTTTCAACGGATTTCTTTCTGCCGTTTTACGGCCAGGCCTGCCACGAGATCTACCCTGCGTTTCTCAATGACTGTTGCAACAACAGCAGCGGAAGGGACTCTGTCGAGTGTCGCTTTACCCCTGATGCTGATTACATCGCCGTGAGCTCCTCGAAAGGATCACTCTTCATCGTACGTCGGCAGAACTTGACACTCTTTCGAGGGGTCTTTCCGAGGGTGGATTCCCAAGGGAAGTCCATTGCGTTGTCAGGTGTCGGGGCATATGCGTTCCATCCGCTGTTCTCGCATCACCTAGTGACTTGTTGTACGACGGCGCAGAGACTTGTCACTTACAACGTCAACACGAACGTCTGCACACTGAGCGAGCCCATGGCCGAAGACATCGGGGTTCCTGATCGTCTCAGCTACAACAGCGAAGGAACCATGGTTGCAGTTGCAGGCTCCAAATCGCGAATCGCTGTCTTCTATTCGGACACGGCACAAGTACTGGCCATCCTGGACACCAACATAGACTGTACTCACTGTGCCTTGCAGATTCGCAACCCTGTTCCTGGCTACCGGCCCCACATCACCGATCTATCCTTCTCGCACGACACCTCCCACATAGCCGGGTCGTCAGACGATGGTCTGGTCAGAGTCTGGGAGTTACCTCCCACCATGGACTTACAGAGGATGTGTAGGTTGGCCATCCTGCGGCAGGTTCCCGCACATAAGGTGTCTCAGTTACCGTTGCCCCCGCTCCTCAAGTCCTACATCATCGGCAATCCCCACTAAATCAAATCACATCTGTCGATGAAACCCTGGAGGACCACCCTCAGATTCGTCTTTTCCTCGTCCGAGAAGTTAAGAAACTAAAAAGGGCAAATGAAGCAGAACTTAAAAACATGTTGATGATTCATCGTATGCCCTCGATGGGACATGGGCAATCGTCTCATCTAACCGCGTCTCTGACCCCACTCTTCAAATTCCACCACCCTTGCTTTTCCCACCAAGTAACCAGCCTAAGAGAACCTCCTGGTAGAAGGAGTGGACAAATGGACACGAAAGAGCGCTGTACAAAATGAACGTGATATAAAGTACAGCAGATATTTATTTTGTTGATCATTATAAATAATTGAACGATAATGGCAGCTGGACTACCGCTTTCTTCGCAATTTTCGAATGCTCGTAAAAGACAATGCAATGGTGAGCATTTTATCTGTTTTTTCCAAAATATTTGATTCGGACTGTGAATCAAGAATAAACAATTATCTGAAAGTCAAATAATATTTTGATGATTGATGGTGACAAAAAACAGTAAGTCGACTTTTTTTCTTCTGCACTAAGTTCACGTTGCCTTTCAATGCCCTGAACTCGAAGACAACCAACAGAACTTTGACAGTTCGAAAACTTAGTATATACTGCAGACTTGGAACATGTTCTAACTGTTCAGTGACCACTCACGGAGCCTGATACGGATCGTCGACGATGACATCATCAGTGATGTCAACTAAAGGTCACATAAAGAGGAGTTGTAATAACTCGGAAACTGTTTCTTAACGGAATATCGTTAAACGAATTAAAAAAGAAAAATTCCACTGTCCTTTTATATTTGGCGCGGGGTCTCGAAAATATGACTTTGCCAAAAAGTCACATTATAATCCCATTCAATTTGAATTTACTCGATGTGGCCCATTTACTTATAACGCATTCATTGCAAAATATTACAAAGCTATAAAGGAAAGTGGAACACATGGAAGGATTTGTGTTCAATCTTGAAAAGGACATGTTCTTGTATGAAAGCGTAATTCACACAAATGAATAATTATGAAGTTTAAACAGTTAGGTTATGGCGTTTTGCAGACGTCATAGAGGAATTAAAATGTACATCAATGTAATTTATGCATATGTACACGATAATATCTGTAATGCATGAATATTCATGAATGAAAACCCTCGAATGTTTTAAAGTCATGCCAAGAAGAAGGGGGAAAATGTCAGATTGGTTCAACTTTGGGAATATCGACAAGACATGAACGCTTGACATGCACTAAAAACAATCTGGGACTCGTTTTAAAACAAAAGATGATGAAAAATGATGTTGATGCTTTCCTCTTTTTGTAAAGAGGATAAGTTGGAAAGTGATTCAATTTTCATTCTAATAATTTTATCTAATGATATATTTTTTTCTTTCTTTTTGAGAAGAGATGAACTTCTCGTTGAAACGAGTCCCAGAAACTATGACCGCTGTCGCACAATGCGCAAATATCGTCTTGAGCTTTCGTTCAAATATAGACTATTGTTTGTTTTTGTTGGTCTATCATAATATCTCTTCATCTTCAATTATTAAATCAGTGTTGAAAAGGAAGTAGACACATACATATTAAACTACTGTTCATTTAATAATATTTTTTAGCTATTCGTAATCAAAAGACCACATAAAGAGGAATACAGTATTATTATCAGATATAACTTGATCGCCTTTATCTAACATTTCTCTACCATAGTGTACAATTAAGTTTTTGGTAATCTAGAAATACATATCGTATGAGTTGACTGAATGGGGACAATAATGATTACACATATGCTTTGGTTTGTCAGTCAATCTAAAATCCAAAATCAAAGGTTAAACTTGAAGATTTAAGCCAAAATTTTCCCGGATACAATATGCTACTTTATATACCAAATCGACACTACTGGTTTGGAATGAAATTCAATACCGATATTTGCGCAGTGTGTGACAGACGGCCAAACTGTAACATACGGTGTTGGTGTGACGTAGCACTTAGAAAATATTAGGACGTACATGTACTGGCTTTGACATATGTGACTATTTTGACGTTCGATGGGCATTATATATATATCGTACTTTGAAAATTTAATCTTGTCTTGAAAACGTGCAATTTGGATTTCCTTATTTTTTTTAGTCAGGTCTTCGTCGGCGTTTATCGGTATTTTGTAGCATGATCGAGCAATATTCATAAATAGGCCTATTCTTGACGTATAAGGTATATGTATGCACTATAGATTAACATATGTGCCTGTATTTTAAGGGCAAGCTATTATGCAGGTAAATACGACACGGTCACTTTGTAGCTCAGAACAGGGGCGTCGCTAGAGGGAGGGGGAGGGGGGGGGGGGGGTGCGGGGGGATGGAGATGTGGCACTCCATTTTATATTTTGTCCTCACCTATCAAATTTAGGGTTTTTAGAATTTGGTGTTGGTAAATACAAAATTCTGAGGACATAAAAAAAAAAAAAAAAAAAAAATCATGGTGGAAAATTTATTGCTACCCTATTGTTGGCAAGTTTGGCCCAAAATTCCTACTCTCCAACATGGTTAGCAACGCCCCTGGCTCAGACTGGTAAACTATCACGCATTGGCTGCACGGGACGCAGATTCATAGCCGATCCGATGCATATCAAGTTATGTAAAGAGTAGTACAGGCTTTACGTGTGAAGAACAGTTACAATAGTCTGTTATACTGATGATTCAACAATGCCACGATTGTTGTATCAATATTTGTTTTTGTTTTTTGTGTTTGATGAAAAAATACTTGCCATGCGGGCTATGTGCAATCGTCATTAACATCATTGATTAAGAATATAAGGGTGATTAGCTGCTTTCAGCTTGTTCGTTCAGTGTTAATGATTATGATTATTTCATTCTACTTCGATCGTGTTAGTAATTGTGTTTAAAATTCTGTATTTTAAGTCATTTAATTATTACGTCACTAAGATGTCCCTTCATTATTATGTGAAGTCGTCACTTTCATAATAATTCTCCCAGTGAAATGAAATCCTCATTTCGTTTCCGCGATATTCAAATTCGATTAAAACCAAATTTTGATGAATTCTGATGCAATAACTTGGCAAAATTCCGGTAAGTCTGTATTAGCCCACATTTTAAAAAGAAGGGCTAATTAACAAAAAGGGAGTTAAATCAACATGATCAATTCGTCATTCATTTAAAATAATACCAGACTCTACAGCATTAGTCGAGTGATTTTTTTTACCTTCAAAATAAAGGGTCTACGTTTATTGTTGAGCCTTCGTACCATTCAATATTTTTTTCAAAATTTCCAATTTCTTTGATACCTCTTCATTGACACATTTTTTGTATGTGATCGTCTTTAATGTCAAATTTGTTTCAAATGACCTCAATCCGCATCACACCAATCCGATACAGGATTATCAATAGTTAGTCTTTACATCTTTCAAATTGTTCGGTGTACATCATTAGTTGGACAAAGTGCAATATTATCTTACGTTTAAGAAATCACAAAGGAAGAAAACAGCTAAAAGTATCATTTATTTCATGAAACGGTCTGTGCAATAAGAAACATATTTCTCTCGAATTTTTGTGTCATCCGTTCACACCTTGACCTAACGATTTTAGAGCTTCTAGAGTAAAAAAAATGCAGCTAGACACAGCTAGGTAGTTTGAAGAGGTCGTATACTACAATACTGTTTTGGCACGTAGTGGTGGACCTCGAGCAATTAACGAAATAATATTGTTTTTAGTCTCGGTAGAAGTTACCGATGAAAAGTTAATTTGGAATTGCAGGACATCGTTATTTAATGCTGAGGCTTTCATTGGAAGCCCCACAACAATCGAACGAATCGTGATAAAAAGCTTAGATTTTCGTAGAATACAGCATTAGGATATTTAAAGGGCATAAAGTTCAGCATACTCTTCGACATAATTATCTACAAACTTCACCGGATTAATATAAAAACCTAATGACTGTACACCATTTTGTTCGTTCTGTGAAATGTAATTTCTCACTTCATTTCGTTTGTGTTTATATTTTATTGTCAATCTTTGTAAATGAATCCTGGATAGATGCAATATTTGTGATTTACCTTTTAATTCTTTGATCTCCATTTCTAATGGTATTGGCTAGGACAATTATAGTGCAACTCTTAACTGTCTTGTAGGAATAAATATTTGATGAATCGTTTTCTCATAGACATTGCTAGATAGGACAATCCTGTAAAATGCCAACTCTTGCGGTAGCATATAACGGTTTATTTTATTACGCTTGGGTGAAGCAAAAGCTGTAGAATAGATCTGCTATAATCATATTCTCATTTGCTTTGTTGCCGTGCAACTCTTTCCTTGTAGAATAGAAACTGCTTTCACATGCTTGGCTAGGACTTGTGTGCAACTTATTTAGCTGGAGAATTGAGCTGCTGTATCATTTAATAGCCATGTTAGGTTTAGCTCTAACAATCTCACCTATATAGTAGGATGTAGATATATCAAGCTATATTCTACATGTGGTAGGGATGGACTGGGGCAATCGGGCAACTCTTAGTTGGTATCTGCTCTAACTTTTCCTGTATTTGGGCTAGGACAACTGTGCAACCATTTAGGTTGTGGAACATGAAAATCTGCTATAACTCTGCTATCGTCAAGGACAATCGTGCAACTCTTAACTTTGTAGAATAGAATCTGCTATAATTACGTTATATTATCAAGAATTGACAAGGACAATCGTGCAACTCTTAACTTTGTAGAATAGAATCTGCTATATTTTCTCTTATCAAGAATTGGCAAGGACAATCGTGCAACTCTTAACTTTGTAGAATAGAATCTACTATATTTTCTCTTATCAAGAATTGGCAAGGACAATCGTGCAACTCATAACTAGTAGAATAGCATCTGCTTAAAATTCTACTGTTGGCTAAAGGACTCTTGTGCAACTCTTAACTTTGTAGAATAGAATCTGCTATAATTATGTTCTCTTGAATTAGCAAGGAAAATCGTGCAACTCTTAACTGTGTAGAATAGAATCTGCTTCGTTTTCTCTTATCAAGAATTGGCAAGGACAATCGTGCAACCCTTAACTTTGTAGAATAGAATCTGCTATAATTATTTTCTCTTATCAAGAATTGGCAAGGACAATCGTGCAACTCTTTACTTTGTAGAATAGAATCTGCTATATTTTCTCTTATCAAGAATTGGCAAGGACAATCGTGCAACTCATAACTAGTAGAATAGCATCTGCTTAAAATTCTACTGTTGGCTAAAGGACTCTTGTGCAACTCTTAACTTTGTAGAATAGAATCTGCTATAATTATGTTCTCTTGAATTAGCAAGGAAAATCGTGCAACTCTTAACTGTGTAGAATAGAATCTGCTTCGTTTTCTCTTATTAAGAATTGGCAAGGACAATCGTGCAACTCTTAACTTTGTAGAATAGAATCTGCTATATTTTCTCTTTTCAAGAATTGGCAAGGACAATCGTGCAACTCATAACCAGTAGAACACAAGTTGTTGTAATTCCCACCTTATTGAATGGCAAGGACAAAGTGCTACTCTTTACATGTAGAATAGATGTGCCATTTCTGCTTTAAATTAGATTTCCTTATAGTAGGTTATTATTTTGCAAGTCGCAGAAAAGAGCAGTTCTATCTTCATACTTCACTAGTCAGGATATATGTAATATAATATCCCCTAGATCAGAATCAATTGACGATGTATTTAGGGCTTACATTGAAAAAAAAGTAGTATGGTATAGTAATACTATAATACTAATTTTGTTCATAGTAGTAAGCGTATATGTCAATACAATGTAGGAAAGATCCCTATATACTTGTACGTGTACATTGATCGGGCAGAGGCAATATGTTCTTATAATCTTTTCTACCTAATATTGGAGCCCGATTGGCTAGGACTTACTGTGCAACTTTTCTTTTGAATGATACTTTTTGAGTTTTACACTTTAATTTAGAAGAAGGCAAACAAAATTAGAATGATGTCAGGTACATGCAAAATTATCCAGGATTTTTTCTTTTCTTGATTAAGTAACACTGTTATAATTTTGTTTCCCTATGCTATCACACAGTTCACCTGTTTCATTGGATATAATATTTCACAAATGTATTGTGTTAGATCATCGTAATAAGGCAATCGCAATTTTAATTTAGAGGGAAGAAAAACCCCAAGCTTCATGATTTGAATTTTGAAGTATTCCGTCACTGTTCGAACATTGATTTATTTTACTAAAAACTAAGAAGGTGCGTCAGATGTTTGTTTTAATTTATTCGTACATGGTTATTCACATCGTTCTTTTCGATTTTGCACTGATTTATGTCAACAGAATGCAAACATCGTCTAAAAGCCCCATTTAATTCGGATACCACCCGTTATCAATTATGAATATATATCACTCAATAATTAAAGGGTTTCTTGCACATATTTCTAGAGAAAACATATCCATGGTACGATATGCAGATCAGTCATTTAATTTTGTGCGTGTGTGTGTTTATTAATGTTTGTTTTTTCCATTTGTGACCTGTGACCTTTAACCTTGCGCTCTAGAACCAATTGTGATAATCGTGGTTTGAAAATCAGGTACTCGGCAGTAAATACAGTACAATCAGGCTTTTATGAGCATAGAGACTATTATAGTCGTCACTTTCACTCAATGGTATAGGTTGTCATGACTTGTAAGTGTATCTATGTAAATTATGTGGACCAAACTGCGTGGTGTAATTAATGTTTTAATTTATTTCGATTTGAAATAAAAAGTAACAAAATAGCAATTCTCGCATTGGATGTTGTTATTGTGTTTTGGTGTACCTCTGTGATACAATATTGTTTGTTTTATTATAAAAAATCCTTATCTTTTAATTTTGTTGCCTTGAACACTATCGCAAAGTTTTTCAAAAGCAAATTCAAGGGCGATTTCAATAGATTTGTGAGGCACCTATTGAAATGTACGAAAATGACAATGACACATTACGCAATCCGAACATGATGTCAATACATGCAATACCATTAAAAAAAAAAAAAAAAAAAAAAAAAAAAAAAAATTAATTTTAATTTTTTATAAAGCTAGATCTGGTTTCATGTAACGTATAGCAGCTCTCATGACTAATAGATATTTCAACATGTTAGGAAAGTAATCGTACAATACAATGCAAAATCCGTTCTCAGGAAACTAGTACTGGGAAAAGCAATCGCCCTCATGGGTAATCTTTAGAAATGGAATGAACAAATTAAGTGGGGAAGGGGGGGGGGGGGGGTCCAATTAAAAAAATTAAGAAAATATATTAATTTTAAGTAAACTACATGATGGAGTATTAGAGGGGGATAATAACAGGAGAGAGAACGAGTGGTATATATAGAGAGAGAAGGAGAGAGAGAGAGAGAGAGAGGGGGGGGGGGGGGTTGAGGTCATGTAAATTTAACGATAGTAAAAAGAGGGAGGGTTAGTCCATCATAAATAATCAGAAACTACCACTACCAGCATTATCATCATCTTCACCATCATCAGATAAATTTCATCAACCCTTTCACATCTCAATCACATAACTATACCTCAAACTGTACAATTTTTTTACCTCCTTATCAACACCACTTAATGATGAAACACCATGTTACATCAAAAACATGCCATACAAAATACACCCATGCAACTAGTGCTCCTGTCTAAAAAAAGGAAGACATGTAGACCAAGAATTATTATTTGGTGTAGTAAATACAATGCTTACACATTTAACGTCATTGGTATTTTTTCACCTTATTTTTCAAATTTCAAATCTTCACGAGTCATACTTAAAATTAATTCACAATGATTATTAGACACAAAAAAAATCAGACGACAAAATCAAGAGGGATAAAATATGGTAATTTTCAATTGAGTGTATTTAATATTCATTTTAACATCTTTCACGATACGAACATGCAAGAAACATTTTATTGGTGACAAATTTTGTGCTTAGAATCTATATTTTACTTTGCAGCACAAACATGTACGAAGCTCCATAACTTCACCATCATTACATAAATAGAAATTATAAACATTTATCAATGCTCTCGCAAGCATGGGCATTATTTTAAATTGGTTTCATGCCCTTTGGAATGATTTCTCTTACAGTTAATTGTAGCAAAGTGTGGAAGAATTATCATATTATCCTCACATACACATAGAGTATCCCTAAGATTTCATACAGCATCAGAGTCTGGTAGTAGTCTTCCTGTAGAGCTTGAATTACTTGAGGTATCTACAGTGCAAATGTACCTATGCAGTGTCAAGTATTGTAATTACAATTTTAAAAAGAGACACACCCATAATGTGTTTAAAAGATGAGAAAGTTATATTGTACATAGAGAGATCGAGGGGAGAGGGAGTAAAATGGAGAGAATAGAGAGGAAAGAGAAGAGGTGAGAGAGAGAGAGAGAGAGAGAGAGAGCGGTGGAAGGGAGGGGGAGAGATTGAGAGAGAGAGAGAAGAGAGAGGGAAGAGAAAAAGGGTGAGAGAGAGAGAGAGAGAGAGAGAGTGATGGGCAAAGACAAGAGACAATGAAACAGAGAAAGAAAACAAATCATAAGAAGCAGCACAACTTTAAATACAAATTGAAAACCACATGACCGTTTATATATAAAATGTATAACATTAGATGAGAAAAAAAAATCAGTCGGCATCAATTAGTTTTATAAACCATTGGCACCACAGACCATGTGTTCTCCTGGAAACCAGAAGGTTGTAAAATCATATACTTCAAAAGGCAGTAGATGCCCTTCTAGCTATAAACAGATGAATTATCAACAACAAAAATATCCCTCGAGTTGAACCACTATGCAGCGTTTTTACTGCAAAAATAAACGGTCTGTATATAGCACATGCATTATTGAGTGGGAAAACAAATACGTACAAATTGCATTTCTTTATCTAAGAGGACAGACACAAGCAACAACTACAAGATCACAAAGGATGAACATGATGAAAAGAACAATTAAGACCATTATTAAAAAAGGTGAGATAAAACAGGAAAAATTATATTCTTTTATACATAAATACACTGTACAATAGAAATTTCAAAATATACACAAAACAAACGACACAGTCCCCTGAAATACATGTACAACTGTACAGGTTACGGTTGTAAGGCAAGGCTATTTTCGTACAGGGGGATGCGGTCATAATATCATAAACCAAATGGAAAACTTTTTAAAAAGGGAAAGAGTCAGAAATAAAAGCAAGGTCATCCTGCAAAGCTTATGTAATACAATATCGTTATCTGATATATATATTTTTCGCATACAAGTACCAGCAATAATGTGTCACAAGTGTAATCCCCATATACATTATATTGCATGCATCGAGATAAGCAAACAGTGCCCAACAGGCCATTTTCGTAAAGTAATCAAATCTAACGCAAAAATCATTGTTACATGCCATGTAACAAATTATTTCATTCACCTGTTACAAATAATTGTATTTCAATAGTCAGAATGCAAATTGCATACATTAACTGTTGCTAGGTAGGACAAACATTATAGCTTGTCCTACCTAACAGCACGGAATGTATGCAGTTCGCACTCTGACCATTGAAATACAATTACCGTATTCGTAACAGGTTAATGAAATAATTTGTAACTAGGCACTCAACAAAGATTTGTGCATTAAATTTGATTACATTACGAAAATGGCCTATTAAAAGTGCTTGAACCATGAAATTGGGACAAATTCACATATCTCCATGACTGATATGCTAATTTTAAAGGTGATAACTATTTTTTTCATGACAGAGAAGAATTTCCATTTACACCTTGTGATGAAACATTTATGAAAGTGCCTATCTGTGGTGGTTTACCACACAGGACGGTGGCAACCAAAATATTTCCAAAATGGGCACTATGACCCAAAGAATATAGCTATGATATAATAAGAAATGCATGTATTTACTGAATTACATAAACAAAAAAATTGTGATCCATCAAAATATATATTCAAAATTTGTTTTAAAAAATTGGCAAAATATTTGTACGTATGAAATGAGAATATGCTTTGGTAAATTTATAGGGAGAATGTGACCCAAGGTTAGTGTCAAGGAATAAGTAAAAAAAGGAAATAAAGTGATAGAAATCTGTTGACTACTGACTTTCGTATTCCCATGGGCTTATACATGAACCACCAGATTCCAGCAGGCAATGGCTTAACAGAATATTTATAGTTTTAAGGTAAAGTTTAAGGGTTACATCATGTAATTCTTTCAATGGAAAATGTGCCCTGGAATGGATCCCTATGTAGGCAATATATAGCCTCCGTTGGGATTGTCTACCGGTAGTTTATTCTCCTGAAGACCATCAGAGCACACGGATTGAAATGTCGAGAACCATGAGCGCTAAGTGGAGCTCATCAGCCATTTTCAGGGTTCTTAAATGGTCCTTAAAAAAGAATCCCATGGTCTAATACTGAAAACTTTACCGGCAGTTCAGCTTCCCCACCACCATGAAAAGTATCACTAATACTTCAGTCGAGAATCACTGGTGAACGAAAACACCCTCCAGTTATTTTAATTTACCACAACATACAACACGGGGAACCATGGTCGTGCGGACAGCACCAAACGTATAAGGCCCACATATAAACAGAGAAATTTTGCATAGCAGCTGCACAGAGTGCAAGACAGAGAGTACATAAAGGTATTGCTTGAAATAATCAGTAACAGTCGCAAGTGATACATCGAGACAAGAAATTCCTCAGAACATAGCAAAACTTTGGGAAACTTTAGTGAGGAATCTTCCGAACATACCGGTACGCAAATCTCTAAAAGAAAACTGTACAATCAATCATAAATATGGAGTTATGGCCAAAGATAAAAATTATCTTCAATCATGATTACCTTGGAAACATTTGATAAATACATCAGACTTTATAAGTAGAGAGATGATCATCAAGTTCAATCTTTAGTGCTTGCTGAACCGAAATAACACTGTATCTACAGCGAACAGATGTACGTGGGCAGTATGAAAAAGACAATTAATTCATCACATTGTTCTGTTCTCTGATCGTATCCTTCACATGTAGCTAGTCACCACAGTTGAAGATTGTTTCCAATAGACTATTGTTGCTTCATTACACATGGGAGGCAAGAGGGGTCTTACAGCTTGAACCAAAAACAAATATATAATTTCTCAAATCACAGAAGAAGTCTAATAAGTCACTATTTTGGGTATGATTTCACTTGCTGTAGCTTCGCGTTAGGCGGCCCTGTTGTGGATTTAGTACAACCAAACCAGTATTTGTTTTTACTGATTATGAAAAAGAATAACTCCTCAATATTGTATAATCTACTAATTTGACTCTTTAAAATTGCAAGTGAGACATGTTAAGTGACAGAATCAAAGACATTCCCTACATTCATAGAGCAAAATATAAAGAGAATGTCTAAGTGCCGTAATAGGTTAGGGTGAGCGAGAGATTATTAAAAATTTAGTTATCTTACTTAATAAAGTACAGTACATACATAACATGGTTTTCGCAGCAAAGGTGTAATATTTGGCAATTAAAATACTTTTTGATTGTTCCAAAGCTTCCCCACCCACATACAGGTTATGACTTAAGGTTAGTGAAAAAGTTTGAACAGTTTACTGCAATACTCCACACAATCTTTTGTGAATAGGGTCCAGATTTAAATTTTCATAATCGGTACGCTTGAGCCTTTTTAAAATTGAATAGCAAAACTAAATTGTTGTGACGTTCGTGATTTATTCATTTTACAGGCGGGGAAACTCTTGTGAATCTAAACCATTTTTTATTTGTTATCAATATAATTGAAATATTACAATTTACAATATTTTTCGGTGTTATAACTGCGTGAGTAATGATTAAGAACTGGTGATGTAAGTGACTTATTCATGCATTTTTAATAATAAAAACGGTGCTTATAAAGCGCTTACCACCAAAGTCTCTAAGCACTTATAGTCATATGTATACCATACATATTCTGTTACAGTTTATAGTCAAATATTGTATTGTACATTAATTTTGCCACACAGCAGTCTTACAATGTCATATTATCTTGGGTTGCAAGATGTGGCAATATGTGTTACTAGTTATCTCAGAGACATGTCATGATTTGTCTCGATTGATATTGTACATAAAGACAGACCTACATCAAGACACAGAATCTAATATTCTTCTTCTCTTCTAACAATTATGATTTCAATACTGGTACTCATTCACTTAAACCTGACCCTTGTTTCAAAATTTTGTTTAATAAAAGAAAATTTAGACCAAATACAGTCAAACCTGTCTATAGCGACAGCCCAAGGGAAACACAAAAAGTGGTCTTTGTAGACAGGTTCCTTTATTACATGTTTCAATGAGAAACCATTTCCAAGGGAAACAAAAAGTGTGGTCTTTGTAGACAGGTGGTCACTAAAGCAGGTTTGACTGTACTAACTTCCTTTGTTAAACCTGATTTTGGACATAAGCTTGAACCGAGCATCAGGTTTCAGTTTATGTAGAATACAGGCTTATGTGATTATTTATTAATTGCATTGTTCAGCAGGCATGACATCATAATTCATTAACTTTTTAATTGTAAATAGAGTCTGCGAGCCAGAAGGGCATTACACTGTGTTTCAGGGAGGTAATGCCCTTCTGCCTCTCAGCATTGTGACCTCCTTAAGTCCGTTCTGCACTCATCAAGAAATATGGGCACACAGACCCTGTGTCATCACTATTCGGATGCATGCAATGTCTTGCACTGGCAAAAGGACGCAACTGACTTTTCATGATTTTGGCCCATTTGAAGCAGTTTCTATCAGAGCACGTGGATGTATTTGGTGGAGGGAGATGATTATGAAATCAAGTCACAAGAACCTTTGGATGTCCCTTTTTAAGTCGACTTCCAAAGCCCATCTCCAACAAAATATGCATCGTACTCGCTTCTTTGAAACACTTCAGAAAGAGACTGCACGGTTTCTATCTGTTTCATATTCTTATTATAAATCCCCTCAAAGCGAAAAAAGTGTTCTTTAAAGTGCATAAAAGCTCATGTGGTATTTCATACAGCCAACATGGTGTTACACAGTCAAAAAACAACTTTGCATGTTCAACCATAGCTGATTTGAAGTAGGTATGAACCCATGCATTGAGGTGGCTAGAATTGCAGAACTTGCATTCAGACTGTGTATCCTAGCTCTACACATCCTCATTATGCACTCCTGTGTTTTTCACCACTGCACAAAGCCACTTCATGTACTAAACAGAACCTTTCAAAGGGCAACATAACAGATCTTAAAAGGGGGAACAGATCATGAAGGTATATAGAAACCAATCTATGTCCATATTTCAGCATACACAAGCTGGAACACTGAGTGCACAAAAAAGGAGACACCAATTTTGCACCAAACTCTGTGATTTCGTACAGTTATGTGCAGTCTCATCATGATGGTGATGAAGTACAGTCAAACCTGTCTATAGCGACCGCCCAAGGGAAACACAAAAGGTCGCCTTATAGATGGGTGGTCTTTGTAGACAGGTTCCTTTAGTACATGATTCAATGAGAAACCATTTTCAAGGGAAACAACAAACGTGGCCCTTGTAGACCAGTGGTCTTTGTTGACAGGTGGTCACTAAAGTAGGTTTGACTGTATCTTGACGAAGCATCCTCAGGGATTCAGAGGGTCCACTGCTGATGGTTCTATACCAATGCTGTCCACGTCCGTTAGGAGGGGTACAGAGACATCATCAACGGGGGACTTGAGTTTAACTAACTTGAGGGAGGGGGACTGGGGCGGGGCCGCACTGGGCTCCTGGACGTTTGGCAGGAAGTAGGCAACGAGGAGAGAGATGATGACTAGTAAAGAGCCGAAGACAAAGGGTGGTCCAGGCATGATGGTCTGCAGGAGAGAAATTGAAAAGTGAAAGAAGCGAGGGTTAGTATCTTGTTGATAAGCTAATACAGAAAATAACATAAATACCAGCATCAACAACACTATCCCACTACCATCATCAAACCCACCATCAGTACACCTACAATCACCAACACCATCACCACAATCACTGCTATCATTCTCCTCACCACCACCATCATCATCATCATAACTACCACTACCATCATCACCCATCATCATCATAACCACCACCATCATCATCATCATCATCATCATCATCATCATCATCATCATCATCATCATCATCATCATCATCATCATCATCATCATCATCATCACCATCATCATCATTTTCAAAATCACCACCACCATTGCAACCAGTTCAACTACCACCAACATCACCAACACCACCACCCTCCTCACCACCACCACCACCACCTCCATCTCCACCATCACCGCCACCACTACCACCATCCTTCCCATCATCACCCCTAAGACCAATCTTCTTTGTTCTTACCTCTTGCATGGGGTTTTCCATCACACCTTCCTCGTTTTTTGTGCCGGTATCATCAATATCCAGGTTAACATCAAAGAAGTAGAATATAACCCCAAAGAGAGCAGGTCCTAGTCCTGTACACAGACTGCGTATTCCTGTTACCATACCCTGCACGACACCTGGTGGTATGATAAAGGAACGGTTAAAGTATCTATAACTTAGAAACAGGTAATTCGTGTACAGCTACAATATATTACATCAACCTCAAAACAAATTATTTGGCATCTGGCACTCTATTAGTGTATGTACAGTATGAAAAAAATAAAATTAGGAAAGTTTATGGTGAAATCCCATTTTCCAGGGTAACATGAAAATGTTTATATCGACAGAGAGGCATTGTTCAGACTTAGGAGATACTACATAGATGATATCATTTTATAACATGTTTGCGTTGTTATGGAGTAAGATTTGATCAGTACGACATGGTGAACACTCCACTTGCTCTGGTGACTTACAATCTTATACATATTCATGACTCATGGCACTACAGGGTAAAATTAAAGGCAATCTACCCTATTTACATATTAATGAACATGTAGAGTAAAATGAATGGCATTCCTACCCTGTTTATCTTGGTCAGCGCAATGTGATATCATAGCGCTGATTGCTGACCTATAACCTCATACATATTCATGAATATGTAGAGAAAAAGGTAAGGCATCCTAAACCCTGTTTATCTTGGTCAGCGCAGTGTGTTATCATAGCATTGATGGCTGACCTATAACCTCATACATATTCATGACTCGTGTCACTAAAGAGTAACATGAAAGGCATCCTACCCTATTTATATTGGTCAGCGCAGTGTGTTATGATAGCATTGATGGCTGACCTATAACCTCATACATATTCATAACTTAAATCACAAACGGGTAATATGTAAGGCATTCCTTCCCTATTTATCTTGGTCAGCGCAATGTGATATCACAGCACTGATCGCTGACCTATAACCTCATGCATATTCATGACTTAACCACTTGACCGCTGAAGGCTTTTTTTACACTGTAGCACTCTGTGCTAAGGCATTTTGAGACATGCAGAAATCTGAACATACAACTCACATCTCTGATTTTCTTTTTTGTGGAAGAGCGCCATCTACTGTTCGTATTCTAAACTTTGATATTCAGGTGCTAATGGCATTGTAGGGGTCGGTATAGTGCCATGCTAACAATTTGAATATGGAGAGGACGTCATAGAGGGTACGTGTTTAGCACAGAGTGTCACATTTGCATGCACGTAATAGTATGTGCTTAGCAATCAAGTGGTAAAATCACATCAGAGTAAAATGAAAAGCATCCCTACCCTGTTTATCCTGGTCAGCGCAATGTGATATCATAGCGCTGATGGCAGGAAAGTTGATACTACAGACGCTAGCTATGACCCCTGCAGCCCACATCATCCACTGCTGTGAGGCGAACCCGTACCACATCAGCTCCAGCATCTCACACGTTAGACCAACCATGATTGTATGCTTGTGACCGAGGTGTTTTATTAAAAACCCTAGTAATATCGTCTGCTCGGTCGAGAAGAGATCAGGGGATATACAGAGAAAAGGAGATGGAGAAGGAAAAAAAAGCATGACAATATTATCATTGTGTTAAATTATTTTGTTCCAGCATTTCAAAGGTTAGACCGACCATGATAGTTTTGCTTGTGATCAAGATTATGCATTAAAAACCCTAGTAATAATGAAAGTTATAGAATAAGAAGAAGGAACAGAGTTATCATCGGATTTCTTCGATCTTAAATTTGTAAATGTTGAAAATCAAACACTAAATGAATATTTAACAATCACAAGCAGTGGCCAAATAACAAATACATGTGCATTGTATACACAAACCGATACTTCTGACAATTCTTAACCAGTGACAAAATTCCATGCATAAAATAATTTTCAGAAAAAAATACAGGGAGTAACATCATATACGAGACTGCTCCTACGGAAGCTCGTTGTATATTGCTTCCTCTGCTTTGACCAAGGTGGATTAAAGTGTTATGAAACAAGAATTTGTATAAATAGAATATATGCAATAGTAAATCATACTTACTTGAGTAAATACTGATAATACTCCAACTAAAGCTATATATGCAGGAACTTCTGGCGGTGAAAATTTACCAACCTGTTGATGAAAAACAGAGTGTGCATATGAATGTGAGTGTGAGAGTGGGCGGGTGGGAAGGAAAAACAGTGGAAGAGAATATACAGAGAGAGAGAGAGAGAGAGAAAGAGAGAGAAAGAAAGAGGGAGAGAGAGAGAGAGAGAGAGAGAGAGAGAAGGGGGGGAGGGAGAGATGAAAAAGACAGAGAGAGGCTGATATCACACACAAAAGAATATTTTCCAGGTTTAGTCTACAAAAATAGCTAAAATACACATTTTCATTGGGTATGTATTCAGTTTTTATTATAGAAATACATTTTTTTTCTCCAAAAGGTGAAAACATATATTTAGAAGGCATTTGTAAGGTAATGCCATCTGCATTAGGGCAACATATATGTACATATACTTCTATCATGAACTGGATGAAGAAATAAATGTCAATGCAGCATCTTTTACCAAATGATATACTTACTGTTCTAAGATAGAGGAACATACAAGAGTACTGGCCTGCCTCCGGTAGGTATGACAAGAACACTGCTATACATAACAATAATACGGTGTAATCTTGGCCAGCCTTCCTCAGCGACTGTAAAATGGAAAGGAGAACAAGAAACGTGTTATTGCATTCAGCATGATAAACCTTTAAACACTGCTGTGGCTTGAACTAACAGTAACATAGAAATATAAGGATCAAATTTAATCAAACTTTTTTTTAATGAATGAATCAATCTCTACACATCTGGTGCTTTTTCTTTTACAACTGGCATGTGATGTAGCTCATAGTACATGTACATTTACATATGATGATGATCATATGGTGATAAAGTCTATGCAAATTGCAATGATTTCATTTAAGTGCATTTGATACGTACATGTACATCCATGGTCATAATTTGCCCATTTGCACCTAAACATCTTGCAGTTGGAATTCAAATGCATAATATTCACCATTCACTTTCAAGTGGAATCATAAAACCACATTCTTTTATTCAAAAAATAAAATATAACAAATAAATTAGAAAACATGCATATATGTATGCTAAATATAGACAATGAAACAAGCATTCATCAAATAATTGAATGTGATTTGATTTGATTATATCATATTATTTGACATGATTGATCGACTTCACAATGACGTTGGAAATTCTTTGTCTAATACATCCCTGTACATGCAAAACAACCAGTACTCTGTTTTTTTTACCCCAACAGCTGCTGACATGATTTCTATAGGCCTGTCTTCATCAGCTTGAGTTTGCCAAATAACCTGCTATTTTCAGACTCAGGATATTTTCTCGACCAAATATCTCTCTAATTGCAACTGCAGGCTGATGAAGACGCAAATTAACCGGTTAATTTGAGTTCGGGATAGTTAAAATAGCGGGTTATTTGGCAAACTCGAGCTGATGAAAACAGGCCTTATGGGGGTTTCCTCACCCACTGAGTGACTCATAGATTGACTAATCCAGGACACAACATTGCTAGGGGCTACCCCGACACCATTTCTAATGCTTTAATTAAGCTCTGAAAGGTCGTAAACTTTACAAAACCAGAAGCACTCAATCTTAGTACTAGGTTACTAGCTTACTTTCATAGAAAAATAAATTACACATGCATTACTCAAAATGATGTGGTTATGGCTGGTTTATAATATGGTTATAATATGGCTGGCCCCTCTAAAGTGTTGGGAGCCCCCAAAACTGATGGCAAACTTTCATTTGAATTATATAATGATGTGAAAGAGGATGTTATTTAACACACACATCTGCAATGATTTGTTTAATGAATCTGTTTGAAGACGAATATTGATTTTTATATACAGGTTATCCCTGTATCTATCCCTGTATCAATCTAAACCACTTACCGTGAAGGGGTCGGCCTGCTCCCACGTTATTGAAGCGCCCCATGACGCTCTCCGTACTTTCTCTGGTAACGATTCCGGTACAGCCACTAATATGAAGAGCACATCGCACAGGGCTATCGCTGTGGCAAGAAATACTACAAAGCCATCCCCGTATATACTGGCTAAATACGCCCCTAATGCAGGGCTTGTGATGAGGCTGGCTGCAAATGTTGCTGAAACCTGTATTCACAGTTGGGGAAGATACAACAAGAAAATTATATTTTGATAAATGTAATGCTTCCTAGGAGAAATTGTTAATTGTTTAAACATATTTGTGGCTTACACCCAGTTGTCTGACTTGTTTTTAATAACAGATCGATCAATCAATCATTAAAGAAATTAAATGTTTCAGCTTTATGTGCTGACAAAAAAAAACCGATGTGATTATTACATTAACATAATTCATAAATAATATTCCTCTGATTTGAAAAACCAATTAAGAATTAATCCTTTTATTTCTTCAGCTGATTCATCATAATCCAACAATGCAGATGGCATAAAATATGAAATTGAATCCTTTAAAAATAAATATGGGCATGAATAAATTTGAGATTAATCATCTTGATCTCCACCTGCTCAGAGTGAAACTGATATTCTTTAATCTTTATACAATAACACAACTTTAATACAACAGCTGAACTAAGTATTAGGCCTGAATTGTTTCATGAATGAGTACATTCACAATAGCTGTAATTCTGACTACACTATACAAGATCACAAGCAGGAAGGTATCATCAGTTTGGTATGAACTGCTTCAGGCAGAATCCACATTCATGATCTTCTAGATCCTTAAATGTCAACCCATTACATTCCTATACATGGGCACGCATCAGAGTATGACACATATATCAAATCTCTTGCTCTCCTATTACACCCAGCATTCATTCAAGTTAATTTAAAGAGAAGCTGATACCGGTATTCTGGGGAATTTCTTTTTCTTTTTCATTCTTTACATTACATTGAGTGTATCATAGAAAAGGTGTTCCCTGAAAAGGATTGCCCTTCAAATGCCCTCATATTTGAAATATGACAAGTAACAGATGGTTGTGAACCACACTTTCATGCATCATGTTTGTGTAGTCCTGTGTACATAGTACATATCTGTGTACATGTACATTGCATGTGACTTTTAACAAAACCAGATCAATTACTTAAAATGTTGATAATTCCAAAACCTTACAATATACATGTACAGCCTGTTACATACATGTACACCAATAACAACCTTTCCCAATTATTCAAGACAGTTTCTTTCACAATGCAATCGCATGACCAGGGCCCTGCTTCATATAACTTGTTATCAATAACAAATTCTGAATTTACATGACAAATTTGCTCTCAGCCAATCAAATGCAACAATTTTCAGTAGCTTATAATATTGTACAGTAACTTGTTATTGATTTTATGTTTTATGAAACAGGGCCTAGAGCTCAATTTAAATTTTATAGGAAAATTCAAGGACCTGACGCTTGAAATTAACCTTGGATACATTCTACAAATCCACAGAATCCAACATTTAAAGAGAATCCGTCTTATCTTGGATTACAGCTAAGAAGGAAATCTCTGCTTTAAAGGAAATGTCAATTACATTTATGTGAACTCAGCTGAGCAGGAAGGACCCTCTTATTTTCAATTAAATGTTTGCTTTATGTTGACTTTTCTAAATTATTGCATCAAAGGAAAGTAAATGTCAGCAAATGCGTGCTAACTATTGACTTTTCTATTATGTTCATTAAAAGTGAGATGCTGTATCCGCATGGTACATTATAAAAGGAGCATAATTTAGTATTCAGTAAAAAATGAAAAGAAATCCGTCTACAGCATATCTTGAAGAGGAAAATAAAAAAGGCACGTATTCCTTTTCTACTCTCTATCTCAAATCATTGGTAATAATTTGTTATGTGATGCATACCCTCACCTACACCCACAAATACAAGTACAATGTAAATACATGTATATATACTACAAAATCTTAACAATTAAGGCCTTGTTCATCCACAAACACATAAACTGCCTACCCCCACCCCCTCTCAAAAGTGCTATAAAAATGCATTGGCAAAGATAAAAACAGTTTACAAAAATATGACAAGTGAGAGAGAAAAAAACAATGGCTGTACATAACAAAGCCCCCTCCTGCTTTATTTCTGGATTTAAGTCACCTTGACCATGGCAATTTTTGAGGCAGCTTACCATATCCCAAGTAAACGAGGGTTAAAGCTCATGTACAGTTTTGGCAGCAACAAAAAAATTGGCAAGAAACATGTTTAATAAAGTATCATGCTGTTCTCCTTATCAAAAGATATACGCAGGAGATCATTTGGTATTCTGAGTCTGTCCATGATCGCGAGTAAATTGTAGTGCAAATATCTGCCAGGAATGCTAGGTTCAATGGCTATAAACGCCTCTATGCTAGTACCCTTTGGCTCCCAGCACGTTAATCTCAGTGCTTTGCCTGGAGGCAGCATGTGCGTAGACTGTAGCATTTATACACACAGTCCCTTACACGAAGGTTTTACACACGTTTGCTGCAGGTTGCTGTTGCTGTAACATACTTCCCAGGATGTTATCAAAATTAATTTCGACCTCTCCTTTGTGAAACCTCACTGTGGGTTTCATTTTGCTAACTGTATCTTCCTTAATATTATCAAAAATCAAAGAAATCTGATGACAAGATTTTCGAGGGCTTACCACAACTGTACATAAACTTTAAAGCTCCACTGCACTACTTATAGCTACTTGTGCCCTCTATACAGCCAACAATGCCTAAGCGGTACCCGTTGATCCTCCATGATCCCCCTTTTTTTAATGTTAATTGAGAGCTGATTTGATGAGATAACCACCTGCCAGTGACCTTGCAGGGAGGTATAATCCCTCCATCATGCCAAACTAGTACAGAGGCCAGGGGGGGGGGGATTAGACCACCCTGCAAGGTCACTGACAGGTGATTATATCATCAAATCAGCTCTCAATTAACGTAAGAAAAAATCATGGGGACCAGTAGGCACCGATTAGGCATTGTTTGCTATAAGTAGTGCAGTGGGGCTTTAACAGAACATACAGTACATGTAAATAAACTTACCAGTCCATATGCTTGACTTCTCTCTGAATCTGGAGTTATGTCTGCTACGTATGCAAATATTAATGAGAAGGTCACTGACATTACACCGGATACTGATAGCATGGCAAAAAACCACCTGCAAAAAAGACAAGACAATTTAATTATCATCTCGTTAAACTATACAACCGATTAATACAAACACACATACATGCATTTTGTGCATATCAACAATGTAATTCAATTGAAGAGATAGTTTGATATTTTATGACTAGACAGCCTGCTAATAAACCTTCAGCATAATAAATTTAATTACTGTAAATGACTCCTGAATACTATAATTCCCATATAAAATGTAGGCTTTTAATATAATAATAATAATAATAATAGTATTGAATATTTAGATGTGCTAAAAACAATAAGTACCATATCGCTTACAAATACAAATATGTGAAAAGAGGATAAAACATGTACAGTCTCACATAGATTCGATCACATAAATCACTGGGGAAAAGGTGAGTTTTATGGGATCTTTTGAAGGTCACAAGACAGGTAATTTCCCTTATGGAAAGAGGGATGCTGTTCCAATATACTGTAGCGAATGGGTTAATGTTTGTATCCAGGCATCGAGTCCACCATGAGTGCTCACTGTACATGTACATGCTTGAAATGTAACAACAGGTGTAGACTCAGAGAATGTAAACCTCCCATAAAAAATGGTTACCACATAGTCAAAATGATGAGACACAAATGGCTTTTGACCATTCTGATTAAACACTTGCAATAAATGCAGACCATGGTAATAGTTTCCATTGCACTTACAGTGTAGGAGGCCCTAAAATACACGTTATCGTAGGTGCTTTAGAAAAACAGTGTATTATTATTATCAATGTTTAGACCACTGTTATTCACACCTTGTGTATATGTATTTACTTCTGAAAAATACCCCTAACAACCCAAAAATTGTTAGAAGATGTGCCAATATTTGCTTGACATAGCAACAAGCAATGCATGCAAGATACTTGTGAATTCTATCCACATGCAATAATACATTATGTACATGACAGGAGAATTACATGTTAAAGGTAAAGACCAGTACTGGAAACGCCCCAATTTCAAAAAATGACATGGAAGCTCTTATTACCAATCATGTGAAAGAATATGTTTTGACTAATACATGATGATAAAAATTTTGCCGGGAAACTGCCTACTAATTGATATATTTGGTAAATTAGTTTATCTATTGGTGTGTGAGAGATAAACACACATGTCACGCACGTGTGCGTAGTTCCATAACATCTTTCTGTGCACAGTGCTTGTAACTTTACAAAGACTGGGCCAAATTTCTTATCATTTTGATGATTCCAGAACCTTGCAGTACACACCAATACTTACAGTATATGCTAGATGATCCATCTTTTCTGATCGATTCCACAACGTTTCTTTCACAATGCAATCGCATGACCATAATTGGTCTTTATATTTAAAGATATTAAGCTCGAGTTCCGGTAATGATAGAAACTAAATTCTCACAGAATCCAACAAAACTTACACTGTATGTTGCTATGTTGAAGATTACAAATAAATGACATGTGCAAAATGTGATAGAAAATGTATAGGGGCTGAGCAATGAGCATAGGAAGATAAGGAAATCAAGGTAAGTACAGTAGGCTAACACCATGTGCTTAACATAGGTCCTTATATACAAATGAGAAATGTGGTTTTCATTGAAAATGATTTCCAGCAAGTTATTGTGAGGTTGTTTTTATTTAACTGGTTCAAACAATCTATCAACTGCAGGATAAACAATCCAGAATGGATTATAACCATGTTCTCTCGACATACGATTGTCAATACCAGAGCTCAAGATTAGCTTTAATAACCAAGGTTTAAATAGTAGAAAGAGTCATCAACATCAACTCTCTATGCTGTTACAAGTTAAAACAGAACACAAATACTGCTGTGAACTGTAGTGATTTCTAGCACCATATGAGAACGAGCCACTAATCAAGATGTCTTACCAGGCACTAATCTTCATGAGTGGGATGGGCATACAGGTGAAGAAGACCGTCAGCAGCAGAAATGATTTACGTCCCCAGACATCGGAAAGCGCCCCTAGCATGGGAGCGCTCAGGAATGCGAGAAACCCCTGTGAGAAAAAGAGAGAATTATTTAATAAAATAAAAAAATCATTACACATATTTTAAAAGAAGGGTACCGTAAATTTATTGAAGGAAAAACATAGGGGCATAGGCACAAATGACACAAACTCAGAAGTATAATCACAATCATGTACAGTAGGCCTTCAAAAGATAAATCATTCCAGTAACCTTCAATACTCTGTAACCAATTTATTTATTTATTTTTAATATACAGGGTGACACATTTCAACAATTCGTCCTTATTTTCACGAAGTGACGGTAGTGAGGAAAATCGTAACGCAAAGTGAATGCAATTTTTTTTCACTACCGTCACTTCGTGAAAACAGCGACGAATTATGGTGGTCTTCCATGTTTGGAAACAATGCTATTCAATAACAATCCTCAATAAAAACAGCTAACCGCAACATCTTTCAAAATTCAATACTGACCTCAAACATGCAATCCATGCACTTATTGATCAATTGACAAATAACTTATATATACATTCTGGGAAAAAATGGGTCACATTGTACAAATACATATTTTTCTATGCATATTTATATTACAAAGATATGATAACCATTAACATCAGAGTGAACGATTGCCTTTATTTGCACAAAAACAATGCTACTGGGACATATATTTGTTACGACTCTTTTAATTAAAGACTGACCTTTACACCCTGGACTAGTCCATTCATAAGAAAGGTGTGCTCTGGAAATGTCTCGTGCAGCACCTGCGAAAAAGAAGAAGCTAAATCATCAACACAAGCATTAAATTACAATAGCTTCCTAGAATGTGGTAACCGCAGTGTCATACTGTTCTGCAGAAGGATATCCTGTTTAAATACAATTACAATTTAATAGTTGCAAACTCATAATATAAATTCTAAAAGAGGAAGATCTACATAAACACTGGTTCAAATTCCTGAAGGAGATGTAAATTTAAACCATGGTCTAAATATTAAAGATAAAACCAAAACTGAAAAAAAAAAATAGAAACCCAAGACAAAGAGGAAAATAAAAGCGGAAAAAATAAGAAAAAACTTACAATGTACACCTATATATACATGTATTACATAATAATACACACTGTAGTGAAAAATAAACGGCATTTTAATTATTTTTGAGAAAAGAGGAATATTTCAGGAAGAAATTTTTGCAACTGGCTGGGCTCTCCACTGGTCACTTGAGGGCCCAAAGTCATACTCCAGACCTCCAAAAGTTTCACAAAGGAAATATATGCATTCTGACTTTCAAAGTAAAGTGCAGACCCTCTTCCAAAAAAGTGGAGCCCTCTGATTGGTCATTACAATCTAGCGCTTAAGATTTCCAGTAGGAAAGAACTCTCAAATCTTTTGTATTTTTTCTGCATTGAACTTTAGGGTAACGTGTAGTCCATAGATATCAAAATCTAACTGTGACAAGAGAATGTTATCATTTCTTACTGTGAGCATCGGTGTTGTTAAGAGTCCCCATGAGAAGAATTCCAAGAAGATGATAATGAGAGCATGGTACAGACTGGGCTCACCAATACCCTGTAAACAAACAATGGGAGAAAACAAAGAAATAAATGACACTGTTAATAACAAGAACAGCTAAAATGTTGCCTTCAGAAATACAATTTAATGGTGTTTTAATAGTTTAATGTCCTTGGCTACAGTTAAATGTCCAATTTCAGTTTGTTTTATCATTCCTCATTCAGACCAAACTTCCCTTGTTTCCTGAGATGAACTTCCTTTAATCCTTATCTTTCTCTGTAGCTATAACAGCATTTATATTCAAGTTGGACCATCTGCATGTAACCAAATTGCATTTTATTGTAAACTAGATCTCACTACAAAAAATCAGAGGATAACACACTGTATACAAATTCCCTTTTTAAGATCTATAATTTAGTACCAATAATAATAATAATCTTGCTTTAAATAGCACTTAATACGGAATACAGTCTCTAAGCGCTTTACAGATCTTATAAGCCCCCGTTCATCTGATTCATTGACACATATTTTGCACCATCTCCACTCCAATTAGAAAGTGATACATAAAATGTACCCTCTCAGATATACCTACATGTACGCCTGATGGTCACATACATTCCCATTCAAAGAAACATAACAAGCATACAAATATTGACAAATAACCTCGAGCATTTAATTAAAATGGATAAGGACGCTATATAAATCTCTTGTATTATTATTATTAATAAAACAAATCGTAAATGAGTAATTTTCTCTAGAAATTGTCAAAGACTGAGCTGTAATTTTGTTGAAATTTGACCAATCTGTGAGATGGTTTCATTTCCATTATCATCATCAAACATCAAATATTTATCTCTGGGAGGTTATAAAATACGATGTTATTTTTTCTTTTCTTCTAATGCTGTTTCCACTGCAGTTAAGAGTTTTCAAAAAAATCATTATCTTCCATTTTCCCCCCATAAATGCTGAGAAAACTGGCTAAATTGGAGCAAGAATTTCAAATCACCTGATGGTTGGATTTGGGTTAAAACACAAAAACATACCTGTAAGGTAGCCAATGGTTCAGGTGCAACTACAATAATACTGTACATGTATGCAGACTCCCTATCTCTGCAATTTTGCAAAATTTTCTGCCCATTGTAAACTGCGCTTGGTTAGAAATCATGAGAGTTTAAGTTTTACAGAAGCCCCTCTTAGTAATGTGCTTATATGTCTTTATGAGGAGCTTTGGGGGCTTTTCATTCAAACAAAAAATAAATTCTAGATTTTATGTTTACTTATAGAGCCAGGCCATCCTTGATCCCCATCCTTGATCGTAATACTTGATCGTAATGACCAAACGCTCCCCCTGTTAAACTCTAGATTTTCAAAGTTTTAGGTTTCTGGAATAAAAGATCTTTGTCTTCGTCATGGAAGTACATTTTTTATGTTGTTAGTTTCCAAAAACCAGAGATCCCCCCAAAAATATAAAGAGTTGCCCCAGCAATATTTAATTTTTTTCCCCAAAGTCTCAACCATGGTTTCTCGGCAGCATGGTTTAAAAATGGGGTGTTTGCGTGCTGATAAAAAGCCCAGCAGGTTGAGCCAGCACTGGATTTCTTTAAAGCTCCTTCCATGCAATCTGGCCAAAATCCATCTCCAGGATTTAAAAAACTGACATCGTAACGATGCATACAGAGCTAGTATTGCATTTATTAATATCATATATCACACAATGATGATTAATGATTGCAATGGGACACATTTTAAGCTTGCGTTTGATGCACCGATGTGGTTATGATTCTTCATTTAAATCATTACTTAAATCATGTATTACTGTTAGGATCCTATTCCTATCCTAGATTATTAGATAATTTTCTAAAGGAATTAGGAATCTTAGGACTATCATAAATAATACATTAATGTTTGCGGATTTCGCGCTAAGATTGGCAAGGGCGAAATTTAGAACTGGCGAAAATATAAGCATGACTTCTAATTATTCATGTTTTGAAAGCATTTATCTAATCTAATTTGTGATATTTACCCATTTTAAAACAAGTTTAAACTAAAAGTAAAAGGGCCCAAGTCTAGAGCCTTTTGTTTAGAGACACGCATTCGGTCATAATTCTCCATTTACTTAGTCATCTATCTACATCAATGGAAAGAGTTCAAGACCATATACAGATCTACCCCCCCCCCCCCCCCCCCCGCTAAATAAAAAAACGAAAACAAAATTTCATTGTCTTATTAACACATTTTCTTTCTAATTCTATCTCTCATTGTCTCTGACCCTACCACTAAGTCCCTGATCCTAGTTTCCCATGTTTTATATATTATATATCACTCTGAAACGTTTCTAGACCCTATAGATCTATCTGTTTTTTTCTCGATTTTAGTGGTGGGTACATATCACACAGTCAAACACACGGTCATCATCACCACTGAATCTGAGTGATTGTTTCCGTACACAGCTGCACAGACACAACACAGCTCAGCACACTGAAACAGATTGAAATGAAAAAAACGTACCGTTCTACCACCATCTTTTCTCTGTTTTGAAGAAGTGCGGATCAGAGCTGGCCGTTTTCTCTTCTTCGGCATGTTTGATTGATTTTCCAACATTTAGGCTTTATCTTGTTTTCATCAAAGAGCAAGAAAAATGAGTAATAATTGGCTCTTTGTCACCTTTCATTCATCATTGTTTTCCTTCGGTCTCTGCATAGGCCTATACAAATTACAGTGTTGTAATATACTGCATGCATGTTTAAGTGTACGCGTATGACCCTGCGGGAAGTTTTTTTTATCACTTCCGGGTATGATGATGGGCCGATGTCGATATGATGAGCAACACTTCAACATACACGTCATCATATCGATTATCATTCAGATCAGAATTATAACATTCATGATTGAATAATATGATTAAATTCTGTAATTAATAAATCCTGTTCATTCTTGATTGATGTTAATTATTTTCTAGAAAATACGAGGCAAACAGTGAACAACAAGTCACAAATTGGGATGGGGGCACCCGGGGGAGGGGGGGGGGGGGGGGGGTTAGGCGGGGGGATGTGACCGTACCTCTCCTCAAATAACAGAAGAAATTGCATTTTGCATTCTGCAAAAGGATATCATTTGTTTATTATTTTGCGATGTCTTTAATTCTAACACCATTATCGAGGGCTTTGCAATTTACTCGATCATTATTTGCTATACCCCCCCCCTCATTTCCCCTAAGTTTGTGGTCGACCCCACCCCCAAAAAGTGTCTTTTGAGTTTTGTTATGTGTGTATGCATGAGGGGAGTGGGAGGGGAGGGGTCTTGCCCCCTCTATCAGCATGCATGGAGCCGTTCCTGGATCTATATAGGCTTTATATAGGGCCTATATATAAATGGACAGTGATTTAGGGATCTATGCACCAAAGAACGACAGTACCGGTATATTATATTGGATTAATATCAAGGCCTCCTCATAAAATTGATAATTTAGATAGCCAATTCTAAAATTAATGCTGGTCTATTATATAGGCTAATTATGTGCACTTCCCAGAATAAAAAAAAGAAAAAAGAAAAAAAAAGTAGTAGTCATATAATACAAGTTTATAAATCAAAGAAATACAGGTATAGTGGTATATACATAACACAATTATATACTTCATCGCACAAATGGTAAATTTTTGTATTTCTTGGGTTTCGTAAATCTCCGATCATTTTACAGGCTTACCTGAAGTGGCACAGGGGCACAGTGCTTGCATGCTGACCCCTACTTTTTCAATTAGTGCAATCTTTTGTTTAAATGTAGGAATTAAGGTGCCCCTATTTCTTTCTTATTAGTGCCCCTTTTCACCTAAGATAAGTGCTCCTATTCAAACCTGCAATATGTGCCCCTTTTACTTTTACAAGTGCATGTCCTTTTGCTTTAATTGTAACAAACTCCTCTTTAATCCCCTTACCAGTGCTCCTTTTAAGTTCTTCTGATGAGTACCCCTCTTTATTTCACACAATCGTGGCCCTTATTCTTTTGTCATAAAGGCCCCTTTTCTTCTAAAAAGTACCCATTTTCCTTTTGTAATAAGTGCCCCTCCCTCCTTTTTAAGTAATATCTATTTAAAAAAGTGGTGATTTTCACTCCTGCTAATTAGTACCCTTATCCTAACCTGATAAGTGCTCAATTTTCTTTGACAGGTGCCCATTTTCATTTGTAACAAGGTGCGTCTTTACCTTCTAATAATTGCCCTTTTAAACTTTGCAGATGAGTGCCCATTTTCTTTTCTAATAAGTTCCCTATTCCCTTCTGATAAGTGCACCTTCTCCTTCAATTAAATGCCTCTTTTCACCTCTGATAAATGCCCCTTTCAAATATAATGAGTTTCTCTAGTTACTTTGGATAATTAAAGTGTCGCTTAATTTTCATATGGTTGCCATTTGACAAGTTTCCCTCTATATATACCTATCACTAATTGCACAGTGTGCCCTTATTCGATCAGAGGTTAGTCAGATATACCCTCTGTACATAGGTGCCTCCTTTTCCAGAAAGTGCCCTTTTTAATGGTGCCCCCCAAAAAACAAATTTTAAAGATGCTCCAATGTCCCTGGCCTACACTTTTTATACCAATGCTGCTAATTCTAGAAAAACAGTGCGTGAAAGATGAAAGACGAGAGAGAGAGGGAGAGAGAGAGATAGAGAGAGAGAGAGAGGATGGGGGAGAGAGAGAGGGTGGGAGAAAGAGAGGAGAGAGAGAGAAAGAGAGAGAAAAGGGAGAGAGAGAGAGAGAGAGAGAGAGAGAGAGAGAGAGAGAGAGAGAGAGAGAGAGGGGATGGTTACTCCCCACTATCGTCCAAGTTCTTATTCTATCATACTTATTTCTCATTTCAATATGGATGCAGAAGTCAGATCTCACTGGACACTTAAAAAAAAGGCAATTACAACTTTGATTGTGAAATTATAATCAAATATCCCCTTTTATTGATGATTTTACATATAAATGGAAATTTGTGTTCATAATGTGCTACTAAGATGCAGTAGTCATATAATACAAGTTTATAAATCATAGAAATACAAGTAGATAGTGGTATACATACATTACACAATTATATACTTCATCACACAAAATGTAATTTCATTATTATAGTGTTTTGTTTAATATAAATTGCCATGCATGTACTTAATATTGGATCTACTTTTACATTTATTTACGGGTATTGTTGAACTAGTGGAGTATAGACTACAGTACTGAGTATATGTGCTGCATGAGAAGTAATATTATTAACACTTAAGATGAAATGGTTCAGTTTAAAGGCGTCTACATCACTGTATCAGTGTTTCCAACGATCACAATGCTTTCAACACACGGACAGAATAATGACAAATTGTCAGAAAAATTATCTTAACAAAAAACAGACTGTGTTAGACACAGAAGATAACAATATATGTTGCTGGTGAACTTTAGGAAAAGATGACTATTCAGAACAATATCTTCTTGCTAATCTACATGAAAAGCAAAAAAAATTAAGGAAATACAAATGATTTCTATAAAAATGACACTTTCACAAATTTTTTCTGCTCCTAGTAATTCATGTAAATATAAAAATCATTTCATATCCTTCAAATACTATAGCAACTTAAGTTTACTAAAAACTCATGCAGTAGAAAGAAGAATTTCTTTTCCTGTGCCATAACCTGTGGAATCTCATGAATTGTCTGTCCTGTTGTCTATTTCTTCTGCATGCAATTCTTTATTCAGTTGGGGGAAAAGGCCTTTAAATAACAAGGAACGCAAGGCCTCAAAAATGTTACATATTATCAACCTTAATTTTTTAAAACCATTTTAGGCTATCAGACAAATACCATGGACTGTCATATAACATGTCCCTAAAGCATCAGGCAAATTGTGAAATTTAATGTATCAAAAACACTGAGAGGCTTTATATTTGTATCATCCTCTTGGACATACAAATACGACTACTAAACCTATTTTATTTATTGTTTTATATGACATACATCTACTGCAATAAAATGAGTACCTAACTGTTCTACTGATGCTTTCTGCTTTCAGTATTGTTGACAAACCTGCCAAGACATTATTTGATTTCTTTCAAGCTTTACTGAGGATTTCCAAAATAATTCAATAACTAGTGTAGCCCAGGGCCGGGCCCGTTTCATAAAACTTTTGATGCAGCGGTAACTCCCGTTTTCTACGGCCAATTTCAGTTAAAAGATGGACAATGTGATGGGTCAATAAAAAACTATGGCACTTGGGGAGGGGGGGGGGGGGGTGAAATTTAGTTCAAATGTCACAAAAAATGGAATTGAATTAGATCTCAATATTTCAATTGAAACAGAAAGCTACCATTCAGCTGCACAGTATAATACTATATTAATGTTTATACTAAATTAATCTAAGAAAAGCGATATAAACAGAAAGACAGAAAAGATGCTTTACTTACATAAAAATAGTATACCGTTCAGTAATGGGTGAAGGGAGTAGAATTCAGATTGTCTGTACAATCTGATTGAAAAAAGGAGAATTTTCCTCTTGAAAATTTCCTAAATGCCGACTAATTGATGCTAAAATTTACAGTATACATACCAGATCTTTCCATGCTAATTTTTTGAATAAATGCAAAAAAATGTTCATACCTATACAAGCATTATATAAAAAGAAACCTCAAAAAGGGAAAAGAAAAGGGAAAACAAAGGGGGGAATAAAAGGCAGAGAACTGTAGAATTGAATGCATCTAACAATATGGCAATCAAGTTAGTAATTTGTCTTGAAAATGTCCCTCAACGCAAGGATGAAGTGCAAATTAAAAAAAAAAAAAAAGATTGGTAAAATATGGACTTAGATTTTTCCGAGGGGTTGTTTCATCAAGCCTTCAAAGTGATCTTTAAATAAGTTTGATAGACTTTAAGCTCTTAGATCAATTTATGTTGATGAAAACGCCCTTCCCCTACCCCAGTTCTAAAATGAAGGTGTTCCAATACAATTTTCCTTATGGGGGGGGGGGGGGGATAGCCTCACATACTTTCCTGGTCATTCCCATGCAATGTAAAGATGGTGTTTATAACAATATGATCATGGAGCATTTTCATCAAGATTTTATTATACAGTTTCTTTCTGACAGAGTTTTAAATGTATGTATTCCATGAACTGTATCACAGAGGCATTTGTTTGTATATTTGCCAAAATGTAAATTGTAGAAATTGGTCAGAAACAGAAACTAAAACATCAACACTCCTAAATTTAAGTTCTTATTCCTTATTCTAAGTATGACCACAGAATCAACTTTAATTGCCAAAATTCCATCTCAACAGCCATCAGAATCAAATATGATTTTTTTTTAAAAACTAAATGATATTATCTTTTCTTTAAATTTTGAGAGAATGGTGAAGGCTACTTGATTTGCTCATCCAACAATCACTGTTTTTGCATTACATTAGTCAAATTCCCAACTGATTGCAAGAACGATGCATTCAATATTTGAAATGCTGTGTTTAAATACTATATCAACAATCAATATTATGAGAATCAATTAAAAAAAGCCTCTTGACCAGAACATAGACTTTTATAAATCTATATACATCTAACAAAGATTTTAGTATTTATACACATTACAAAAGGGGTTAATTAAAAATAAGGAGTTGATTGGAAGTACATGCGCTCTTACTTGATGATGTATACATGAAAATATGAGATAAATTCAGATGATAACTAGATCAAGGATACTCTATACATTTCTTGAATTATCAAACTTGTAAAAAAAAAATTGGTATAATCCTTGGGAAGCATTTGTATAACAGTGTTAAGAATCAATATGTGTGTGTGTGTACGTAACACAAACGGGGTGTCGTTGCACAATTGCTTTATTTCTACTACTCGATTCAATCAACACCAATCTAAATTGGGTAAATGTGCCATCACTAAGAAGAGCAACGTAGGACAGGCATGGTAGGGGAAGCGGTGGATAAAATCTAAAATAAATCCTTTTTATTTCAACTCTCCAATACCCTTCCGTCTAAACTACTAAAAATGCAGTGGGCATAGAAACTGTAATACACAAGTAATTATCATGATTCAATGCGCAAGAGAAAGAATCTTTGAAACATGATTTACGAGTTGAAAAACACTTAAATAAGAAATATTATAATCATTTTGTCTACATGTACAAATAACTTACCTACTATTACAGTACATATGCCGTACAATTTCAAGATATAAAAATATCATTTCATTACTTGCTTATCCCTGTCATGTAAACATGTATAAATGCGTGCACCTAATAGAAAGTTTTTCTTCTTTGTAAAACATGTACAAAGGATATCATTTTTGCATATCATATTATGTACAGACAATGAAATATCATTAATTTAACATTAAACCATACAAAGATTACAAACAAGTAGCATACAAATATCATACACAAATACTCTATATTTCAAAACAGGACCCATACAATAGATTGCTTTATATAATGTTGATAATATGTGAAATCAATAGTAATATTCCTATATGTACACCATAAATGCAAATGACAGGGAAAGAAAAGTAATATCTCTCCTCTCACAGAGATTCAGTGACAATCTTAAAATAAAACTGACTGAAAGTACAATTTTTTACAAATTTAACCACTTAAATTCCTTCTCCTTTTTCACAATAAAACACAAAATAGTATTGTAGCATTCAGTACTGAAATCTGTTCTGTCTTTTGAAAGAGAAAATACTGATATTTATTATGGAAGTTTCTATTCATGGTACACGAACATGTATATCAGAAATATCTCAATTATTGATTTATCTTGCATTTGCTACACACCTCTATTAATTTTTATGAAAATAAATATTTTTCCTCCTTCAAAACTTTACTCCAACTATAATGTTAGACATTTATTACATTCATAACACTTTTCTGCTTAAGTACCTTGTGTATATAAAAATTCTTTACTAGAAAAAGCAGAATAAAAAAATAACCAAATAAAGCAACTGATGTGTAAGGTAAATAGAGACATAATTTTCTTAAAGGGTGGGTGTAAGGATTAGCCTAGTAAAGAGGTTAATAGGACTGACTGCATAGATATAGTGAACAACTTGGCTAAATGTTTCTTTGAAGACAAATTCTGTGTACGTCCTTACTTTTGTAGGAATTAGTGATTGCGGCTGTATACATATACATCCAACATGGCCGTCACATTCACGGTAGATACCGAGCTTTAATTTAATAGATGAACAGGAATGCCTTCTTTTTTTCGGCATCTAGGCAATCCAGTAAATGCCTATATTCTTTGTAATGGTTAACAGCTGGGGTATGATGTCTATTCTGAAAACAGTTTACACCACTATTTGTAGTAATGAAGAAAAAACATGCAGACACTTAATTGTGACATATGGAATGAAATATAATTCATGGCTTTGTTTTGGAATGCTTTAGACTAAAGGGAATTTTTACAAATATGGAATGTTTTCCAGTCTGTGCTGGAAATGGACATAGAAAAAGAGTGCAACAGGCAAAATACAACGAAAAAATGGAGAGACGACTTAAAGGACTGGTGATAATCTGGATTCACATAGCATCAAAGAAAACGTCTCTACATATGTTCTACATTTATTAATACCCCAGTCACTGGCACCAAGTAATCATTTTCTGCTTTAAAAAAAACACCTTTTTTTGTGATGAAAGTATTTCAAATTGTTTCAACTGGAAGTATCTTGATTCAAGGAGAAAAAAAATCTTATCTGTTTTGTAAAACTTGCACCATGAGATTAAAGAGAAGCACTATTTTATAAAAACATTTATACTTGCAGACTACATTCACAGCACAGAATTGATGTTTTTTAAACTTTAATTTACAAGCAAAGATCATGAACAAATTCGTAATTAAAAACACTTCTTTCATTTCAAAGTTGAGTAGAAAAAAACTATTTCCAATAAATTTCAGTACTATAAAATGGAACATAACAGTACTCTAAGTTTTAATAGTACAGTCAATATCGATAGCTCTTAATTCTAACAAACAGTAGCAATTAAATGATTTGGTATATTTTTATATGTACATTATTTAAGTAGATTCATGAATAGTTATTTGTGTTTGAAAGTTTACAAATGTGACTATCATGCGATGTACATGTACATACTTCTCTTATTTGCAATAATATATCAATGAATTTACAATCTGTATACATATACAGCGCACACACGTTTATTCGTCTGTCATCTCTTCTCGCTCAATACTGCATTAATTCCTTCAATCTGTACTATATATGTGCTTCTAAAATTATTCAAATTGGCAACACATTGTAGTATGCTCATTATGTCCTTGCTCGACAAGTGCAGCTCATGTACATGTTATGCTCTCTACTTGTAGACAGGTAAAATCATCTAATTTGCATCATTATTTTAAGGTGATCAGTTTATTGTGTGCGATGTACCGGTATGCAACTTACGGATAGCAAAAACTACTACCAATTATTATGTACATTCATTGTGTAAAAATGTTTATTACAGTGTCATGACTAAGACTTGTGATTCATTTGCCTACTGTATACATGATTGCCTATCACATATTTCCATTACAAATTTTTAAAAAAAGTATTCTCTACTTTTTGTTGGTCAGACATTAAGAAAGAGCAGGCACAGACTTCTCATACAACTTTGCATGAACATTGTTGCTATTTCAACGTGCATGTAGAATTTCACAGAAGTGACAAGTCAGGTACAGTATTACATGCACAATGTGACAAAGGTACTTTCATTTTTTTTATTTCCAATTCCTCAGTCAGAGTTGTGATTCAACTTATCTATGTACTGCACAAGTTCCATACGAGTTCAATTTAACGCCGATTACTCTGCACTAAACGCGAGGCACAAAGTTCTGGTATTCGGTGCTTTGCTCCTCTAAGTATTCTACCATGGCTGAGTAGCAGAACTTGAATTGAGCCTGCATTTGAAAGAATGTCAGAGTAATAGAGAGAGAGAGATAGAGAAGGATTGAGAGATAGAGAGAAAGAGAAGGATTGAGAGATAGAGAGAAAGAAAGAGAAAGAAAGAAAGAGAGAGAGAGATAAAGTGAGAGATAGAGAAAGAGGGGAAAATTTGAGGAAGGAGAGCAATCAAAGAGAGAGAGAGAGAAAGAAAAAAGAGTGAGACCATGCAAGATAGAAAACAAAAAGACAAAAATAGGAAGAGAGAGGGGGATAAAAACAAATTAAAATGATTACAGTTGACAATTCACGATGCACTCATGTAAGTGCATGTACATTTTAGTATTTTTATTTTATTTTTTATTAGTAAATTACTCACAAAGATTAACAGACGGATGAATATGCTTCATCAACATCTACCCTAGGCTTCATTTTATTAAAGATATACAGTAAGCTTTGCAAAACAATTTAAGGTAATGTTTAGGGTGATGGCATGAAATAAACGAGGCATGTATAAACACATAAAAATTGAATGTATTTGTGAGCTGGTCTATTATTCCATGATGTATTCACTACAAATGCTGAATATCATCATTCACTATGTCACGTCCCTGTTGTGCTTCACCTGGAACCCGTTTCACAAAGCCTTTTTTAGATGAGAAAATGACAAAAATCAGTGACAAATCTGCTGATAACCAATCAGAAGCAAGGATTTCAGTAGCTTATAACACAAAATGTCATTTGTCACTGATGACAAGTCTTGTGAAATGGGACCCTGGACCCATGCACTTACCAAGTCCTGGACCATGTGAGGGCGCTGTTGCCTGAGGCCTCTGACAGTCTGGAAGACATCGATCATGCTCTCCTCCTCCATACGGCTCATCAAGACATTGAGGGCGATGAACACCCCCGTTCTCCCCGACCCCGCGCTGCAGTGCACCACGATGGGTTTGGGCCCCTGTTCCTTCTGATGGAGGTGCGACTTGTTGACCAGCCGCATGAGGTCGATACCGGACTCTGGTACGCCGACCTCAGGCCATCCCCGGAAGTGGTACTGACGGATTTTGCGGATGTCCTTCATCTGTTGAACAGTACAAAGGAAAGAAATGTTTAATCAAACATTTTTTTCATTTCAATATAAACCAGATGATAACATACTGCCAGTATCCATAGCTAAACACTCTACAGTGTATACAAATTGAAGATGCTAATGTCAAGTGAAATCAGCTTCTCAAATGGCCTTTATTTCATTTGTATTAGAACCCTTCTATTGTAAATAATAACTTAAGATCTCACGATCACCCATTATTGTACAGTAAACACTTCCCTGGATTATAGTCTATGGCTGAAGTATCCTTTCATGCATTATTTCATTAAGACAACCATAGTCATATTCCAAAAGAGTTAGGTTACTTTAATTTGTCTTTCATCTCATAAAGGGTTTATGAATGTAATCATAAAATGATTATCCAAAGAAGAAAAAAAAGCAATATTGTTCTATAAATTTGAAAACTCTACCATCATCAGCTGAAATCAAAAGTTCTACTGCTGATTTGTTTTTAAAGTTATTGACAAAAGTCAATCAAAGTGGTCTGAAGTTACTTTGCACTTTGGTAAGGATATCTAGTTATTTCCATGATTTAAAAAATAGTATACCCCATACCCATATAAATGAAGAGAAAGATCTTTGAACTTTTATGAGAAATATATAGCTGACATTAACCCATCCATACAAGTGTGTGTAATCTTACTTCTCCTGCAATACTCTATGACCAGTTCTTATACTAAGACTACCTATTCAAAATAGAAGCTTTAAAGTCTCATAGTTACACTTATAATTATTTATCTCTATACAAGAGAAACCAAATGTTGAAACATGACCAGTAATACCTCTGATATCAAAACACATTAGCAAGAAGGAAGTACTGCAAAAAAAAAACCCACTCCACATTATACATTTGTGTAAAGTTTGCTCTAACTCATGTAAATGAATTTCATTTCCAATAAAGAGAAGTAGAGAATGTACACAATCTCAAAATCATTCGCTGTTACAAGCTTTATTGCAATTTTCTGGATCAGTCTGCGAGTTTGATAATGTTGCTTGAGGTTGCAGTTGCTTTGTATTAAATTTTGTAGCAGAATTCACAGTACCAAGTGTAATCACTTTAGTAAAGATTAAGGACGGATGCTATATTAGAAAATGATTGAATAGCAATGAATTCAATTTGTGAGAATGGAAGTACGCTTTTAAATATTTGAAAATGCCATCAATCAGGTCCAGACGATTTCTATTTGAAATATGAAAACTGAAATATAAATAGATGCAAAAGAAAAGTAACAATTAAAGCATGACATTTGCAGAAAATTTGGATAAACGGATTATCAATTTGCTGGTCGGAATAATTTGTCTAGAGGAATTAGAGCAACAGAAAAAAGAAGAAGAAGTTAACAAAATAAGATACAAACAGCTCTGATATATTTGTATCAAAGGCATTTGTACTTTAAAAGATCACAGATGAAAGGTGAAGAAATCTGCTTCACTAAAATAATAAAAAAAAGCAAAACAAAACAAAACAAAACAATACAAACAAACCACAACAAAAAACACAATAAGAGAGTTATCAGCTTGTTGATTTCTGAAATGCTTCTATTCCTGCATCACTATAGCAATGGATTATTAATATGAAATTACGATATATAATATAAGATAGATTTATACAAGATTCCAGAACCTTAAATATTCAAAGTTGTGCCTGAATACATGTGTAATAATGCATGTGGGGGCAAATATTTTTAAACCAATGCAAGTTTCTATTACATATTTGTATACAAGCCAAAGTCTCACATCACAGGCCATTGGCTGTGAATTATTTCTTGTTTCCTAGTAATTTTGTACTTGTGCAATAAAGTGATGTATGTGGGTGTATATATATATATATTTCCCTTTGACAGCCATATCATGTATCTTGATAGAGTGTGCACTGTGTAAATTACTGGATCAAATAGTGTTAAAAAAGGCATTTCTGATGGCATTTATTATGGTTTATCCCAAGTTATTCAACCAAGACTTTAGACCAATACACTCTCCCTTGCTACATCGTACACACATCATTTGTGGTATTAGTAATAGTAAGGACAAGGGCTAGTCAAACATACTTCAAAATTCTATTGTGATTTTCTACATGCACACATTTTGGTGCATAATCAGTTATCCTTCCATCTGTTTGATACACATGTAAGCCTATTGTATGTCATTTGATGAGATGTTGTGATGTTGCTATGTGGGTTATGCCTGTGTAAACTTTAAAGCCTTTAAAACCATTCATTGTCAACGATATACACCAGTTTTCTTATTAGCACATGATAGAAATTTGGTTTAGAAGGACACACAGTGAAGGCTCGTTCAGATATGATGCATCAAACTGCGTTTTTTAAACATGAAAATTAATGGCAACTGCACACAACAAAGACCCTACACATAGGAAACACAATAAGTCATCTTTTTTATGAGTGCTGCAGTTGAACATTGTGTATCTGAAAAGGGCTTAAGCAAGATAATCGCCCCAATCGAAAGAAAGAAATTTCCTTTCAAAAAATTCCTATCACTGCAATTTCTATCGAACAGATCAGGGCCCATATTCAGAAAACCTTGCTAAGCTAGATGTCAACTAGTGTAGGCTATAGTAGATAGTAACATGTACTGGTAGTTGACAACTAGGCTTTATAGTAAGGTTTTATGAATACAAGCCTAGAGAGAGAAAGCCATGATGTCACAAAGAAAAGGAGATTAATGATGAGCTATGGCATTTTTTGTCCTGTATGTTGTTGGCAGTCTAACAGAAACATCTTTAGTAGTGGAATTCTTATTAGTTTCAGGTAGTGACAGGAATTACAATTTGCCCAACATCTTTTTGCTGAGCACATGACAAACGATTCAGAAGTTAATTGCCCCTAAAATAGCAGCATGATTAATTAAAACATGAAATACACATGTAAAACAAGCAAATAATAGGTAGATACATTGATTTATTGTGGTAAATCAAACAGCAACCCCTATTAAATAGACTATATGTTTAATCATGTGAAGACCCAACTCTTTTGCGATATATAAATCTACTTCTACTTGAAATAGAAGATTAATATGATCCACAAATATATGTATTTTAACTTTGATGGGAGACATTTAAGTGATATGGTACTTGGATTTTGTTTTTATCATTATGTATTCTTCATCTCAATAATGGATTCAAAAAATGGATGTAAAATAGAAGAGAGAGTTTAAAGTAGTCACCCAAAGAAAATTCATGACAACTGATAATTATGGACAATTATATATGGATGGAAAGATTTTTTCTTGAAAAACATGAATAATTTGCTTAAAAATCATATAGATATCATTGAAAGGCGTCAAGTGCAATTTTGTGGGTAGCTGTGTCTCACATGTGACGTCACAAATTTTGATGCTCTACGGAGGTACGCTGAAGGCAGAAAATCAGGATCTCAAAATAAACATTTTTGAGAGATGGTTACTGCGGGCCTCAAACATATTTTGAAGAGGAAAGTTGTTATATTCGATCAGTAAAGCTTCCCTTTGGCAAAGATATGAATTTTGCATCAATTCAAAATACTTAAGATTCTTTGTGATGATAATGAAAGAGAACATGAACTGCTAGAGTGGAATAGATATTAAAAGAGCTTGTATTGATGTAGAATGACAAGCGATGAAAGCCTAATATGTCACAAGTTTAGGATGAATCTACTGAGCATTGTAAAGCTACCTGATAGAAATAAGATCTGATAAATTTTTCTTTTCACACACATGCAACCTGAAAGAAAAAGCTATATCTCAATAATGGATACTAAAAATGGATGTAAAATAGAAGAGAATGTAAATCATCATGATGATAATGAAAGAGAACATGAACTGCTAGAGTGGAATGGATACGAAAAGAGCTTGTATTGATATAGAATTACACGCGATGAAAGCCTAATATGAAACAAATTTAGGATGAATCTACTGAGCATTGTAAAGCTACCTGATAGAAATAAGATCTGATAAATTTTTCTTTTCACACACACGCAACCTGAAAGAAAAAGCTATATCTCAATAATGGATACTAAAAATGGATGTAAAATAGAAGAGAATGTACATCATCATGATGATAATGAAAGAGAACATGAACTGCTAGAATGGAATGGATACGAAAAGAGCTTGTATTGATGTAGAATTACAAGCGATGAAAGCCTAATATGAAACAAATTTAGGATGAATCTACTGAGCATTGTAAAGCTACCTGAAAGAAAAAAGATCAGATAAATTTTTCTTTTCACAGACACACACACACGCACCCCCATAGGCATATCTATTGTAAAGCAAGGACTCATATGAGCACCCTAGTAGGTTTATTACGAGGATGGTTTTGTAGGAATACCGGTATAACATCCCCACGACAACCTGAAAATTTACTGCCTAACCGAGGACCTACATTTTCCTTGCAAAGAGAGCACCTAAATAAAAATACCCCTACATGAAAGGGCCCCAATTTTTAAATAAACAACATACAGGGTGCTTTTGAACCAAGGAAGTTGTCGTTTTGCAAGTGGTCATCGAAGTGAAGGTACAGTTCTTATGAATGTCCTTGGTGCCCACCCACACACACAATTACACACTCTTGCAATTTCATCATTATTGCTTTGGAACTGAAAAAAACAACAACAACATATTAACATTAATATTTAAACATCACACCAAGCAGGAAAGAAAAACCACATATGCACCCTTCTAACTTCACAATTTAGCGAGTTAGCATTGTTTATTTTCTTAGTTTTTACTCTTAAGACAGTTATGAGTTTGCCTTCAAGCAGATGGGTGCAATTTCCAGGTATTCTGTATTCTAAAGTACATTCCTCATTATAAAATCAGCCTACATGTGGTAAAACATCATTTGCCAGTTGCAAGTTGAGTTTGAATATTGATATCAAATACAGCATACCACCCAGCACTAACAAAATTGATTTCAGTTCCTATACACATCAAAGAGTGGTAATACATCCACCTGCAAAACATGCCACTCAGTACAACAGATATGCATGGATTATGCCGAGGTGAGAGTTTTGCACAGATTATGTTTTGAAAAATTGTATTTATATCAGTTTTCATAAATAATACCCAGTGGTATACAAGCTATTAGTTCCTTGCCCCAAGGCACAAGACAGAAGCACATATAAGTGAGAATGTGCTGAAACTTGCCATTTTAAACACAGTATTATTCATTGCCATGTTTTGTTTGCTGGGTGATATCATTAGTTTTGATTACAAGACATTTAAGGGTATAGTGTGCTGTTTTGTCTGACTGCTCTCTTACAGGAGTTGGTGGGGGAGATTCGACGTTTCCGTAGAGAGCGGTTTGAGAATCGCTTTCAGGAATGTCACCTCCCTCGGCGAGCACTTCTCCTGCGGCGTCTGTATTACCATAGATGTTCTGCATCATCTACATCCGTTCAACAAGAGGAAACACTTAATAGGATAAACCTTGCCCTACAGGAATGGGATCACCTTCGGATACTACAGTCAAACCTGTTTATAGCGACCGCGGGAAACACAAAAAGTGGTCTTTGTAGACAGGTTCATTTAGTACATGTTTCAACGAGAGCCCATTTTCAAGGGAAACAAAAATGTGGTCTTTGTAGACAGGTGGTCGTCACTAAAGCAGGTTCGACTGTATCTATACATATAACTACTTGAGAGAGATAGTTACATTATTAATTGTCCTGATTGGTCAATTATATCATGGAGATTAAAATAATTCCCTCTTTCATTTGAGTGTGTACATTGTTCCTCAGGAAATACATGATCATGTAAGTTTCATTTTTTTATTCTTGGCCCTGTGACCTGATATATGAACATGGAAGCTTATGCAAGTCACAACTACATTGCATTTCTCTTTACGTATTTAATCCAATCCAATCCAATCCAAAAGATATTTGATATAGCGCCTTTTTCTTGCAGTTATATATACATGTACCTTGAGCAGCTTCAAGATAAACAAGCCCCACTGCGTCATCTAAATGATGTGAATGAGGAACTTGCTACACAAAATGTTGCCAGGAATTGAATTACAGTCATCCGTTTGAGAGTAAAGACATTTAATACTGAGGTCACTCTGGTTACAGAAAGAAATTAATGAAGGATATTATAGAGAAGGAAATTATAGAAAAATATACAAGGAAATTATAGAACGATGTTATACAGGGAAGTTATAGGAGGATATTATACAAGGAAGGACATTGCATGGCTACAGAAATGAAAGAGTCTTACATGTGCATGTGAGATCTCGATATCTCTGACGGTGAAATCGTCATCCTCCTCTGATTCTTCTACGAGCGTGACGGAGATGTCCCCTTGCTCTTCCGTTTCATCGATCTCTAGAGGCCAGTACTGAGCGCACATCTCCTGCAAGAGGTATGGGGTACATCAAGATTAAGATTGCATATACCAATGACTGATGCTTAATTCTGAAACTCATGATTTGAAGTACCAATGACCACTTTTGTCGCTTCATTATCTTTCGCATGTATTTGTTCCTTATTTCATCTATTTCTATAAGCGTGATGTATTTATTTCTTGTAATTATGTATTTTTAAAAAATATTATTGCAATGCCAGTGGAAACCAAATTTCTGTGTAACTTGTTTGCAAAGAGTGACAAAGACCAAATAAAATATCTTGTATCTCTTGTATCACTAGATTCCTGTACTTGTCCAGTTTAACAATGGAATTATTCATACCCCTCGTAAATTTGATGGTTTTTGTGCTTTTCGTAATGCTAGAATGAAAGGTGGACTGGTTGAATTAGGGCCTTTGATGAATACTGTTAGATATAAGCTTTAGTATTTCATATCCTCAAGAAACATAAAGAGAAAAATCAAATTGTTCACATACTTGAAAAATTGTAAATCTTGGTAAGGGTATGAATAGTTTAGTTGTTAACTGTAGATTCAATATCAGCTCTGCAATAATTTATATAATTCTCTGTGTTATTACAACTAATTATGGCCATTTTCATCCCCACTACCATTGCAATTATTCTTGTAATTATCATGATCCTAATCAGATCTACTATCATCAGCTTCACTTCCAATATCGGAAATTGTAACAATTATCATTATTATTATCAGCAGCATCATAATCAGTATCAACATTACGATCATCATCATCCTCATTATCATCATCAACATCATGATCACAATCATCATCATCACAGTAATCATCACCATAACAACTGTCAGTATCATTATTACAGATATTTTCACAACCACCAGCGTTATTTAACCATCATCATTACCAGCATTATAATTATCATCTTCATCACCTTCAGCATCATCATCATCATCATCTTCGATACCATCGCTACCATGATCCTCATCATCGCTATCAGCAGCACCATCATTATCATTATGAGGCATATTAGTCATCACTAGTATTATCAACATCTTCATTCTTATTCTCATTACCATTACTACCGATAGCAGGTCCAATAATCACCATCATTACTGTCATCATTACCACCACCACCACCACCGCCATCATCATAACCACCACCAATTCCACTGCCATCATCATAACCACCACCATTTCCACCGTCATCATCAACACCACCACTACCACTACTGCCATCATCATAACTACTACCACCATCACCACTGTCATCATCAACACCACCACCACCACCGCTATCATCATAATCACCATCACCACCACTGTCATCATCAACACCACCACCAATAAATCACTGTCATCATCAACACAACCACACATTTAAAGACGCTTTAATAGCCATAACCTGCAGTAATACTCACATGACCCTTCTGACTGATCTCTGTAAGCATGACTATCGTTGAGGTCTGACTCTCCCATATCATACGCCAGAAGTCTGCTATTGTGTTTGGAAGTGGACCCTGTGTTGCTATGTACATGTTTTTACGCTGGTAACCCTGCAGGAAAGAAGTTTCAGTTCAGAAGTCTTAGAATTCGGTTTTTCTGATGTACAGTGTAAAAATTTTAAGAGCAACCTTGAACAGCTACCTTTAAACAAAGCTTATGAACATTTTCAACTTAAAGTTCAATTCTTGTTTTATCGTTAAATTGGGCATTACAAATGTTCCTTGGTAACAAACTTGTTTCTGTTACTGAAAAAAAAGGCTAGCTTCTCATAGTCCCAACGTATAGTATATAATTCATACTTTTTGCCGACCACAGCATGGAAGGAGAAAAGAGGTACATTTGTCAAGGAAAATGTACCATTTTATGTAATGCAATGATTCATTCTATGTTCATATTCAAAGAACAAGTGTATTCCCATGTGCTTTCCCTTGGCAATTGATCTGCTCTGATTTCCATTAAGCCCTACATTAATTTTCATTGATCACTAAATTTGTTTCCATCAAATTTTGTTTACAGCAGCTCAATACATACCGGTACATATAAGTTCAAAAGATATTGCGGCTTTTATATCAAAGAAAAGATAGGTTTAAACAATTGTATACCGGTATGTTATCATATAGAATGAGAAGAGAAGATACACAAGTATCATTTGAGTACATGCATGTTTTAGAGTGACTTACAGTGATGAATGACGCATTGATGTAATCTGAAAATTCTTCACCAATCAGTCTCTCAAGCTTCACTACATTCTTGTCAACTGAATAAAGAGTAGAGGTAATGCATTTGAAATGACATAATTATACTGAAGACATGATAGAATTATATATAGTTCATCAACTTCCTATAGAAAACAAGGATTCATATCAGTATACTTTGTATTAATCTATCTTATTAGATTTTTTAACATTACAAGATAGATGACATACATAACAAATCAATATAGAAACATACATAGCTTAAATGCAATCAATTCATTTGTCCTCATTGCCAAAAATTCAAAGCCGTTTCTATACTAGAGCAAAACATCAATTGAGTCTTTTTAAGAGGACAGGGGATTAAATGAATAATACACTCTATGTGTTTTTACTTTTAAAAACGCATCCTTACATAAATTGCAGTCATGCTCCAGGCCAAGAAGGGCCCCAAAATTATTATTCCAGCAAATATATTTTGATGCAGTGTGCCATGATGTTAATGTTAGCCTACGGGAACCTGGTGGTTCCTGTATTAATCCTATGGGAATTCCAGAATGCAATAGTCAACAGGTTAAACACTGCCCTCTCATGGCTAAACTGATTGTGCGTAACCTTTTGCCTCTTTCGCTTACAGTGATGATCATGTCAGTACTACGATAGAGAGTTTTTACTTGAACTGTGTTGATTTGACTTCAATGACATCTTTATTACACAGATGGCAGCGGTGGGATATAAAACCATGCAATCTACATGTTTTACCATCAGTATTTAATACTGTGACAGTGAAACTTCCACAAACCTTTAGATAAGGCCCATTCATAACTATCATATAAGTTTCATATATGTTTATATAACTTTCTACAAGTTTTCAAGTGAAGTTAGAATCTCTCATATTAAGTGCTACAGAATGTAACTTCTTGTTACTGTTATTTATATTACAGTCCTAGTATCATGTTGTTACGGTGGAAACATGAGGTTACTTCCGCCAAATCATCGCAAGGTTTGGACCACAGTGCCAATAGGCCCAGAGAAAGGTCACATTAAGATCTGGTTTAAATTGTCTGTTTGAAGCTAGAAGAGTGTTAAACTCATACACTTTAACACAGAGTTAGCACCATTCTGGCTCTAAACAGATACATAAATCCTCACAGAAAATAGATTCCCTGGTTTGGTACTTACATGGAAGAATGTGTCCTATGCGGTTCTTGTCTTTGTTCTGGTCAATGTTGGCAAACGTCTGGTCTGTTCCATTGACACCTAACTTACAAGCTCTCTGTCATAAAAAAAACACCAAAATACACAATAGCCATGAAAATGTACAAATCAGACACTCTATTCCATTGACAACTATCTTACTTGGTCTCTGTAGAAAATGAAATGCACAGTACAATCAGAGCTATGAAAAGGTACACATTAGAAAATATATCTCAATTACACCGAACTATGTGTAACATTTTCTCTGTGAAAAAAAGAAATAAACAATATGCAAGATTACAATCATAGGCTTGAGAACAGTACGGTGCTGGACTCAAGGATACGGTTATGTCTTTTCTATATCTACAAACTTATATTGGCCCAGGTTAAGTATTAGTTTTGTTCTGCCCGTAAATTGTGTATGTAATTGCCATCAATATTCTTAAAAATCAATTTCATGCCAATTACTTTTTTAATGTGTCTACAACAAAAAGAATAGGGATCATATCTTATCTACAATTATACTTAACAGTTGCACTATTTGCCTCTGCAGGCTCTAACATGTGCAATGTACATGTACAGAAATATAAAGAGGAACAAAGATTTACATATAATACAATATGCAGTCAATTCTATCATCCTTTCAGTGTCTTGGACACCAAACAATGCCAATATTCAATTTGTATCAAAGATGGCTGTCCTAAGAAGAATTTGTCTTTCCTCCTAATATTCTATATGGATACATATACTCTTGGCAATTCATTCAATGGAACACTGCTCACGTAATAATTTAAAATGCAACAGAGGTTTATCTCAACCAACTATCAAATTAAAAACCTGCTTTCTGACATACATACACATACCGGTATATGTATAAAAACTTGGTGTCAAATTAAGGGCTAGAATCCTCCCTGAACTCACCCTGAATTCCACCTCCAGCTGTGTGAGATCGTCATCAAAGTCTGATTTATTGCTGAGCTGTTGATAGTACGCAGGGAAGTCTGGCATGGCTACATCTGAGTGACCAAACAGGTGCTCCTCAAGCAATGCCATATGGATGAAAAAGTACTGGACCTAAAAATTTAAACAAACCCATAAAATTCAACAATTTCCCTTCCCAAATTGTCATTAAAAATATACTTTTCATTAATACCTTATCGGTGTTACAAAAAAGCTGAATTCAGCAAAGGAACATAAATTCCATGAAGTGACTTATTGTGATTTTTGTATGCTATCTTCTTTTTAACCAAAATTGTTAACATATAATTTATGCATGCATTGTTATCATATTATATTTTGTTAATTGTCAGCCAGACAACTGAGTCTACTACCAAGGTAAAAAAACACACAACTAATTTCAACATTCATTTTTAACCCAATAATAAGCGTGCCCAGAATTTCATGGGCTGGAACCTATGGTAATGGGGAGTATATAGTGGAAGCACTGTGGTGCAATCGGATCGTCCTCTTAATCTCATGCATAGACTTTCGTCATGATCTTTAGATAAACAATTTTTCCTTCAATAATGAACTATCAAAAAATGTAAATTCTGTAGATTTGTGACCATGATTTGTATGTCTCTTGAGAGACCAATGCCAGTAAATGGTGAGGGCAAACAGTGGCATGAACAGCCTGCCATATTTAAGTTTGACTTTAAGTCGATGTGAAACACTCCCCAGGGCTTCCAATTGGAGTTCTACTCACGAAAGACTGGACGAGGGTATTCCTCTGTTGACGGATATCATGAATGAAGTTATAGATGTCCACTTGCTTCTCATGCTTCATCATGTCTAGCATAGCATCTATCACGATGTATGTTCCTGTACGACCCACTCCAGCACTGCACAACAAAAAAGACGGGTTAAGTAGATAAGGCAGCTTAAACTGAAAGCGTTTTTAGTGCCACCTTATGGTAACATTGTATTTTTATTTGTTTATCTTGATTTGCTCTGAACTGCAATTTTTACATCAGCAGAGAGTGCAAAAATCCCTGAAAAAGTCTGCATCCATTTCTGTTGCAGTACATTGTACTGTTCATGAAATAAGAGCATTTTTAATAGAAAAATAACAACTGAAGTCTCTAAATTGGCATTCATTTAATATAAAAAAAAATTTCTTCCAATTATTACTAAGGTCAGCATTTATACAAACATGTAGTCCCATTCAATAAAATTCATGTTGGAAGATGCCCCTACCTGCAATGGACCACAATGTTAGCTCTATGGTTCATCTTGGATGTGAGATGCCGCACTCTCTTGATAAGACACATCATAGGGGACGGGTAGTCAGGCTGACCATGGTCAGGCCACCCTAAGAAATGGAACTGTGTGATGCTACGCTGACCGGTCTCCTTACCATCCTGTATAAGATAGGCAAAGAGTATGGAAAGTATTAAAGGAAGAGAAACATATTTTAATATGTTTATATCAGTTCCATACTTGCATTGCAATTTTCAGTATTGTACTTGTATCGATCATTGTAGGTAATAGAAATATTGTATTTTTATGTACGTGCGTCTATTTGTAAGTAGTAAGTAGCTCTTTAAAATATATAATATAATAATAATAATAATAATAATAATCTTTTAAAGTCCACTCCAAATTTTATTAAGTTAAACCGAAAATGGAAATTCTTTTTGCCCAATTAATCGTGAGCCTGGCAGCCACTGAGCAGCGCCAGATCGACGTTGCTCTATCCCTTATTGTTGAACGCCCCAAAAACTCCCATCTTTTAACGTCTTTTGGTATGACACGGCCGGGGTTCGAACCCACGACCTCCCGGTTGTGAGGCGGACGCTCTACTGATTGATTGGTTACTATTTTTATCATTATGTTTACCCTATTTTTTAATTTGTAAATGTATAATTATGTGCATTATTTTTCAGTCCTGTACTCACCAGTGTACTCAGGCAGTAGCCTAGGCCTAAATGTTTCTTTTCAAATGCTTTCTGTTGTCAAATTCAGTAAATAAAGTATGTGAATAGCACAAAACACTACTACTGCTACAACTGCTACTTCTACTACTATGACTTCTGCCACTACCACTACCACTACTACCATGACTACTACTACTACTACTACCATGACTACTACTACTACTACTACTACTACCATGACTACTACTACTACTACTACTACTACTACCATGACTACTACTACTACTACTACTACTACTACTACTCCTACTACAAAAAGATCAGAGTCTTTATCCTAACATACCTCTGAGAGTTGGAAAGATCTGATGACATATTCTGCAGTCTCCGTTACAGAATCCATTTTCACCTTAAACCTGCCGTACTTGATTACACCTTTGTTGGGCCAGTACTGTGAACATTTGTCCTACAAAAACAAGATAAAAGACAACAATAAATATTGAATTTTGAGCATAAAGTACTCTCTAAATTTATTTGAGTTGAAATCTCTTTATAGGTCATTAAGCTACCTGATGCAATTTTTGAGCCATAATGCAATATGTTGATGAAGTTTTGGATTGCATGTGAATTGTTTATATACTGAGTTTTAACACAAAACAGAACTATATTGATTCTATAAACACTCATCAAATAATATATAAAGTCTATTTGAAAATGGCTTCCCAGATCTCTGAGCTCATGAGCCTTTTGTGCATATGACATTTCAAGAGACTTTTAAATACATTGACATGTTTCTCTCTCAAACATATGGTGACGATAATGATTGTAAAGATAGTTAAGGGCATTAAAAAATATAGTCATTGAAACTGAGGAGGAAGTCAGAAAATTCATTTACCTTGCCATCTTCGATACATTTGGTGAGCATGACTATAGTGGAACAGTTATACTCCCAGATCATCCGCCAGAAATCCTCTAGGGTGTTGTCCTTGGGGCCTTTTTTTAAAGCGAAAGGTAGCAAAATTAAAACTTTTATTCGAAAAGTACACCATTTAGGAAAAATAATTTAATGTACCTGAGCTCAGAATCATAAATGTTAATTTTCAAACTTAAATCTCTGACATATCATGCATACCGTAATAAAATAACGTGTATTATTGTGATTTTCTTCCACAGCAAAAGTTAGTGAAGATACATTTCACTGATTGATACTTAATTTAACTATTTTCATGATGCTTGTGAAAAACAAGGGAAACGCTCTCGGCGGTCTCGCCTGCATAACGCAATTCAATATGATAAACCAGAACGTCAATGACGTAGCGCTCATCCGCATCTCACGACAACAAATATCGTAAATTTTATGTGGTACACTTTTGAACTGGTCAAAAAATAGAAATTTGATGCCCTGGAAGGGACATAATTTCATTTCATTTGCATAAAGTACCATAAATAATCAATGGAGCAAAATCTCACAATTCTGTGTAGAAGTTTATTGTTCCAAATTTAGCTCTACCAGATAAGGCAAAATCGGTCAAGAAATGAGGGAAAAGAAGCAATTTTTGTTATTTTTGGAATAAATTTGCATAATTTACCATAATTAATTAATGGAGCACAATTTCAAAATTCTGTGTAGAAGTTTAGTGTACCAAAGTTAGCTCTACAATATAAAGCAAACCAAATCAAAATCGGTCGAGAAATGAAGGAGAAGAAGCCTTTTTTGTGATTTCGAATAAATTAGCATAAATTAGCATAGATAATGAATTTCACGATTCTGTGTAGAAATTTTAAATCCCCTCCTAGCCCTATCATATAAAACAATCAGAATCAAAATTGGTTGAAAAATAACGAAGAAGAAGCATTTTGAAAATCTTAATGTTGATGCCACAACAAAGTCTAAGTTTGTTGACCTTAAATGGCCTTTGACCTTAACTTAGTGACCTGAAATTCTACTCACATGATTGGGGAGACTTGATAACTCTATAGTCCAAGTTTCATTGACTAAGAACTTATACTTTCAAAATTATATCAAAAATTCAAAAACTTAACCTTAGGTTAAGTTTTCGATGATGATGCTACAACATAGTCCAAGTCTGTTGACCTGAAATGACCTTTGACCTTGACTTTGTGATCTGAAATTCTACTCACATGATTGGGGATACTTGATTGCCCTATAGTCAAAGTTCCATTGACTAAGAACTTATACTTTCAAAATTATACCAAAAATTCAAAAACTTAACCTTAGGTTAAGTTTTTGATGTTGACGCCGTCGCCGTCGCCGTCGCCGTCGCCGGTCGCCGTCGCCGCCGCCGTCACCGGAAAAGCGGCGCCTATGTCTCGCTTTTTGCTACGCAGGCGAGACAAAAAATTACTCTAAGAAGCATACAAGAATATAAATACATTATATGGCTTACTAAGCATTACAAGTTGCGTGCGTTTTGTGTTTTAACGTGCCCCTCCCCTTGTTTCATAGACGCAGGTTAAGTGGAAAACACTCAGTTCATCGGAATGGACGTTAAAAAGAGGCCCTGTGTAAGAGTAGGGGGAAACCCCGGTGTAGTGGTCCACCTGCTCACCCCAATCAGGCCGAGTATATACGGCATCTGATAGAATCTTCAGTATTGAAGAAGACAGATTATCTAGAAGAAGAAGTAGAAGTTGCAATCATCCTAGGAAAGTAGGGTAACGTGGACTTGGACTTACCTTGTGCAGCTATGAATTTATCAGGAGACTGGTAACCCTGTAAAAGAGCAAGTAATCTATAGGTCAAGACATGTTCTAGTACCAAGTTTGTGGAGACATATTGTAGTTGTAAATGTGATCACCTGTCTTTTCAGGAGGTTAATCAATATTGAGCACTGCAAATACACTGTATGACTGACAATTAAAATTGCACACACAGTTTGCTCAATATTTTCAAATTCTGATAAATCCAATTTATTACGTAAACGTTAAAATTGAAATAAACATATCAACTTAATATAAGGGTACATACATGCACATGTACACTAAAAGCGTAATTATTAGTCTGACAAATTTCTGATATCTCTAATTCTTTCATTACAACTGAATTTCAGCAAAAGTAACATCATAACAAAGTAGCCTAAATCGCTTACATTGACATAGGAAGCATTGATGTAGTCCGATCCTTCGATTCCATCGGTAGGCTTCAGCTTCACTCTGGTGTGATCATCTAAAGAAAAGAAATTAAATTTTACAAACAGAAGAACATCAATTAATGTGTACCTAATCTCACATTATCTACACATTACCTTTAATTTTGGGTGTTATATTTTTTATTTCTTACCTACAGTGAACATTAACAATTATTCATACCCGTTTTATTAATTTTTTGTTTGTTTAGCTTTTCGTAAGTCGACAATGAAAGGTGAACATTTAATTAAGAACTCTTTTGAATACTTTCAATGTAAGCTTTAATATGTCAGATTCCAAAGAAACATAATCGGGACAATCCATTTTTCACACACTTCAAAACTGGCAAAACTTGGTATGATAGGAATAATTTAGTTGTTAACTGTACATATCTCTTCAGAACCTGGACATTCATTTTTTGTTAAAGTACACCGTATTTGAGATAACGCACTTCTGGCTCTATTTCTGTTCAAAGTCATTTTTTCCCCTTCATATTATATTTTATTTTACTGAGGAACTGGTTATATCATTCACATTCGAACATGAGGCCAGAAAGCAGACAAGAAATGAGAAAGGTGTAGAAAAAAAAAGAGGGATTGGTATTTTCTTTCTTTCTTGTATTTCACTGGTAATATGTGTTTAACATCTATCAAACAGACTTTTTCTATATTGATATCTAAATGGACATGTAAAATAACTACATGTAAAACATAAGATGTTCGCAAAAAACCTTACAATGTGCTAAAACCGACATTAAAATATAAGGTATGTATCACAGCTCTCTACCCTCTTCTCTACTATAAATAACTACCGGTACATGTGAAATAACAGTTCATTTTAACTTCATTATGCTATTTCAATAAATTTCTGTTAATCTCAACTTGTCTTCATTATAAATATCATATCCCTATCGTTGCCCATGTAAATCTACATTCAAAATGTATGAAAATAAACGATTTTCTGAAAACTATGAAAGATTTAAATGATTTTGTATACTCGTTCGTTCGTGTCTCCTTCGATCAAGATTAATGTAATCTTGATCTTCGGAGTAGTTGCTACAACCGGCCGTGTCAGACACGTTGCCCCGGGGTGCGAGATAGGACTCTTGTAGCATGCCCCCATTTAAAACAATTATACAATTACAGTTAACATTACATTTAATTAATAGTATGAAACTTTTAAGATTATTCTCATGTTACGGGGAAAAATATTGCATATATATATATATATATATATATATATTATGAATCAATTGATTTGGTCGATCCAGTTCGATGGCACAAACACGGCACTACTGGACAGAGATCCTAATAATTACAGAGCTTGGTCTTGTTGCTCTGTTCGCCAGCAGTTTAAGGATATGGAATCCCGCGGCACATTACTCACAAGAGTTCTAACAAGCCAAGCTTATACAGAGCCTATAATAAGTAATGTCGTGCATGTATCACCCACCCGATCGATCAAAAACTCATAACTCATAACTAAATTTTTAAAAATGAAAATGAAGAAAGAAAAAAAAAAAAAAAAAAAAAAGGAAAAAAAGGAAGAAAGTAAAAAGAAAAGAAAAAACACGAAATGGTAAACTTGTATACTAACAGGCAATGATGTTGATGTATCTGTTCTTATCCTTGTTTGGAGGGAGGTTGCTGTGATTCATGGTTGCCAAGGGAGGCGGTCTGTTCGGCAGGGCCTGTAGTCATGTGACAGGGAGAGGGAAGCATAGAACACAATACTTTGTCAAACTCCGGTAATCATCAAAAGACATTGACATGAATCAAACAAGCATTCAAACAAAACGAAAATATCCTACAAATAAAAGAGTATCTCCATTATATATGTTCATGTTTCATGATCCCTATTGGAGTACATATACAAAAGGTTAACATCCAAATTACACAATTCATTTGTAAATTATCTTTTGTAATAATAATAATAATAACTTTTATTTACCCAGGGTAGCCACTTCAGTTATGAAACTGTTCTTCCAGCGGGCCCTGCATAACATAATATGTTATTACTACCCTTCTCCAATCTAATATGCTGAGCGCCTAGCTAGAAGGCAGAAGGTCCCATTGTTATAAGTCTTTGGTATGACTCGGCCGGGGTTCGAACCCACGACCTCCCGTTCATGAGGCGGGCACTCTAACGACTAAGCCAACATTTAGGCATTGGTATGTTTGGAGTAAATACAAGTATATACATCAAGCAATTGCTTTGATATAAATGTCTTTGTAAGGAACTAGGGAGAACTCCATTGTATGGGGATCAGTAAACAATAGCCATCTGAAGAGAGGATAATGCACTAGAATATTTTTGATAGTCCGTCTTTTGCAGAGAAACTCAATAAAATAAAAAATGATAAGATATTGAAATCAATTAGCCCAGTTATTATTGTCTGTGTGTGTGTGTGTGTGTGTGTTTGTGGGTGTGTGGGTGAGGGAGGGATCATTTCCTCCTAATGGCAAGGTTTGTTATTTTTCTGAACCATATATTTGATTACCTTGTACTCAGCCCAGAATATTCTCTTCTCCTCTTGAGCCTTTTGTCTGATCGTTTTCTCCAGATTCTCCAGTTTTATGGGCTTCACGACAATGTCGTGTTCAGCTGGGAGTGAGAAAGAAAGAAAAAGAGAAAATGATATCAAGGCATATCCAGACATATATTGGTTAAATAGCCATAAAAAAAACCTACTGCTGCAACTAAAGTGTAATGGATTTTACAATTGTCTTACAGACAACTTGCACTTGTCATTGTTATACAAAGCTTCACATTTTAATAATGATTTTGTTTTATCCAGGGATGCCTCATCAGCATCAATGCTGCTCTACCTGAAGGCCCTGCAGTTATCATTACCCCAGCAACTGCTGGGTTCACATTCACACATGGGTGGAGAGTGGCAATTATGGATTAATGTCTTGCCAAAGGAAGAAAGTGCTAGGCTGGATTTGAACCCTCAACCCTTCAATTTAGAGTCAAGTGAATAAACCACTATACCCTGACACACTCTCCATCAAATTACTTCTGCCATTTACTTAACTAAACTTTTGCAGCAGTAAATTTTGGAGGAGGCTTACTTTGTCATGTCAGAATGAAAATTTAGATTAATAAATCAAACAACTTTCATTGTCTCATCTGCAACCTCCCATTAGCGTTAGAGGATGAACACTGCCTATCAAAAAGATTGTGTTTCAGTTTTCAAAGATATTTGCCGAACAGGATTGGACAGCCCTCAAAAACGATCAATTGTCAAACAACTGGCCATTAGATGTTTGGGGCAGGAGCTTTGAATTATCGTTTCAGATATTTAATAAGCTGAATTATGATTGAAAGATAATATTGACTAGAATATTCATCTTTGTCACTAAGGAATTAATGAGTACAAAAACACAACTCTCACTTCTACCAACTATTTATTTTCTTCAATGGCATATCTGCTAGGAAACCTGATACCTTCACTTTAATACATAAACTGCTTGTCAATTTTGCGAGTATTTCAGATTTGCAAAAGTTTCATGCCACAAAATAACCGAATAAGAATGGAAATAATACAAATACATTTTTTCGAATTCTCGAAGGGTTCTTTCTGTGAAAATGGACATCCTTAACAGTTCATGTCTCAAGAGTTTGTTAGATTACAGTCCATTTCTACCCTCTGCTTTATATTCTATCGATCATCATTAGACAATCACTTTACGTATTGCTTTGAATTGAAGTTTAGTGTATTACTGTACTGTCACCGTAAATCTCTGTGTATAAGCAAACTTTTTTCCCGCCGAAAGTCGGGGGTGCGTCTTATACACACAATTTTTGTTTTTAAGTGTTGATTTATGCCCCCTCCAACTGCACTGTGCCTGGCAATGTCTCCCAGCTCAGTCATACAAGGTGTGTTGATTCACCACTCGCACCAATACAGTCACAGTAAGATACTGTAGGAATTTATTTGAAGAGACACAGTAAAACTGTACTAGATTATATAATCTGTAATCCGGGTTACAAAGTTGCAACAGTAATGTACTCTCACTATTTGTCACCTGGGTTATAGTGATGGCACAGCATCGAATTGTAGGATCGAACTACAACAACACTACCTGTATGGCCAGATTTCTGTTTGGACTTAGAGGAAAATTTGTCTGTCATCTTTAGTTTTAAAAACGACATTGTTACTATTATTTGTGACAAGTTCACAAGAACATATTGGCACCTTCAACTGCACCTCGCAGTAAAATATAGGTCTTTCACGGCGTGCGTTTTTTAACACGGATCTGGCTTGCTGCCTACAGAGTCGGCAAAAAAAAATATATTAAAAAATTGCCCCCTAAATAGGGGTGCGTCTTATACACAGGTGCGTCTTATACACAGAGATTTACGGTATGCTACAAAGATACATCTATAATGGGTCCCCTACCATCTGTTTTAGCCGTTATCGTACAGCCCCTACAATCTATTCTAGCTGCCACATACATAAATGAGAATGATTAACAAAAATGTGCCCATTGTAAACCCTGTTTGGTGTATTACTGTACTGTTATGCTACAAAGATACATCTATATTAAATACTGTCCCCTACTATCTACTCTAGCCACCATCATACAGTAAACATGAATGAGATGACATGTGCATACAAAGACATGACCACTGTGACCACTGTTTATTACGTTGCTAGGCAACACGTAACACAGATGATGCGTGACATTGAGCGAGAGGGAGATGCAGAGGACACTGAGGGCGACATCCCAGAAGAGGGAGGGGGCCCTTTTCGTCTTATCTTACCATCATCTATACCTAGATTCTGCAAGCCTATTATTGTTCCGTTCCCGTTTTCTCTGGGTCCATTGGAGGTGGGGGTCATCAGGGGATCATTTGCATAGTCCCTCTGTCTCCTGCAAGAGATAAAGAAGAAATAATAACAACTGAAAATTACCTGTACAACTCCTCTTAAATTGATGATAGTCTAAGAGACAACGCCTTGTATCCTTTGGAAAAGGCGCTATATGAATCCAATTATTGTTATTATTATTAAAGCACAGTCACATCTGGAAGGCCACTTAACGGAGACAAGAACAGCAGTCTTGGTAGATAGGTAGCATTTACAAACAGGTACATGTACCCAGTGGCCTATACAGACTTTGGCATCAGGAGGGGTAACTTATCTAAGCGTAAACCAAGGTCACAAAAAAACTGGACTTAAATACTCTAGCAGGTAAATTTTGGATGTATCAAAGTTGCCTTAAAAAGGCAAAATGGAAAGTTTATACAAAATTATTTATTTTGTGTCGAAAAAGAGACATTTTTTCTTCAAATACATGTATGAGTGTTCATAATATATACTTAAAAATGGTATTATTTAGCACAAAAATTCAAATATTTGAGAAAAACTCAGGTGTTTGTTTTTCTTGTTTACATTGCTGTACTAGACACTCAGGATAAATTTTTGCGTGGGACCAAGATCGAATTCAAGGCCAAAAATATTCAGGGTATAGGTAAAATCTACTTGACAGGCAGCGACTCTACCACCAAGTCATTAGTGGTCCATGACGCAGTTACAATGAACTGGAAACAAATACAATGTACCTCAGCTCTCTTAATTATGACTTATTAATATTTATCAGTCGGCCATTAGAACAATAAGCTGGCTTTGAAATGTGCTTGATCTTTAGTTCATGGGTGCAAGCTGGAATTTCTTTACAAATTGAAATTATTTCCAGGAAGCCTAACATTCAAAGCTAACATACCTGATATATATCAGCCCGATGACAATGACCAGACACATTATGATCAAGAATCCAAACACACCTCCAACAATACCTGCTACATTGGGTGCTAAAGAGACAAAGAAAACGGTGAAAAGAATGCTAAGTAGTTCAGTTGATCAACAAAAAACAAGGGGCAGACAGGTTGGGCAAGATTTATAATAATAATAATAATAATAATAATTTAAGATTTGTATAGCGCACTTATCTGCCTATAATGGCACTCAAGGCGCACAAAAAAGATTCACTATTAACATTTCAAATACAAACAATAAACAAATTGAAATTAACAAACTAATAATAAATCAACAAATAAAAAACAAATGCAAATTACAGATTCAGTAAGACATTGAAATGTCCATGTGAGTTAATCATATTTTTGCTTCATAAGGTAGGTCTTTAGATGCCTGAACGTAGACCAAGTCTAGAGATTTGGATTGGAAGCCTCTCATAGAACTAGTACTTTAGTAAATTTTCTTAGCTCAAGGGCTGATTATTTTCTTGTCAAAGGGCTGGTCCATTAAAAAAAAAATGTCATACCTGCCAACCTTTCCTAGTAAAAATTGGGAATGTATGAAAGGAAAATTAGGAATACAGTCTTTTTTGTGTACTTTTTATACAGAATTAAATTTTCAGAAGAAAAGAGGAATCTATGTGTATAGTCAGATTTTTAAAGTGCAAATGAACCAGAGGTAAGTCGAGTTTCATGATGAAACCCTCGCTTATATAGCGAGCTTCGCCACTTTTTATGAGGTTCTTGAAGATTGTCAAAAGCGCAAATGAATCATAGGTGAGTCAAGTTTTATGATTAAACCCTTGTTCATCTAATGAACCTCAGAATTTCCTATTGTCTTGAAGAATTTTGAAACGCAAATAAATCAGAGGGCAGCCAATTTTAATGCAGAACCCTTCCTCATCTAGTGATGTTCACCACTTCTTAGGGCAGTCTTAAAGATTTTTGAAGCGCAAATGAATCAGAAGTGAATCAAGTTTACTTGGTTAAATTGGATCACCTCTGCTTCGTTTGCATTTCAAAATTATTTAAGAAGAAAAGAAATTCTGATGTCCATGAGATAAAGAAGGGTCTCATCATGAAATTCAACTCAAGTTCAATATATTTGAGCTTCAAAATTCTTCAAGACAGTTCACAAAACAAAACACAACAAAAAAAACAATCATCAAGTGTCATCGTTACCATTTGCTTTTTTTACATTTCCATTTTTTTGGCGCAAAATATTGTCTTTTTTCATCGGGTCGTGCCACACGTTTTGACTTCGGGATCATGGGGCCTACAGTTGTCACACTAAATGCAACATATGATATGAAATTCAATATATACTTACGTTTGGCACCTGCAGGATCAAGTAAAGTTCCATATACAAATTGATGTACACGTTTACCATGAATACATGCAAAAATAAAGAAGAAAAGACATAAGCTTTCAAAAATGTTATTACTTTGCAGAATGATTATTTCAAAGGAACCTAAAGCAATTCTATATATTTTCCAGTTCTTATACATTTTTTTCATCCCTGATATCAATGAGAATATTACTATTTCAATAGTACTTGTAGCAAACTGTTAAAGAACAGTGAACTTGTCTTTTTCTTCATCAATTAAACATTGCACATTTTGTCTATTTGTGCTTATTGACTACACCAGGGCCTTTGATAGAGTAAAACATGAAGATCTAAATATGTGCTGAAGATCAGACATTGATGGGAAGGATCTGCGCTGATAAGGAACCTGTACAGGGAGCAGTAAGCAGTAATCAGGATAGATGGGGAGACCAGCAAATGGACTGACATTAAGAGAGAAGTTCGGCAAGGCTGCATAATGTCACCATATCTATTCTTGCTGTATAGTGAGATGATAATGCGTGAGATATCTGACACGAAGGGTATTATAGTTGGCAGAACGTAAACAATCTAAGATATGCCAATCATACTGCAGAGATGCCAACCCTATAGGATGGCTGTCAGTAACATTTACCATATTTTTCCGTAACAAATGGGGGTCTTTCCAGAACGCAAGACACCGCAGCATAATTTTTGCGCAAAACATACACAAACTCCCAATCACTTTTACTGCATTTCGAACCTACCATTTTTAAGTCCAAAATAAAGATGTGCATAAAAACGTTTTTAAAAATTTGTTTCCAGTCAAAGGATCTCCTCCCCGGGTACTTGCTCTTTTGAGTGAATCCATGATAATATTCAGGAAGAAAATACCTTGTTCAAGCGTTGAATGGCAAATTCGAATCCACAGTCAAATGGCAGAACTCGTATTCTACACACGCACACGTACATTCACCAGTACCACAGACAAACTAGCCCAGGCCGCTAGGCCCAGCGTTCATGAACAACAACACACCGTATACCGCACCTGCAATGCGCCCGCTGAATCACCGAAGTCTTCGCTACTATACTTTGAATGGGTATTGCGGGCGCCGCGCGCAAGATCATCTACCACTGTGCTCCCCCCGAAACGCAAGACTGTAGTAGCATACTAGTATCAAAACAGTAATAACGGCGGCTGTGTTGTTTCAGAAATAAACAAGATGGCGGCGGACGGACCATGTGCGCTAAAGTGCCTTATCCAGTGTAGTCAAATTCAGTGAACTTATGAGTAAATGCGTGCGACATGCAGCTGTGTACGGAGGCTATGTATAAATAGCAGCATCTGCTATAATGTACTTTTATTTATCGTTTCCCCGTAACCTTTTGATTGTTTACCGTAACGCCGTAACAAGAGCATTAAAACCGTAACAAATATGGCGAAACCGTAACGATTGGCATCTCTGATACTGTCCTAGTTGCAGGAAGCAGTGAAAAACTGGGCCTGTCACTCAACCTAAACAAGACAGAATGTACGGTAGTGTCCAAAAAAGTAAGATGCACCCAGATGTAATATTCACATGCATTAATCTGTAATTACATTTATTGCGCTTGTAATTTCTATTTCATAATGTTGTATTTAAGATGCATAATTATTATATTGAATATAATAATTTGTATTAAAGTTGTATTTGAATATTTCACATGGTTTATGATACTTCTGATTCCATTTCTGGTTAATTTATAATTTCAATTAATTTTGAGTTAATAAAATTTTGAGTTAATAAAATAAGTCCTTATTTTACAGTTTAGTAATATTGCAGTTTGATGATATTGTAATTTCTATTGCATAATGTTGTATGATATGTATTTTAAGATGCATAATTGTTATATTGAATATAATAATTTTGTATTTAAGTTGTATCTTGATATTTCACATGGTTCATTATAATTCTGAGTCCATATCTGGTTTATTTATATATTTCAATTAATTTTGATGCAGTCCTTATTTTTTGTAATGTCACATTCTTTTTTGCCGTTTACTTGTAATTCAATGTTTTTAACATGTTTCTTTAGTATTTCTCACTTTTCCTTCCTTATCCTTTCCTCTTTCTCTTGCGCTTAGAAACATTGTATGACGCGCATTATAAATGTAATGTATTATTATTATTATTATTATTAAGAGGTAAACAAAGTAGACAAATTCTGCTACCTTGAAGGTTTGATGACCTCAGATAATAATAATAATAATAATAGGCATTTCTATAGCCCCATCTATCTAGATAATTCTATTCCGAGGCACATTTATTATTACCCTGGCTTTAGCCTAGCAGCTGTTTATACAGCGCTCCAGCATTTCAAGGAATTAATTCCTGCCAGGTACCCATTAACATCACCTGGGTTGAGTGTGGCAAATGAAGATTAATGTCTTGCCAAAGGACATTAGTGCCGCGGCGGGACTCGAACCGCGGACCTTGCGATCGAAAGTCCGGCGACGTATCCACTCGACCACGACACCTCTACAGATGAGAGGAGTGATGAAGAAGTAAAGAAACAATTTGCACTTGCAATGGAGTCATTATGAGATAAGGTGAATTTATGCTAATACTTCAGGAAAAGAGATGCTGAAGTCCAATAAACATAAAAAGAAACAAAATAGTAGCAAAAGAAGACATTTTTTTTAAATTTTACAAAACTCACTTAATTTGACTGGGGCCATGAAGGGTCCACTCTCATATAAGGTCATCTGTTGTGGAGTAACAAAATTTGAATGTTAACATCAATTTGTTGGTGTGCATCGATGTGATTCTGATAAAATATTATAGTACAGTACATAGCTCCTGTAAGTAGAAAATGTGAAAAACATTAAGTTAACCTGTTACGAAAACATAAAAAAAGATTAGAGGATATTGCAGAAATACAGCGTAGGCATGAAGCCCGATTTAAGATTGAAAAATGATAGTAGCTTGTGATTCTAGAAACACCTTTGTTTTGATAGAGAGAAGAGAGGTGAAAGAGGGAGGGAAGGGAGAGAAAGAGTAGAAGATAGGGTGGAGAGGGAAGAAAGAGAGAGGAGAGGGAGAGGGAAGAAAGAGAGAGGAGAGGGGAGAATGAGAGAAAGGAGATAGAGAAGGGAATGGAAAGGGAGGGAAAATGAAGAGAGGGGTGTAAGTGAAGGAAAAATCATTAGGCTGTTATATGATTCAACAATTACTCCAGCCATTATTTCATCAAAGATATAGGGTTAGAGCTAGGATTGTGACTGGATTAAGACTATGTTAAGGCTCATGGTTAGGTACACTACATTGTGTTGGATCCAGACTTGAAAATAGAAATTTGTTGTATGTCCAAATTTGCCTACGGAGCAATTCTCACTGTAGCACAGGTTGTACAATCATCCCTTTGGATTGTAGTACAGTATATATATTTAACAAGAACCGATGTGCAGTCTGCAGTAAACCAAAGCACTAACAGTAACATTAAGCCTCATTCAAACATGCCACTCCAAAACCACAGCTTCATAAAAATAAAAAAAGTGTAATATGCGTCACATTTTCTATCTTGTTAGACAGAGCTCCATGACTACGCGGCGGTTTAATACCACATCATATCTGTACGAGCCACAGTCACTACATAAATACCTGACGATCTTCTGGAGAAGGGGTATAGACTCTGACAAAGGAAGAGTAGGTCCGACCGGTATTGAGAGGGCCATTGACCGCAGTGAGAGTACTGGCACCTGTTGTTTGTCTCCTTCTTCTACTTCCACTTCCAGTCGAACCTCCAGTGTAACAGGTCGATCTATTGCTAGTTGCTGTACCTATAACAACTTTAACTTCATCAGTTGGACAGCTTAAATTTTAGGTAACGAGAAAGGAAAAAAAAGCAAATAAAGGGATGTAAGCAATGTCTGGTAATTTGGTGCTGTGGTCTAGAGAATGAGACACTGAACTGAAGCTCACAATGTAGAGGGTTCAACTCCCAGCCCGGCACTAATATGCTTTGGCAAGACATTCTATCTTTGACACTCTTGACCCAGGGGTAAATGGGTACCTCATATTACTTGAGCGTTCCTCAAGTTCCTTTTGTGGCTTGGCAATAACTGGGGTAATAATGTCTGATCGCTGTGAGCGTCACAGACCATGACAGAAATTTTATTGTATTCTGTCAAGATCATGTTCATCACACTAAGGCTTCCAAGGTGAAAGGACATTCCATTTACATAGCCCCGGAACATCCATGAACGTTTATTTTAAAGTGACTTGTAACATTGTTGAAGGTTGATGAAAAAAATTGTGTAATTTTTGTATGAAATGTTACTTATTATATTCCTTTTACTATACTTACCCTCTATCATGCAAAAAATCCTGAAAAAAATTCTCACATCACAAAGATATTTATGGTTTTCTTTGAAAGCGTCACTGGTCAACACCTACCAACAGTAATTTCTTCTAACCATTATTGAATTTTCCCAACCATTTTTCAATGAAAATAAGACATAAGACAGGATTTTTAAAATCTTTCAACACTTTTGTTATGATATATATAGAGCCAATTCATAGCTTTGTTACGATTTACATTCACCTAAAATGTAATTAAATTTTAATAATATAATTGGGAGCATTAAGGAAGCGATCAGATCAGTTTTTCCCAATTTTTGTCGTTAACAATGGCCTGTTTTCACTCAAACTTTCAGATTATTTTTAAATTTACATCTTACACCTTAGCACCATTTTCTTTCATCTGAACAATGTTACAAAGTCCCTCTAATAAAAAAAATCTTTTCAATGATTCTTGATAAAAGCATTCATAAATTGAGCGCAGTAATTGATTAGATCTTATTCAACATACTACAGACATTGTTCAGTATATGTCTATAGAAAAGTGTTTTTTACTCTTATATTGTCAAATCAATTGGTTTTAGCCATATGCCTGCTATTTTGTGCGTTTTTAATAACAAACCAAATCAAATAAGAAGAAAAAAGAGAGGAGGACAAAGGACAAAGAAAATAGGACGATATAAATCTGGATGGAATGGTGGTAGAATAGTGGTCCCATAACCTGGAGGTTCCAGTTTTGAAACAGTTGTTTCCCTTGGTACCTCTTAATGAGGGATTATTCCCAGTATCTGAGACAAATCAAGAAGTCAACAACTTTGTATTTTTATGCGCGATTAACCATGGTCTTTATTGAGAGCTGATTACCATAATTAACTCTTTTTAAATCAAACTAGTCAGCAAAGTAATTATAATGCAATCATAACAAACAACAATGAATGCAAATCATTACTTTGAGCATTGTTTGTCGAGAGTGATCTGTAAGGAACCATTAGGAGGTCCGGCTGGGCGACAAAGTAATATCTTTGACTAGCCATAACAATTCTTCCATTCACCTGGCCAAGCGAACAGGAAAAATGCATTAATTCAGCATAACTAAAGTCCTTTGGATAGAACTCAAAGCTGTAGGTCCGCTGTATGCTTTTCTTCATATACAAGTGCTTGCTTTCTAAGCCAGCAAATAAAATAATTCATTCTTTTATCAATCAATCATTCAATAAATCCATGTATACTCACTTGCTGAATACAACAGCCCTATATGGTGTTCCTGTTGTGTCCTTTGCTTCCTCGTAGCTCTTGATCTGATCAGGATCCCAACTAGGGTCTGAAGAATCTAGGTTTGCATCACCATTCCCCAGTTCTACAACAATCACCTCACAACAACTTGAAAGCATAAAAACAAAGACGAAAATTAATTGAAGCACATGAAAAGATAAGATTAACGTGTAAAATATACGTAGAAGAATGATATATATCCATAAAGAACTAAGTTCTACAATTTTTTGAATCATTAAGAATAAGTTTGATGACACATCCAACAGTTTTTACCTGTCAAGTAGAATGTTGCATTCAAAAAGACATTTTATCCTAACTACAAGTTTTATACAAAATAGAACTAAAACGCTGTATAAGGAGAACCTAAGATAGACTAGGCAAGTCTTTTTAGGATGTTAGTTACATGTATGGTATGGTCAAGACTTCTACAAAAATAACCTGAAACAGCCCTTACAAAAATTCAATCTATTTCAAAATATTTTTTGCTGATAAACACTTTCAATTAAACACCTCACGTAAAATAGTAGGATAAAAAAGTGTTGCTTTCTTTGCCACATTGAATGAAACGTTCATATTTTATGGCAAAATTAAAGACCAAATTAATACAAAATGCCCGTTTCACGAATTCAGTAATGAAATGACATGGTGTTGTAAAAGAGTCTCATCACATTAAACCCAAGATAATGTGACTGAATAAGACCATCACATGTATTTTTTCCTCTTTTGTTTATGTGAAATAGATGCATAACAGCAACAACTATTGAAGGTACAGCAGAACTCTGCCAGAAGGGCACTGAGATAACTTGCACTGTGCACGACCCAATAACAAACTTTTTGTTGTTGCTAATGTATTAGTATTGCTTTCCATTCAGTTGTTACAAGGTTGTGGAACAAGCTAACCACCAAGCTGAGGACTGCTACTGTAACATCTTTACAAGTGGACCAGTACAATTAAGTCCCACTTATTTTGTTGGAGAGCAGAGGTTGTTATACGTTCATATCGGCTCAACTGGTGTTGTTGCAATGTTTTTTATCCTTGTTTATTGAGTGATCCTTATTCTACAGTATGGAGCATATTGTGAAGAGCTTTCAAACGCAAGGCTAAGCTGTAGACACTATACCAAATACTCTTTGGTTTGGATTGGATTGGATTGCTGAAGTGTTGTCATACCTAACGGGCCCATTGCGTGCATTATAGGGCGGCAACGTCGTCGTGAAACTTGTCTGAGAGATTTCCTCCTCGTTAGGGGAAGGTATGGATGGTGGCGGCACAGGTACTGAATCAAAACAGAGAATACATACATTCAGTATTGAAGCACAACACAAGTGGATGTAAAGTTTCATAATAACGTCTGTGTACCTTGCAATCGGAATGGCATGTGAGGGTTGGCATGCCTAAGAGCAACAGACTTGGATTTCACTTTTGTGAACCCTGATCTACATGCCATTCCTTATGTGCTCTGCATCTTTTATCCATTACTTTGTATGTACGTCTTGCATTTTCTATTGTCAAAGAAATAAATATATAATAATTATAATAATAATACTAATAATGATTAAAGTCATGATGATAATAATAACAATAATAATAACAACAATAATAGTAATAACAAATACTTCTACTTCTACTACTACTACTACTACTACTACTAATACCAGTAATAATAATAACAAGTACATGTAAGCTAATAATATCCCTTCACCCTCCATTCTTCAAGCTCTCTGGTTTACAAGAAGACGGTGAGTGGACTGACAAATCAAAACTTTGTGTTGTTTTTTGTTGAGTGACATAAATGGTACAATTTCAAATTGGGCAAAATAATGAGGGGTTCAGGCACCCAAACCTTGCTTTTTGTCACCTAGTAACCAAAATTGGCCACTCTTTCATTCCTCATTACTCAGCTTAAACCATAATAACATAAAAGAATTGGAAGGTGCCAAATCCACTCTAAAAAAAATGTTCATGGTGAACTTGTGGAAAAGATGAAATCACATAAAAGCATCTGCATTGTACACAAAAGAACAACAGGAGTATTAAAGATTGAACAAACAAAATGAGAGAGAGAACAAATAATTTTATGCCAAATCAAACATTTTAGTGATTACTGTATTTCATATCAGATCAATGTCAATGTGGTCAGTTATATGTCCGACTCTAGTGAGTTAAAGGTAATACAAAGTTTTGGGAAATTTTGAAAATTGGGTGGATAGTGAATCTTTAACATTTTGATATATTTGGATGCCCCTGTGGATGTATTATAAGCACTAAAAAAATTAACCCCTAAAACACTTCTGTTTTCGAGAAAAATTGAATATAAAAATTTACCGGTGCTCCCGGTAAATGTTGATAAATTTCAAATAGCGCCTACGGCCGTACAATGGTAGCTGCGACCATGAAAATCTCAGAATATGTAGTTGTGATATATAATTGGGTGGATAGTGAATCTTTAACATTTTGATATATTTGGATGCCCCTGTGGATGTATTATAAGCACTAAAAAAATTAACCCCTAAAACACTTCTGTTTTCGAGAAAAATTGAATATAAAAATTTACCGGTGCTCCCGGTAAATGTTGATAAATTTCAAAAAGCGCCTACGGCCGTACAATGGTAGCTGCGACCATGAAAATCTCAGAATATGTAGTTGTGATATATAATTTCCAAATGGGAATAGCTAGTCGGTCGATTTTAGTCAAGAACCATTGTTTTATAACTAAATTAATATCTTGACCTTGAGAGGGAGCTATACAACATAAAGAGTTTATTATTTATAATTTCATAACTTTAGACTCGATTTCAACCGGGACAACGATCAATGAATATTGAAGGAACGCATATGCTTCCAATATGTTAATTTGAACAAAACTCATGACCCCATACCAAAACTTTGTAATACCTTTAAGCTCAGTTTGTAGGAAAAGGAAATCCATAATTGGGGAAAAATATATATCTAGTTGAACATAACATAGCCCAAATTTCTTCAGACACACAATTACATGTATCCTCATGTCTTGCAACTTTTCTCCAGTATTTATCAGAGTGCAGTGGTACTTTTAAGTTTATAATGTACCAATCACCAAAACACATTTTGCTTTTGTGTGAGGGGTTAAATTTTGCTTTAATGTAGTCAAAGTATGAGCTTCAACCATTTAAACATTAAAACGTCTACCAGGGTGTTAAGTAGACTACCTAACAATTGCATAGAATAGGGTGCGCGCCCTATACACAGGGCATTATGTTATCCTTTATTTCTTCATACTCATTAATCATTTACTTGATACAGAATGCAAAGTAAAGCATTTAGAGGTTAATTTTATACATTCTACCTGTACACAAATTAGATTTTCAGCTGATTGGTACACATTAAATTATCAAGAACCAAACCTCCTTGTGGAGTTTCGCAAACGTCTGTAGTGGTAGCAGTAACCCCTTCTCCAGGTGCAGTTGAAGCAGTGATTGAGTAACGATAGATGGAAAAGGGATCTAACCCTGCCTTCATAAATGTTTTCTGCACTTGAGTAGCAGGCACTTCAATTTTTTGGGTTTTATCCACAACATCTGTGCCCATTTTCAAGACCTCTTCATAGAGCTGCAAGAAAAATGGAGCAATACTCATAATTACACAAGAGGAATATCCATGTATAGGATGTTGATGTATCAATGATAAATTGCAAGTAAATCTTGTTTTATTGTTGCATGAAGTGAGTGTATTCATATACATGTATCTGTTTAACCCTTACTGTACTGGGCTATCTCGGCCGTCGAATGTCCGATGAACACGAAAATTTGCATGTTTGTAGATATTTACATAAGGAACAAGATGGTATAATCATTTTTTTCCTAATATGCAAATTTTTGTTACTTATTATATTTCTCCCACTGTACTAACCGTGTAACGTACAAAAAATCCTGAAAAAATTCTCGAAACACAAAAGATATTTATGCTTTTCTTTGAAGGCGTCTCTGTGCAACACCCTCTATTAAACAGTAAATTCTCCTGAACATTTTTTTCCCAACCCTTTTTTCACAAAAAAAGGACATAAGACCGGCTTTTAAAAATCTCTCAACACTTAAATGTCTGGAATGGTGTATAGAGCCAATTCATTGCTTTGTGACGATTTACATTCACCTAAAATATAATTAAATTGTGATAATATAGTTGGGAGAATTAAGAAATCAATTAGATCAGTTTTCCTCAATTTGTATCATTAATGATGGTCTGTTTTTTGACTCAAACTTTCAGATTATCTTGTTTGTACATCTAGCATTGAACTCACTACCTTTACACCATTTTCTCTCATCTGACCAATGTTACCAAGTCTCTTTAATCGTAGCCTATTGAATGAGGCTTGCATTCTTGTGATTCTAGGCTTCAAAATCGATTGATTATTGAATACAATCTAGGTTGTTCAGTTAATGAAAAAATCCTTACTGTATATTTTGTGATCACTCCATTTGGCTCACTCGGTTTCCTCCAAGAAATTGTGCATTCAGTTGAGGTTTCACCAACAGTAAATCCTGCAGGTTTACCAGGTGCTAAAAAAGAGGAAAAATGTGAAAATTGAGAATTTAATGACATAAGCAGCCCCCTGTTGGTTCCTACATCATATAAGCTTACTAGCTTGGTTTTTACTTGCAATGGACTTAGCATATTTTACTGTAAATTAACGAGTGCTTTGTCCACACACCATTCCTGCAATTCATGACATTCCTTGTTGTTACTCGCCTCACCTACTATCCCAGTATAGCTTCCTGAGTGAGCTGCCAAAGGGATTACCCAACCAAGTACTAGCATACATACATTCAGTTTTTGCAATCATTAGTTGCTACGTATATGTACATGTATGAATACATGTTATATAAGTTTTGTTGTAAAATGGTTTTAATGCTCGATATGAGGCTTGTTCAATTTGATGCAGTACGGTAAACCGCTGCAAAAAAGCCATCACGTTTTTCAAAAAACATGTAAATGGATGGCAAATGCACATATTCATTGAGCTCTGTGTTTAATATAAAATACAAAACAAACAAACCCAGCGTTTTGCCGAGACATATCTGAACGAGGCTTTAATGTTTTGCAGTTTATCCCTGGCACGGCATTTATATTCATAATGTTCCACTCTAAATGGGTACCCAAAACTTAATGGCACGCCAACAATTTTGACTTGAATCTTAAAACATTGTAAAATTTACGAAGGGTTTGAATGCTTCCCAGGAAGAGGAGAAATTGGACTCTTTTTATAACCCCATTTCTATCACCTAGGCAGAATATAAGAAGCATTCATCTCCAAATGCCCCCGCCTACAATCAATTATTTATTATCATAATTTTTCACCAATAATTTTTTTTTCACTGATGTGCTTCATGTACGTGTATGTTTGAAATGAGAATTAATCTGTAAAAAAAATCATGGTTTAATCTGCATATGACATATGACACATATTGCCAATACAGTATCAGCCAATATTTTTTGTGTAAAGATATTTTCGCAGATCAAGGGGTCAAGGACAAATTTGTGAGAGGTTAAATTTGCATAAAGCCACACCCACTACCCATTATATACTTTTTGATCATTATCATTCTATTTACATGCATCATGAACTCATTCCTGAGTATCTTAATATTATAATTATTTTGGGAGAATTTAATGAAAATAATTTATTGAAGTGCTCTCTACAATCAATGTGGTCTCAACTGCGCAGCATGCCACAGGGCTTACTTTAGTAATTTGGACATGCAAAATTACTTACTGGAAATATTGTTTGCATGTCGTTAAATTTGCAATCATTGAGTTATTCGCAAAATTTGCAAAAAATAAATACTTATGAAGTAATAAATTATACCTTTCTATGATGAAGTATACATGTCCAAATGTACTTCAAATGAATCTTTTGATAAGTAAGTCACACGACTAAGTTTTATACAACTCACTCCTAGATCCTAATCAATAGATTGGTCATGCACGGTCACATGTGATTCATTTACTGAGACTATCACACGTTTTTCCATGAAAAAGCATGCAATAGTTTCTAGTACTATCACACACTTTTTTTTTTAGTGCATGTACATGATGCGCAGTATAGTGCGCATAGAGGTTAGGGCCCTGATACTATGTCTGGGCCTATTCTTACGCAGCACTATGCGTAAATGCGTATAGAGGTAAGTGCGCTTATCTATGTATGCGCACTCAATGAAACCCATTTAACTGGAGATTTATTTGTCAGCCATACTGTCACAATACAATCTTGAATAAAATCTTTTTACATCAAATATCAAGGATCTAGGAGTTTTGTTGTATAAAACAAATGATGCATGTTTTCATTCGTGCATTATACGATCTATCTGCCCTTGTTTGTGCTGTATGTATCTATCGCACTCAAGATACACACAGCCTCAACTCAAGTGCGGACATATTGTATAATGAACTCATGCGCATGTATCATTTGTATACTGATGCTCCATAATCTGTACATACCAGCTTCTGAGGTTCTAAAAGGGCCAGAGGGTGGTGATTCTTCACTAAACTGGTTCCCTTCTGGTGTGTTGCGATTGAATACACTTACACTGATTGTGTAGTTTGTATATGGTGTAAGCCCTTGAAGAGTACCGCTGGTTCCGCTTCCAAAAGCAGCTGTAATAAATGATACAAGACAAAAAAATGAAACTTTTAGCCGTGTGATATCACTTTTTTATGAGATTTTTTTGCATGGTAGTCGTGGTAGGAAAGAATGATGCAAGGTTACATGTTTTCATTAGACATAATAGATATTCTAGAACCCATTTTGTAAAGCATTATTACCCTCACACTTTTTAAAGCACAGTTTAATGCTCACTGATTCCCCATACGATCCACATACATGTACCACGGAGACACTCTCCAATAGATCAGCCCTTTCAGACAAGGTTTTTGGGGGGCTAAATATATATCACACATTGTTCTTAAAATTGGCAAATATAAAATCCTCCTTTCAAAGTTCTTTGTTCTAATAAAATGAAATGTCTCAGGAAACAGTTAACATGGGTAGAAATTTAGTTGAAAAGTTGATAAAATGGCTAATTTCCATCTTTAAAATGGCTAATTTCCATCTTTAAAAGTGCCTTTAAACCCTCTCAAATTGTTGCTAATTAAAATAATTAACAGGTTATTTTCCCTCTTAAAATTCTTGGCACCATATGCAATGTGGTCATGCAACAGAAATGGACACAATATGTGCAGAAGTTTTTGCCTTTTCATTCCATGCATCTGAAATATTTTGTACAGTTACAGAGCCAAAACACAAAATGTGGATTGTTTGGGCTAAATACGGATCAAACCAGTGATTTGCAAAAAGTTACAGATAAATCAACTACTTCCTACAAATCTTACAACATTGGATTATTTTCAATACAAGATCTCGTATTCCATCACTTAAACCTAAAAAGGCTGGGTTATTTTGGTGCCATGGGATGAAGAACTAGATGGAACTGCGACTGCGCGCAGTCGAAAATGATGCCTCTGTCATAGAGCAATTTTGCAAACCAAAACAGAAGAAATTTTTCAAATTCAAGTTCAATTGTAATCCATTAACAGGTTCTCAGAATATCGTGATTACCAGCAATTTCTCATATACATATATGACCCTTTGATCTTTGACCTCATAAAATCTACACAGTTCATTGGCTCTGCAAGATGTCCTGAGTTAAATAGTAATCCATCTGTCAGTTCTCATGAGAATGCGTTCACAAGCTATTTTTGCATACATAATGAGCATACCTCGTGACCCCAAAATCTAATCAGTTCATCGGCTCTGTAAGTAACATACTTGACCTAAAGTTTGGCAGGAATCCATCAATCGGTTCTTGAGATAACACGATCACGAGCTGTTTTTGCATACATAATGAGCCCTGTAACCTTTGACCTTTGACCTCGTGACCCCAAAATCTAATCAGTTCATTGGCTCTGCAAGATACATACATGATTAAAGTTTGGCAGGAATCCATCAATCGGTTCTTCAGATAACGTGATTACGAGCTGTTTTTGCATACATAATGAGCCCTGTGACCTTTGACCTCGTGACCCCAAAATCTAATCAGTTCATTGGCTCTGCAAGATACATACATGACCAAAGTTTGGCAGGAATCCATCAATCGGTTCTTCAGATAACGTGATCACGAGAACGGGACGTACGTACGTACGTACAGACGTATGTACGTAGGTACGGACGGACAACCCGAAAACATAATGCCTCCGGCTACTTCGTAACAGAGGCATAAAAATACTGCAACTTGACAGAAACATAGAGTGTCTCATAAAAATATGTCCTGTAAGTTTCTTATCTATATCTCAAATGGATTATGAATTATGGCTAAGTATTCACATATCTGTAAATTGACAATTCTGCATTGTGTACAATACACAAAGGGAAAGGTTAATTCTTGGCTGTGACATGGAGCGCTATGATTTTTTAAATTTTTAAATTTGTGATCAAAAGATGCGTAAGACTCTAGATAACTTCCTGGAAGCTTGCAGTGCAAAATACTAATCCTAGAGTGTATTGCGAGGAAGGGGGGGGGGGGGGTGGTTTTTGCCCCTGGCCCTTTTGGGATTAAATCATTACCTAACAAATGTTAGCTAGGACTTACTGTAAGTTACATCCTCAATTCCACCTATAGCAGTGAGTGTGTATCCATCGATGGGTCCATTTTTATCCTCTAGCTCGTCCCATTTTACAAACACCTGTTTTGCTTGTACATCACTAATAAGCACATTCCGAGGCTGAGACGGCACTGAAATGAAGTAGAATCATGCATTTTAAGACTTAATCATAACTTGAGATCAGGGGTCAAATGGTTCCATACTGCTTATTATTTATGTTGCACAACAAATAATTTTCGGTCCCTCTTCTGGGGACTAATAGCAAAACTGGGTACAAAATTGAAAGACTAGTTAAACTAGTTAAATACATATATAAAACAATCCTCTAATAATTTTTCTATGCAAGGGTCTTTATATTTATTGGGGAGGATATTTAACAAGTTTGAATTAAACTTCAATAAAAAATCATAGAAGGATAAATGGAGAAATATATGCAGAAAATATATTTTGGACCACTCATACACTAAAATACATACATGACTTTTTCATTTTGGGTGACATAAGAATGAATATACATGCAAGATAGTGATCATACCTCCAGCTAGGGTTTCTTGGGGTAGAAAGACCAGAGGCTTGCTGCTTCCAGCAAGATTCACACAGATCAGCTGAAACTTGTAGGTGGTGTAGGGCTGCAAGTCCGTCACGACACCCGGTGATGTTCTTCCCACATATTTGTCTTCTGTTTTATTGGTGCCTTGAATCCCGTATCTGGCTGTGCAGTTGATGTCGTCGTCATTGCCTTGAACTGTGAAGTCCCACACAAGCTTAAGTTCCATGGAGAGGACATCGAGATATCTTGGATTAGCAAGTTCTGCCACCTCTGTGAAAGACAAAGGCAAAGAATGGTCAAAAGTTTTTCATTCATAGTTGGTGTTTCAGAGGTGTTGTAGTCTAGTGGTACTTAACTTCAGATGAAAAGGTCAAGGATTCAAGTCCTAGAATCACACTTGCTGTTATCACTTCTTCCTTTCCTGATGTATTATTAGTTACATGGTAGAATGAGGATATCATGGTGGTTTGAACACAAACAAGCATACCTGGAAAATAGCATCCGACTGGAAAGCTCCCAAATGAAGGGAGTGGAGATAGAGAAAGAGTTGTGAGGGCATATATTGTAAGTGAATCCAATAATTTAATTGGTATCTATATCAACAGTCATAGAACATCAATTAAACAAAAGAAAAGGGGATACAAAAATTGTTATTGAAAAAAAATACTTTCACTCTTTACCTTGGACAAAGATGTTAAAATTCACGCTGTCGGTTATATTCCCAGCTTCGTCAATAGCCAAGCACCTATAAACTCCATTATCTTCTCGGACAGTGTCAGATATCTTGAGCACACTGAAGAAATACGTCCCTCCTTTTCTCATTTCTTGGCTTGGTTCAATGCTAGTCCTGTTCATATCATCCACTAGTCTCACTCCATTCCGCTCCCATGCTATGCTTGCATCACTGCTCGAGAACACGGTACAGTTGAGACTTGCCGTTCGGTTTAGTTGGATAAAATCATCAAGTTTGCTGAGTTCACGATCAATTTGACCAGGAACTGAAAGGAGCAGTACAAAATACAAAATTCCATGAAATTGAGCAGGGTATGCAAGTACAACAGGTATTACATAAAAAATCTGGTAAATATAATTTGCAATGCGATGCTGAATTCTCAGAACAATCTGAATGTTGTAAAATATACCTACAACAATTTCTAAACGGATCAGCACACACTACTCTTTTTTGCAACTGTCTATAGGTGTTAAAATGCCTGTATTTTGGACTTTAACCCGTTAATGTATGGTGTTTATACATATACATAGAACTTTAGAGAGAGAATATCAGATATCTACATGTAATTTATTTATTTTTTTAAATAAAAAAAATCACACTTACTTTATTGGATGTACATTTACATGTACACCGTATGCAAAAATCAACCAGATATTGACATTTTCGATTCGTATGACAATTCTGTATGCATGTATAGTTTGTTTCTACACATTCATCAACCTTTCTAGCTACTCACCAACAACATCAACTGAAATGGCTTCGCTCGATGCATTAAATCTGTTTCCTATTGTCACAGCAGTGCAGCGGTAGGCCCCTGTATCTTTTGCACCGGCTCCCAGGATGGTGATGCTGTACATTCCCATGTCAGGGTCCCCATTCGTTGTACCCGGGAGTTTGTCATTATCTCTGTACCAAGCAACCTCATTGAGGTCTTCCCCTGCGAGATTGACCTGACAAGCTAGTGTAAAGTCGTCGCCTTCTGATATTATATCGGTCATAGATATCAGGCTTGCTGTGACGTTAACCTCCTCTGCAAAGAGTGAAGTACCATTAAGTCATGGTGAGGGTTATTATTACAAATTATGTTCTTCTTGTACAGCATGAAGTTTGTCAAAGTATGCAAAACGGTCTATTTGTTCAATAGATTCCTAAAGAGCATTCTGTGAGCAACTTTAATTCAAGAACATGCACAGTACATGCAAATGTATAACTTATTAGGGAAGTCCATCCTAATATTGGGTTTCAATAAAAGCAGAAATGTGAGAGAAACAAATCAGTAAAAGTTTGAGCAAATTCTGATTAAATAATAGGAAAGTTATGAATATTAGAAGTTGTCATCAGTAGAACACAAATTGGCAAAACTGTGACGTATCTTCGCGAGCTCCTCTCCAATTCGCTCTGTACAGAAAATCTCATGAATTTTAATTTTCTTAGTTATTGATGTAGGAATAGATTTGTTTCATACAGGGGTTGTATCAAAACATATTTGCAAAAATTATATTTAGGCTGAATGAAATAGTACATGGCAGATGGGAGGGGAGCTTCGATGATGCGTCACTGAGTTGCCAATTTTTGTTTGATTGATCGCACCTTCAAAAATGTATAACTTTCTTATTTTTAATCAGTTTTTGCTCAAACTTTAACTGACCTGTTTCTTTTGATTTCCGGCTTCTATCAAAACCAACTTAATACCAGGGTGAACTCCCCCTTTAATACATGGATATAAGAGTGATGTACCATTAACACTCATTTGCCAGATGTGAAATTTTGCATAAAACAACAGGCAACACTTGATGGAAGGGTAGCTTCAAACATAACAGCTTTGCAAAATTACCCATTTGGGGTCTTGATTACCTCCACTACATCCCTTTCAACACTGGTATAGATTAATCTTGCATTGGAGACAGGTAAATAGTCTTGAAGCCTTTGAAATATCTATGCCATTATAAATATAATGTGGCACAGGGAGATTATTTGTGTGGCATATAAAGAGTCAAGTTTGGATGTAAATGGAAAATAAGACACACATGTGCAATTCAATTCAATGAATTCACATGTAAGTAGATATGTATTGAGACATTTATCATGATCAAGCATATCTACTTCTCTAAATTCTCTTTGACTTTAGCCATCACAATACCAACAAATTCACTTACTTTTGTTACAAACTGCTCCCTCAAATGCTGGCTCACAAGTGCAGATCCCATCAACGTTACTGCAGTTGGCCCCATACACGCATGTACAGCTCTCCATACAATAATCTCCAAAAGTACCAGCAGGACAGACTGAAATAGTTGCAGTAGATATGAATACTTAAACAACAGCCCCTTTCTAAATATTTTTCCTCCATAGGACACACTTTAAAAGCGATCATTTCAATTGTTATTTTACTCTGCAATCAGATTACCAATCTCAGTTACGATGGCCAACTTCTGAAAGATCCAGACAACCTTCATATTAATTGTTATTTCTCTTAATAAACAGATTATTCATACCATCACTGACACACTGTATGCAATCGGCAGCAATATCATACTACCAGCTTTGCTTCATTTGTTTCATAGAGCTTTTCTTTAGAAAAGGCCAGCAGGAATTCAAGAAATTCTACATACACTGTATTTAAAAACTCTGTAGAAATTAGCATTTTATTTCCCTAGAGAAAGGATGCAGATTTACTATTAAACTATGCTTATTTTGTTATGCTCCCATATAATATTGCACACAAAGGGTAAAAAAAGAAGAAGGGGGAATTGGATTATATCCAAGATATTAACCATAGTATTGAATACAACTACATACTTTCTTCCAGCATACCCTTTACATTCATAAACTTTTGTTTGCTTGAATGCAGGATTTATAGCCACAAAGTTATTAATCAATATGCAAATGCACTTATCATGGTAAATAAAATGTGCTTTCAGCAACCTTAGAAACAATCCTACCCCTTTTTATGTTCAGAAATAAAAGATCAAGCATTTTCATGCTACTCATCCCCTATATGTTCAAGTTCACATACTATTTTCACAACGTGTTCCATTGAATCCAGGAGGACAAGTGCAGTTGTAATAGTTTATGCCATCATTGCAGGTTCCACCATTCCTGCAGGGCATCGCATTGCATTCCTGAAAATCTACACATTTGACAAAAAGGATTATACGTATTTGTATTTGAATAACCCTTTCAGCATGTTAAAAATGAATCTTATACAAAACAGCAAAACATTTTTTTCTTTCTCCAATGCTGGCATTTGGCAATAATTTAAAGCTCTTGATCAGCATCTTTAGGCAGTAACTTTGCTTCTACATTTTTATGTATAATACAAGTGCTTTGAAAATTTGTAAAGCTTAGTGCCTATTCACTTCCAACAAACCTTGTTTAAATGATTACGATAAAGAGAAAATTGTTAAGACTATAACAAAAGAATATTCTGTAAAATAGCATTAGAAAATTGACAGCTTCAAGGCCCTGAAGTATTTTTGAGGTAACTTCTAAATTTACATAAGCCCTCATGGATCTGAAATTGAAAATTTTGTGAATCAATAGAAAATATATAATACTGTTGTTAACATATAAACAAACAGCTCATCATTGAAGTGTTTTATGATGCCATAAAACAATATATGATTGGATTATTTACCAAAGATTCTTGGGTGGTACAAATAGAGACACGTGATTAAATATATTCTGTGTGAAATAATAGAGGTACTAATAATTGAGTATAGATTTAGCCTTGGTGTCTTTAAAATCATGTTTTGTCATTTACTGGTATACAACACAGTACATAGTGTTTATCTAAAAGTAAACTACTGGTATGCTCAAATTTACCACATACATACATGATTAGTATTTGGTACACATGTTTTATACTTCAATAAAATTATTTTTTGCACTGGTCAGATACAGTAAATTATTGTGCAAAAGGTTTCTACTGAATATGTAATGGTATTTTTTAAAAATAGGGAAAGAAGACTAGTTGTGTGCAAATCTGCATAAGATCAGCATAATACAAAAATTCAATTTCCCAATACGACACTGTTGCTCATTGAGTTGGAAAAAAAAATCTTGCCTCTTTTCATGAAATGACTGTGAAAAAATAGTTATTCTTCTCAGAACTTAATTGGTTAATCTAAAGAGTCATAGAGAGATTGATCAATAAAGGTCTGAGAAGATATAAACTTTAACTATCAAGATAAAACCATATTGTCACAGTCAACTCATGAAAAGAGGTATGGACAATATATTCCAACTTTATGGGCAACCGTGTACCATATTGTTCATCTTAATCATGATTTTGGAATTATTATTTGGGGTGGAATTGGTACAAACCAACTGAGCAAGTTTCCCCTGTCCATCCAGGTATGCAGACACATGTGAAAGTAGCATCACCGGGATTCATTAAGTGGTTTGTGCAGGTCGCACCATTGTCACATGGGTTAGGGTCACATGCATCATTGTCTTCAAGGCAAAGCAAACAATATCACAGCCACAAAAGAAAATACAACAGAAATAATCAAAATCATGCAAACTAAAAGGTTAAATGCTCAACGTTTTCCATTATCTGCGAGCTTTGTATTTTGTTAAGTGCAATTTTTTTACTTTTTAGAAGTTGGGCCTAGCTCCTTCTAACATCTACCCCGTAGATTGAGATTCTTGGGTATGTTTGCACTATTTTTGTTAAATATATGGTGTTATCAAAATGAATAAAAAATTAAAATAGTATGCAAATCTGCTTAGCATTACCATTTATTTAAGCAAATTGGGGGGGGGGGGGCAGGGGCTCTAGTAGATGAAAACTGACCATTGAACTATGTCAAAGACCCTCACCTTTAACAGTTTGTTTCTTGTAACAATCTCTTCTATTATCAATTTTATCTGTCTGATAATTTTTTTTTCTTGATATCTTTTTATTGGCTATTGCTTTTGAAACTTCACAAATATTTTCAATTTGGACCGAGAAAAGGCAGAGAAATACTTGTGAGGAATCATAATACACATGATCCATTGTGTCATGCATGCAAAACAACACAAACTGCATGAAGCATACTTTTGTCAGTAACTCCAATAGTCTTGAAATGAATAATAAATCTCAATTAGTTGGCCCCAGTTTTAGTATTTCTATACCTACGGTTATCAAGAGGAAATATACCTGCTAGCAGCATTCAGATATAAGCAATTTGCACTTTTGAACTAAATACATTTTTAATCTAAATTACTGGTTAGATTTATCAAACAAATTGTTCATGTCATGCCCAACTCGGATATATCATACCTAATTTCAATTTAATAAGGAAAACAAAAATGACATGGCTCTCACAAGTCCTCTGAAAAATCTTTTAAAAATGTGCAAACTCATTAGCTAAAGAATGATACACATAGTTCTGTCTACATGATCAGCAAATGAATAAAAATATGAGATTGTGTATAATATACTGGACACAATTCCTTTACATAATTCTATCTATGATGTAACTACATATGAATATATAAACAAAATTAAAAAACAGCGCAAATCAAACTTTCATGCAAAACAAATCAAAAATCAAATTTACATGAGTCATGCATGGGTCAAAGAATAAATTACAGACACCACACTGCTCTCTTTGAAATGGGGATAACGGGGTACATAGTATATAAATACATATATCAGTTTCCTACATATATGCACCTGATACATACATGTACTTTTACATTTTATCTACACATGTGTATATCGCTTTTCCTTCATGCTTTTTCTGGGGGACCCCTGTAATAATAAAAAGAGTGCTTCCACTACAGGTTTCAGCTCTTAGGTATTCTGAAGAAGTGTATTTGAAAGGGATATCTAAGCTGCATGATATGTTACCATTTTCACAGTCTGTTCCATTGAATCCTTTCGGACATGTACAGTTATAGTCATTGACCAAGTCGTTGCAGATTCCTCCATTCATACAGGGGTTGTTGAAGCAATCATTGATATCTGGACCAAAAGAAAAACGGAGTGAAAAATATCTGTTAGGTTGGCTTCATATCTTATCCATCTCATTTGTTTGTTAGTTGACAGCCCATTTAAAAATCACGAGCCTTGCAGATGCCATCATTCATACCAGCTCTATAAAGGGAATCTTGAGTACCAGAAATGACTGAAAATAAAATCTGAAGCATTCATACCAAAAACAGTCGTGAACGTTCAAGACTACAAATATAGTATAAATCCAAACAAATTCTGTAGAATATTTATAATAGCTGAGAAGTGAGAATAGAAAGATGATAAAAATCAAGGTAGATATTTAAGCTGGCGAATACTTCACCATGCGGTGGGTTCAATAAATGTCTTCTCTTGCATGTTTCCACTTGTTGGACCAAAAGTTTACTATTAAGCACAAAAAATAATACCCTTTTTGACTGCCACGTCTTTGCATTGTAGGTACAATATTCCTTGAATGCATACTGTATAACTTTCATTTAAATCCATATCTTAAAGAAGTTATCCCCATATTTATAATAGCTGAGAAGTGAGAATAGAAAGATGATAAAAATCAAGGTAGATATTTAAGCTGGCGAATACTTCACCATGCGGTGGGTTCAATAAATGTCTTCTCTTGCATGTTTCCACTTGTTGGACCAAAAGTTTACTATTAAGCACAAAAAATAATACCCTTTTTGACTGCCACGTCTTTGCATTGTAGGTACAATATTCCTTGAATGCATACTGTATAACTTTCATTTAAATCCATATCTTAAAGAAGTTATCCCCATGAGCGTGTGAGACTAAGGACGGACTATCTTGCACAGCATATCAAGAAAAGGTGATTGTAGATGGCAATTACTAAATACCAATGAGTCGCTTTGTGTATAGGAGTACCAGTACACAAATCTTTGAAGCAATAATAGATTTACACAATATCATGAGCCTGCCAATATCAGCAAACTGAGTAATAACTTTTCCTGCACCACCTAAAATGGGGAATGGTTTAAAATTATCAGAGGGAAGAAAGAACATAAAGATGCGTGATGATGATTCCCAGCATTACTATGGTTCCACATTCCTGCTACGAAAACATTCTTAGCCAAAGATTTATGTACAGTCAAGCCTGCCTTAAAGATTAGAGCGAGATTTCAAAAGTAATGCAGGGAAAAAACTTGTTTGATCAGCAAATTGTCCATGTCTTGTAGACATAAAGAGTATATGTACCAGAGATTCATTTACTTTATGATGCACAACAAAAGCACCCACAGAAAGCTAAAGAGTAAAGACTTGCATTTAACATAATAGTTGTTTATAAATACATGTACATGAACACTGAAAATGAATAGTTCACCTCTGATTTTAAGAATCAAATGGCAAGAAAAAGATATGAAGGGGAATGAAAAAGAATCTTTACAAGTCTACATCCAGAGGAAGCATGGGATAAAGTGAAAGGGGAGTAGTAAAGACAAGATGGAATATACCCTGGGCTAAAAACACACACACACACACATACAAACACACTAAATGGATTAAAAAAAAATCATCATAAGGATAATTGCAAGCAGAGACAATTTGTGAAGGAATAGATTACAGGTTTCAATATGGAGCATATTTTCTAATAACAATACAAATTATAATAACTGTTTCATATTAAGTGCTTCACCAGTTACAGCGTAACTGACCAAAGGGATTATACCATATTATTTCCCAAGTCACTGGATTCTAGTAAGACTCAGCGCTTTACAGTGCACATTTTCCACTCCCTTGAAATAGGAGCAATGTAGATAAAGTGCCTCGCTCAAGTACATAAGTGCCGTCCTGTCCCGGGGCTCGAAACTGCGACCTTTGCATTTTGAGTCAACTTATTATATCACAACACCTCTACCTCTTGTGCAAGAGTGTACCCGTCACCAATGTAAGGAAAGCGAGTATAAATATTAATTTTTTTTCTTGATATAAATGCACAATTATAATGACAACCATACACAATATAATGAGAAAATAAAGTAGATTAGTACAATCAATATACGATACCAGTATATACAAAAAAGCTAAATTGCTCATTAGTATTTTGATCCATATTTCCCAACATGACATCTTACAATCGAGCAAGAGAAATGCACATCTGTGTACATGTATTTACAGTGTACCATGCAATATAAAGTCAGCAGAAGTTCTGTATTTCATTGCATAATTATTTCTACTGAATATTGACAATAGCTTTGTTACACAAATAAACATCAAGCTCCTTTGATTAATCAGCTCTTCAAATTCAAATATATACCAAAGTACTTATTTACAATATCAGAACAAACCTGCTAAAAACAAACCTGGGCCCCAGCACAGAAAATTATTATCATTAACAAGTCACAATACCAGTTTAAAGTTACTCAGATCAATGCTAACATAATTCAATACATGGTTAGTGTTAAATATAAAATAATGATGCACATGAATTAGATGGGAAACAACAAAAAAGGCTCTTAAAATTAACATCCAAATAAAACCCTCTTGAGAGGAGAGGAAAGACCAGGAAATCTCTTTGTGCAAGAACCCAAAGAAACTTGAGTAGCAATCAGGGCATTCTTTCACAAAACTGTCAGAAGTACAACTTTGGAGTCAGCCCACTGAAGCGTGTTAATTCCAATACATGTATTTCCATGGGATGCCAGCTAACTTATATTTACAACAAACAGAGAACGGGATGCAAGAAGCAAGAAGCAAGAGTGCAGTAAGGGATCCAGCAAGTTACCGGACCATACTGATACAGCTGCCCTGAGATGGCGCTAGATTTGATTTTGCTGTAGTGCTTCTAGTACAGTACGACTTTAAAGTAGTTATCATTCCATGGCTCCAGGCTCACACACACACACAAACATTGACACTAAAATGATTGAAACAAATCATAAGGAAGCAGACATTTTTTTAAAGGAATAGAAAACAGTTTCCAATGTTGAGCATATTTTCTGCAAGTGTGTACCCTATACCAATGTAATAAAAGCGAGTAACCATCTTGTTTAGCCAAGTAAACCTTCCAGCATGGATAGAAACCATCATATTTTCCCCTCAATATACACACTAATTTTAATATCCACCATCACAATTCATGTGAAGAGGTATGAACACAATATTCAAACTTTATGGGCAACAGTGTACCATATCTTTCATCTTAATCATGATTTTAGAATATTTATTTGAGGTGGAATTGGTACAAACCATCTGAGCAAGTTTCCCCTGTCCATCCAGGTATGCAGACACATGTGAAAGTAGCATCACCGGGATTCATTAAGTGGTTTGTGCAGTTCACTTCATTGACACATGGGTTGGGATCACATGCATTAATGTCTTCAGGGCAAAGCAAACAATATCACAGCCACAAAAGAAAATACAACAAAATAATCAAAATCATGCAAACTAAAATGTTAAAGGAAACCGAACCCCAAGTAATAACTTTACTTATTCTGAGAGATGTATTACGTCATTACCCATACATCTACAAGATTCCCCACCAAATTGTATGAGAGAGGTATAAAGCAAAAATAAAGTACAGTTTCTCAGCACGGCATGGGCATCGCCATTTTCTTGATAATGTGACGTACTATGCGAAGTCATTTATCAAGTAAATGTATTCAAATTTATGGATGCTTCTTTCCCAGACGTGTGTGGTGATAAAGCATTTCATTCACCTGCTATTATCCTTTGTACTATAAGTGCCAGAACACAAATTGCATGAATTAGTTTGTGCTCTTCTGGGTGAAGGTTGCTCATAAATGAAATAGACTTGTCAACTGCTATAGTGTAGTTTTTATAAATAAATTTGTTACAATTGTGCCCCTGTTATTTATTTTTCACCTAATATAATTTCTATCATCTCGTTGTTATTTTTTTGCATTGAAAAGTAAAGGTTTCGTTATTGATTTAAAAATTCTTTCCAACTAATGCTTGGTGCATGATACATGTACAACTTCAACAGATACGTCACATTTTTAAGAAAATGGCTGCGCCCATGTCATGCTGAAAGGCATCACATCATGCCAGGAATATCTTCATTTGTATATATCTTGTACATTTTCGTAAGGAATATTGTACATCAAAGGGCAGGAATACATCTCATTTTTCAGAAAACCTACACTTATTCTTTGGGTTCAGGTTTCCTTTAAATGCCCAACGTTTTCCATTACCTGTGAGCTTTGTATTTTTTAGAGTCCAATTTGTTTACTCTTTACAAGTTGGGCCTAGCTCCTTCTAACGTCTAACCCGTAGATTGGGATTCTCGCATATTTTTCCATTTTCCAGATGTGACTATATAAATCATTGTGCTAAATGTTTCTACTAAATATATGGTGGAATCAAAAAGAATATAAAATCAAAATAGTGTGCAAATCTACTCAACATTAGCATTTATTTGACCACATATTGGGGGCTCCGGAAGATATCAACTGACCAATGAAGTAGGCATTTAAATCCGTATCTTCAAGGAGTTATCATGCCATGTCTGCATGTGCTTGTGGGACTAAGGAGGGGCTATCTTACACAGCATATCAAGCAAAGGTGACTGTAGACGACAATTGCTTGACACCAATGAGTCGCTTTGTGTGTAGGAGTACCAGTACACAAACTTATTTATCAGAAAACACCTGCTAAAAGACAAAGCAGGCACCATTCCAGAAAATGTATGATCAATACAAGTTAAATACCTGTTTAATGCTACTCAAATCACTACATTTTATTGGCTGTGAGCAATTTTGTTATATAATGTTGTTATGTGACACTTTTCATTCATAAAATGTTTTATGACATAATATATCTATAATTTCAAGTTGATGAATGAGTAAACTAGATCAATGTCTCCCATTATGAAATATATATACATTTGTATTCTGAAAAAATAAGCACAATCAATACCAGTTTCACAGTTCATTCCTGAATATCCAAGGACACAAGTGCACATGTAAGCATTAACCATGTTCATACAAGTCCCTTCATTTAGACACGGTTTAGAATCACATTCATTGATATCTGAAAAACAAATAAAACCAACAATGCTATACAAACATGAAATATGTTTGAATCATTGAACAAAATATGTGTCATAGAAGTTGGAATCTCCTATTAAATTTACTGTACATACATGTACACAATTTTCTCTTTGCAAGATGGATAGTTTTAGTTTTATAATTCAATTCTATGTCAGCAGAATATTTTACTTGTTAGCGTTACAGTATAATACAGTTTACATCTACTCAGAACTTCATTGGTTAATGTTAAGAGTCATAGCTTTATCTATCAAGATAAGATCATATTGTCACAGTCAATTCATGAAAAGAGGTATGAACACAATGTTCAAACTTTATGGGCAACAGTGTACCATATCTTTCATCTTAATCATGATTTTAGAATAATTATTTGGGGTGGAATCGGTACAAACCATCTGAGCAGGTTTCCCCTGTCCATCCAGGTATGCAGACACATGTGAAAGTAGCATCACCAGAATTCATTAATTGGTTTGTGCAGCTCGCACCATTGTCACATAGGTCTGGGTCACATGCATTAATGTCTTCAGGGAAAAGTAACAATATCACAGCCACAAAAGAAAATACAACAAAAATTAATCAAAATCATGAAAAATAAAATTAACCATTAACCATGTTCATACAAGCCCCTTCATTAAGACATGGTTCAGGATCACATTCATTGATATCTGAAAAAAAAACAACAACAACAATGCTATACAGATATATGAAATATGTTTGAATCATTCAACAAAATATGTGTCGTAGAAGGTGGGATCTGTTATAAAATTTACTGTACATACATGTACATATCTCTATACAAGATAGATAGTTTTAGTGTAAAAATAATTTTATGTCAGCTGAACATCTTTTCTTGATTAGCAGAACTTTTGTTTTATAGGCATGTTACAGATATAAAGCGGTAGCTCTTATAAAGCTTCCACAGGTAGCTTATTGGATGGATGAGCTTTAATTGTACTCAAACCGAACACAAATGAGATTTAACTCAATTTCATTTAAATATGAAAAATAGTAAAAGTAAAATAAAAGAAACTCATAAGAAAAGCCCATGAAAATATTCAGTGATCAAATATTGTGAGCTTTGAAATAGAAAGTTAGGTGTAAATGTTCACGCAATAGAATATTAGAGATTCCAGTTAAGTCGTAACATTCATTTTCTTTTGTTTACAACCACAGTAACAATTTAAATATTGCTTATCCAGACCACATGTACAATAAATATAAGACCATGCCGTAACGCCACCTTGTAGCCAAATAACGCATAGTAAATGAGCCCAGGTAAATTTACAATAAGTCTGCATTGAAGGAAGATGATTATTGGAGTCCAGAGGGATAGAGAGCGAGAGGGAGAAGGAGAGACAGGCATCTCATGATAAGAAAAGACGAACCAGCACACAGGACTGGGAGTAATCTGTGATTGAATAAAGAGGAAACTATACATGGATGTACACATAGGAGATCCTTAGATGGAACACAAATATATGTGCAACACCACCTAAATGTAGAAAAAAAAGACGTTCCAATTCATATAAAGTTGGTTAAAGACTGATTCATGGATAAGAGAAAAAGAAAATTGGTGAATGTGATTTACTCCAAAAGAAAGGACCTTGATCAGAGATCCCATCAAAATGGCAATGATTACTGTAACTGCTTAATATGTAAAAATGGACTCAAAAGTTAATAAGCAAGTGCTTGTTGACTTGGGTACAGAGAATTTGTGTGTAATCTCCATACATTACCATCAATAAAAAGAAAAAGTTAACATTTTATTACAAACAATAGATAAAAGCGACAACAGATACAATGGAAAAGAGTGTTATATCATGTTTTCATTACACATCATGCTAATAGGAACATTAAGAATGTGATGCCTCATTGTAAGCAAGGGCTGCCAATTGGTTAAGTTGCAATCACACAGATATTCCTCATCAGTACATCCATATCTCATGAGAGACCCCAGAGCCTCCAGTATTGTACTAAATAAAAATATATTAATAACAAGAACATGGTTTCTAATCATTTCGAAATTAATATCTACCCATAGGAGAAACCAAAATTATTAATCACACAGATGGGAACATTATTAAGAGTTGTCTTCTTCATGTAATTTTTCTTTCAAATCTCTTTTCATAATAGGAGGCGACAATGAAAAAGTTTGAAGCATATACCTGTTTCACAATCTATTCCTGTGTATCCTGCTACACAGCTGCATGAGTAACCGATATCACTGGTATCTGTAGTTTCTGAACCCATACTTTCTGTACATGTTCCTCCATTCATGCAGGGAGTAAGAGTTATGCACTCATTTTCTGTAAAAGATAGAAAAGAAAGTGTGCAATAGAAAATTTACTAAAATGAGAAACTGAATTAGTTAGCATAGCAGGTGTGACAATCTTTAAATATGGCATGTTATGACAAGAACCACAAGTTGGCATTAGCTTTATAGTCATAGAAAATAAGCATACTGCAACAATGCCCTGACACAGTTACAGGAAGCAGAGTACCTGGGCTCATCCATATTAATCGCACAGATTGGAACATCACTTAGTGTTTGTTTTTTATACCTCTCTTTCTTAAAAAGAGGTGACAATGACAAAGTCTGAAGCATATACCTTCTTCACAAGTTGGTCCTGTGTATTGTTCTGTACAGTTGCATGAGTAACCGGGGTCTCCATCTAAATCAGCACATGTTCCTCCATTCTTGCAGGGAGTAAGAGTTGTGCACTCATTTACTGTAAAGGATAGAAAAAAAAGTGTGAAAAAGAAAATTTACACAATGAAAAAACTGAATGGCAGGTGTGACAATCTTTAAATATAATGTGTTATGACAAGAACCACAAGTTGGCATTTGCTTTGTAGTAAAAATGCTCTGTTCCAGGAGCACAGTGCCTGGCCTCATCCATTCATAGCGTGTACTCCTGAGGTTTGACAGCAACTGTTTATGAAGGTACGTAGATGCAAAGCAATAGGTACAAATCCTGCAAAAAAGGGGTAAAGGGCAGATTTATAATGCAGAACTGCATCATGAAATATTTTACCGTATATGATATCGTTTTATCTGCCACAAAGTTTTTGGTAGTGATGATTATTATCTTTGTTTAGCCATTATGTTTGGAAATTGTTTCTTTAATCATTTCCACATAATGTATGGATATACTGTATATTTTGGAATATGTTTTGAAAATAAAGAACCCTGTGAAAGGGGAAAAAATTATACAATATCTTTAACTTCTCTAAATTTATTTATTTATTTATTTATTTATTTATTTATTTATTTATTATTATTATTATCATTATTTTTTTTTTTTTTTGGGGGGGGGGGGGTTGATTTAATAATATGTATTTCATGTACCTATTTCACAAGTCACGCCAGAATATCCATCGAAACAAACACATCCCGAAGGTGTACAAATTCCTCCGTGTTCGCATGTATTTGTAGTACAAAAGTCTGCAAGAAAATGGAACAAAATAAGTTTTTAGACAAATCTTTTATACTTCTTTTGTGAATATTAATATGATATCAAATTCTAGATAGCATTGACATGGGCCATGACCAAAAGAGATAAAAAGAGAGGAGATGCCTTTGAAATGTGGGTGTATCAGCGAATACTGAGGGTCCTGTGAACAGACAGAAGAACAAACCGATGGGTACTGGACAAGCTGGATATAGAGATTTTGCTCACAAATAGTAGTGCAAGAAGGAAACTGCAGTTTTTTGGCCATGTAGTAAAGGAGAGATGGTCTTGGAAAGTCCCTTGTAACAGGAACAGTGGAAGCCAGGGTGAGAAGAGGCAGACCTGCTATTTCCTGGTTTCCACATATGGACAGGGGAAAAGCAGTCAGAGGCAACGAGAGCAACAGCAGACAGAAAAGGATGGTGTAAAGTTGTGATGGCCACAGCAGGGCAGCTAGCGCCACCTGACTGAAAAAGAATCATATATCTAAATGCTGCTACCAATATTTTAATATTGTAATGCATTTAACACCTTTTGTAATGAGCTCTTCGCATATGCAAATACAGATTTTAAATAATAGCTTACCGGTATTTACATACATGTATGGGGCAATTAATAATATGTACTTCATGTAGATGCCACTACACACTGCCTGCCATGCCCTTCATAAACAAAGGCCTGTATTCATGAAGGCCGCTAAATTTAGGCCAGGTTAAAACCTTGGTTATTTGTGTAGAGTTAGTCTACTAACTTATGGTGTGGCAATGTCATCCTCTTCATTCTGTACAAATCAACCTACTTATTTAACTACCGGGTATATAAAAATACAAAAAAAACTATCACTTAGAAAACAATGATATCTTTGACTTCTCTCAAAATATGATATGTTTTGGGGTGATTGATTAGTACCGTATGTATTTCACGTACCTATTTCACAAGTCGAGCCAGAATATCCATCAACACAAACACATGCCGAATTTGTACAAGTTCCTCCGTTCAGGCATGTATTTGTAGTACAAAAGTCTGCAAGAAAATGAGAGAATAGACAGGATTCATCACAAATCTATATAATCTGTTTTTAGACAAATCATGTATACTTCTTTTGTGAATTTAATTTAATATAATATCCAAATGCAGCTATCAATATTCCAACATTGTAATGCATTAAAAATCTTTAGTAATGAGCTCTTCATATGTAAATAATGATATAAATATAAAAGTGTATTTACATATGAAGCAATGAATACTATGTACCTTTATGTAGATGTCACCACACACTGCCTACTATGCCCTTTATAAACATACAGTGTAGGCCTGTATTCTTGATAGCCCCTAATAACTTTAGGCCTGGTTAAAACCTTGGCTATGTGCATAGAGTATTAAGTGCACTGATTTATGGTGTTGAAATGTCATCCTCTTCATTCTGTACAAATCACCCTTATTCTATAACTATATGAAAACACAAATACCTGTCACAAAGAAAATAATTTCTCTTTCTCTTTTTTCTTCATTTTATGCATTCATGACCAAATCGTTCTTGTTTTGTTACATTAGAACCTAGGGAATGACACTTGGCCTTCCAGAATAAGCGAAGACAGATTAAACTGAGGCTGCTTCCTAGATAACAAACCATGAAGTTTAAGGCACTTTCAGTTATGCTTAAGCCCAGAAGGCATTAAAGCTTATCTGCCGTAGTTAACAGGAGGGATTAGAGCGCCCTACAAGGTCACTGGACAGGTGGTTATCTCATCAACTCAGCTCTCAGTTAACATAAGAAAAAGAGGATCATGGGGGACCAATGGTCACCGATTAGGCATGGTTTGTTATATAAAGGGCACAAGTAGCTACAAGTAGTGTAGTGGGCCTTTAACTCACTGAGTTAAGGGTCAGAAGGCATTAACTCATTTAAGTGGGTTGATGCCCTTTTGGCTCTCATCTGTAAAACTTTTCATTTTTGCCTTTGTGCCAATTGTCCTTGGGGTCTCTCTCCCTTGAATGTAAGATGTATCAAAATTATCAGCTTGGCAAGGGGTATATGTAAACATTTAGACTACTCAGCCCTTAATACTAGCAAGAGCATTTTTTTGAGGAAGCAGTTGATATCATATTTGATATCATAACTATTTCAGATATGTATGCATTTAAAATCTCTCCTTTATCCTATATGCAAAAATGCAAACCAACAACAATAATACAATTTTTAAAAGCAAACACATGTACATGTACACAATGTTTTATTACAACTGTTTACAAGTATGTGAATATCAATAGATTAAATAATAGAATAGACCAATTCTTGCTATCGCCAATACCCTCATATGCCCCGATGATGACCTCTTAGATGTAATTTCAAACTACTTCTGATGCTAACATGCATCCGGTGTATACGGTGCATACATGTGGCGCACGTTCATATCACATATTATGCCTGTGCATTACACGTATCCGAAAGCTCTCGTTAGCTGCTAGTCCATGTTTGGTCAAGAAGAAATATTTAAATACAACTGCATGTCCATCATTTTGGAATTTTTCTTTGTCAAACTGCTGTGAACACAGTCACGATCGTGAAGTGATTTCATACTTGTCTTGCCTTCTAAGCAACTTTTCTATATCATGTGCTGTATAGGGTTTGTTTGGAATTTTACCCAAGTCACATCTTTCATCGAGGGATATCTCCAAAGGTTTTTGCTGTTCATTATCGTGCGACCAGCACACAGCAGGTTCACAGTACCGCACCAGATTCCAATTAACAATTTGGTTGTAAAGAAATAATTTAAGATAATGGAGTCAAAGACTAAGTGAAAGGTAGTATGTAGGCAGCTAGATAGCTCTGCAACTCCAGCTCCGGCTGAGACTGGATGGCGGGCACATCTACACAACTAGGTGAAATGACCGGAAACGACCAAGCTATCCCAGAGTTCATTTAAAATCGGGACATGAAATTTACATCTGGGCATTTTGGGGTATTGGCAATAGCCAGAATTGAAATGACTTTAAATATATGAGGCACAGACAGTATGGGACAGAAAATGTTAATGTTAAATAGCATGCGCATGTATGTATCATCATCATGTATCATCATCATCATAATGGATACAAGACCACAATGGTTAACAAACATTTTTGAGCTTGCTGGGAAGGGTGAAATCATGTTGGTGTTTATTAATTAGTAACATGTACAAGTAATGCCTAGGTCACATTTGCTCTACGGCTATGAAACCTGCGGCAGCCGCAGAGAATCTTCGGTGGCCTCAGGGTCACCCTAGGGCATATCCCTATCTTTACAGGCTGTACAGGTCGCCATGGGATTATAGCGCAGAGTTATAACTTTTTTAATTTCTAGGTTCGCTGTAGTAAGACAATTAGACACAGTAGCGCGGTTCCACAGCGACCATACATCGGGTGTACGGTAACCTTGCGTCTGCCTTGGTATTGATACAAAACCTACGGCCCCTCGCAGGGACGCCTTAAGTTGACTGTGCGTCACCCATTTCAAAGGCCGTACGACAGCCGCAGGTTTTCTGTCTCCACAAATTAAAAATATGCTGTGCGACTACCCTAACATATGTGACTGTAGTGCTACCATATGTGACTGTGAGAATGCTGAGGCGGCCCTATAATTGCTTTTGACTATAGATATTTTAGACCCCACGGCCGCGGCAGCAAATGTGACCTAGGCATAACAGTTGCCTACACGTATGCATAACATAAGACATGTGTACAAAGATGAGAAGGAAAAAAAAGATCTTAAAAAAAAGAAAAATAATATATGTTAGATGATGAATTGATAAGGTACTGATGAATGAGTATGAGTAGTGTGATATGTACCTTAAAAGACTTTGTATAAAAATAATAACAGTACAATGTCCTTATAATGCTACATGTACAAATATGTACTTACAACTTGTATGTGAGTCAACTTTATGGTCATGTACAGTACTGCATTTAGACAAATTTCATACTGTTGAGAATTCTCAATCAATAACGATGATGATGGCTTTTTTGTTTAGTGCCGGTGTCTGCCATTCGATGGGCGCTCTTAGCGCTTAATTGACTAATCCTCAATCTGTTTTATCCTCACAGTGGACAGTTTCGCCAGTTGTAAATAATGATGGTACTTGATACAGAAAATGAAGGCTATTAACATGTAGATTATCTTGTGTTTCACATGACTAGAAAGGTACATAAAGTAGTCCCCCAAATGGCGCATGATGTTTGGGTAGTGCTGAGACACATGTATGATCACCTACCAACTGTTGTGGGGGTCACATTCAAAGTTGCTAAACTGCTTGTGACCGGGGTGGTACTGTTAACAATTTCAGTCACAATCTCTGTCATGATTTCTGTAGAAGGGCCTGTCCTTTCTAAAGTGCTGTTAGTGTTGCCTGTAGTTAGATCTATGATTAGTAGCGTGCATTGAATGAGCAAGCAAGCTGAAAACAAAAAGCTAAAAGCAATCTTTCAAAAACACATGCAGCTTCAAATAATACTTTAAACTCTTTCTTGTACCCTACCATTAATAATTATAATTAAACCTATTGGAAATTGAAGGAAATTGGGTGTCATCAGTAGGTACGGAGAGCCCAATAGTTCACTGAATAAATGGTTTATTAATTGATTATACCCCTATAACTGATTATACCCCTATAACTGTTTATAATTATTATTTCTATACAAACAGGCATAAATGTGCATTTTGTTTCTTTTATGAGTGCAAAAATGTTATGAGGTGCAATTTTTTTATAAATCATTGAGTAGCAATAAACAGAATGTACATTTGCAACTTGAACAACAGTGTTCGCTAAGCCAGGACAACATATTTGTTAACAAAATGGAAAAAATCATTAAAAACAATTCTTTCTTGACAATTCTTAAAATATTTCAAAGATATTTAAAACTGGTATCTCTCGATTTACATGTCTTGACCCATTTAAAGCTTTAAAAAAAAATTCTACGTGAAACAGAAGCAGGTATTTTCAGCTTTAATTGATATCCAAGCTTCACAAAAAATTAACAGTTCAATTGTGGAAAGCTACAATGTAGGAGTGTCAAGTCTTTCCAGACATGAGCACTGTACAAGAATCCATTAATATTGTTTATATCATAAACACACACTCCCTATATCTATATTCATAAAATGGTATTTTTATACTGATTCTATTTTATTTTTCCTTGGGTTTCACAGGCTAATAATTATTGAAAGTTAAATAAAAAATGTTTTCATGAAATCCTTTAATAAACATTTGGAAAAAATACGATTTCAGAAAAGACGTTCTAATTTCTTACAATTATACATGTACCTCTATATTGTGCAACTTTTGTAAGTCTGTTTAATGGCCCAATGGAAAGGGTATGAAGAAAAAATAATAGGACTCAATTTTTTTTTTCAGCATAAGTATCAAACAGTCTCATTAACTCATATAAAGTTTCAATTTGACTTTGTTTTGTAAAATTTTCATGCAAAACTTGATGCTCAATAAGCCTACCGGTACATCAAGTTTACTTTGTTTTGTAAAGATTCCATGCAAAACTAGGTCCTCAATAGGCCTTTAAGTTAGCTTCAATGTTAATATTTTGTGAAGTTTCCATGCAAAATCAATATTATATATGTAGATACCTGTTGTTGTCGGGTCCACTGTATCTAAAAGTGGACACATAACAAGTGTACGAAAGAGCTCATTTAGATGTATATCACACTCATGAGCCAGTTTACATGGAAGCTGAAGATATGGGCTAGCTTTGAGATACTAGTTTTGAGGTGCCAGTTTAAGATTTTTTTTTTAACAATGGTGATAATGTAAGTATTCTACATAAACGTAAATAGGCCAATACAGGGAACATGGTTTATTTGAGGTCAAACCACTGGTTACAACACTGAATGAATTCATTGCAATCAATGAAACCACTTATAATGTAAAACACACTTTTTGATGTTTTCTTGAAGATCGTGACACACATAATGTCACAACCTTCTTAGGTTTGGCATGTGTTTTGTGTACAATGATGTTCTGGGAACTTTACATACCAGGCAGGCTTGGCCAGGCATATAAGTTACTTTATCTCTTATTTGTGAATTACTGCACTAAAGGAGAGAAGAAAAACTACAACAGCTTTTATAGTATAGGTAGTCATTGCCATTTATTATTTAAATTCAAAGAAATCTGAAGTACATTTTTTTGAGGGCGCGTCAAAACTGAACATGGTCTTTGATTAAACAGAGTTTTCATGCCAATAATATGTATCTGTATATTTAATGTAGAATGAACATACCTGGTGTTGATGGGTCAAGAGTAATTGTTTCTGCTGTTGTAACACTAGGAGCTGCTTGCACTACTACTAGATACATAGGAAAGTGAAGGGAAATGCAGATTTACCCCCATTTAAGTCTCGTTCAGATATGACGTGGAAAATCGCAGCGTTGTTTACAAAAAAAATATGCTGTATAAAGCCTTTCAGATTCAGTATCTTGCAATACAGAGCTCCGGGAATAAGCACAGAGCTCCGGTAATAAGCATAAAACCTTTGTTGCGCGAAGTTGCCATTCATATGCATGTTATAAAAAACGCCACTATTCACTGCATATCTGTACGAGCCTCTAATTTGCACAACTATACAGCAAAAGAAGCGTTAATATCTTGTAGCTATCACCATAGAGACATAGAAAAGAAATATACATAGGGTATATTGCATAAGAATGAGTAAATTGAACAGGTAAGCCTGCAGAATTATGTGGTAATCACACACCACCTGACTGAAAACCTGTAAATGCTAGTTTATTAAATTTGCACATAGGGATTAAGTTTTCTAATGAAAAAGAAGATTATACATGTATAGATAAATTTGACTATAGTTGCTCTTGATTTCAATAAGAATATTATCCCCAAGGAATAAAGTCTTGGAGTACTGAAAGTGGTAGTCAAGAAGACTATTTCCTGATAAAATTTATTCTAATTTCAAATTAATAATGCTACTTGTATAATACACGTGAATGTCAACTCAGTTTTACTAAAAGCTTTTGAAAATGATGCTACGAAAAAAAAAGAACATGTTGATTATTTCATGAAAACTACAGGCTTTTCTACATTTTGTGTCAAAATGAACATCTACATGAAATATTCTTCTATTTCTAAATAGATATTGAGGACCTTGAAGAGGCATCTGGAAGATGGAAAAACAGTCCTGAGCAAAAACTCAAGAGTGTTTCTTGAAAGAAAGGGATTATCTTGCACAAATTTCATATGGTTATCATAACTCGCAAGACTCAGTTTGATTCACATGTTCAGTTTCAAGCACGAATATACACAATGAAGGTAACCTCTAAAAAGCAATCGCACATAAGAAAATCATTATATTCTATTAGCTTGTTAGCAATATTGTACTAAAATATTGATATATCTATGAAATTTAGTTTGATAGATGGAAACAATTGTAAGCTCTTTTTGAAAAATTTGCGTTGCACTTACCTGGTGCAGTGGTTAGTGCCTCGGACGCTAATTTTTTAAAGAGATGAAAAGAGAAGAGAGAAAAAAAGAGAGAGAGAGAGAGAGAGAGAAGGGGGTACAGTTGAAAAAATGGGAAAGGTAAAAGAGCTTTTACATACATTTGTTTACAGTTGGTGCTATATTAGACAAGTTTTTTGTTTTAAAAGTCATTGGACAACACTCAGAAGTACTCTATTTTTTAATTAGTAAACCGACCTCAATCAAATTCTAATACAAATTTATATTATTATGCAGCAAAATGAGGACTTCAATTTAACCATATTTCACCCAGTTATGAAGCAGATTAGGCAAATATATTCATCAGCAGACCTTTATTCTTATGACAAGGGAATTGAAACTCTCAAGAATTTTACAATTTTTCTCAGATTTGTTCCCTTCTTAATATTCATGTCCTATTTCATAATTCCCTATAAACTCTCACATCAGCTCATAAATATGGACATACTCCTTTTATCAACTACCAGAATGAAGAAATTAATGTTTTTCATAATGATGAGTTTTTTACAACTAATGAATAGCTGTTTGGAAGAAGAACATTTTGTTTGATCCATTAGCACAGGAAGATATCTACAATTTTCTCATTCTTTATCAGATTTTCAAAAATTCCACTCATGCTACCTTGATTTAATTTAACTTGTTGCCAGGATGGACTTCCCTTTATAAAAGGTCAAATATTCCTAAAGTGCATTTCGTACATAAATCTAGGGCCCTGAAGAAGATTATACATGTATAGATAAATTTGACTATAGTTGCTCTTGATTTCAATAAGAATATTATCCCCAAGGAATAAAGTCTTGGAGTACTGAAAGTGGTAGTCAAGAAGACTATTTCCTGATAAAATCTATTCTAATTTCAAATTAATAATGCTACTTGTATAATACACGTGAATGTCAACTCAGTTTTACTAAAAGCTTTTGAAAATGATGCTACGAAAAAAAAAGAACATGTTGATTATTTCATGAAAACTACAGGCTTTTCTACATTTTGTGTCAAAATGAACATCTACATGAAATATTCCTCTATTTCTAAATAGATATTGAGGACCTTGAAGAGGCATCTGGAAGATGGAAAAACAGTCCTGAGCAAAAACTCAAGAGTGTTTCTCGAAAGAAAGGGATTATCTTGCACAAATTTCATATGGTTATCATAACTCGCAAGACTCAGTTTGATTCACATGTTCAGTTTCAAGCACGAATATACACAATGAAGGTAACCTCTAAAAAGCAATCGCACATAAGAAAATCATTATATTCTATTAGCTTGTTAGCAATATTGTACTAAAATATTGATATATCTATGAAATTTAGTTTGATAGATGGAAACAATTGTAAGCTCTTTTTGAAAAATTTGCGTTGCACTTACCTGGTGCAGTGGTTAGTGCCTCGGACGCTAATTTTTTAAAGAGATGAAAAGAGAAGAGAGAAAAAAAGAGAGAGAGAGAGAGAGAGAGAGAGAGAAGGGGGTACAGTTGAAAAAATGGGAAAGGTAAAAGAGCTTTTACATACATTTGTTTACAGTTGGTGCTATATTAGACAAGTTTTTTGTTTTAAAAGTCATTGGACAACACTCAGAAGTACTCTATTTTTTAATTAGTAAACCGACCTCAATCAAATTCTAATACAAATTTATATTATTATGCAGCAAAATGAGGACTTCAATTTGACCATATTTCACCCAGTTATGAAGCAGATTAGGCAAATATATTCATCAGCAGACCTTTATTCTTATGACAAGGGAATTGAAACTCTCAAGAATTTTACAATTTTTCTCAGATTTGTTCCCTTCTTAATATTCATGTCCTATTTCATAATTCCCTATAAACTCTCACATCAGCTCATAAATATGGACATACTCCTTTTATCAACTACCAGAATGAAGAAATTAATGTTTTTCATAATGATGAGTTTTTTACAACTAATGAATAGCTGTTTGGAAGAAGAACATTTTGTTTGATCCATTAGCACAGGAAGATATCTACAATTTTCTCATTCTTTATCAGATTTTCAAAAATTCCACTCATGCTACCTTGATTTAATTTAACTTGTTGCCAGGATGGACTTCCCTTTATAAAAGGTCAAATATTCCTAAAGTGCATTTCGTACATAAAGCTAGGGCCCTGAAGAAGATTATACATGTATAGATAAATTTGACTATAGTTGCTCTTGATTTCAATAAGAATATTATCCCCAAGGAATAAAGTCTTGGAGTACTGAAAGTGGTAGTCAAGAAGACTATTTCCTGATAAAATCTATTCTAATTTCAAATTAATAATGCTACTTGTATAATACACGTGAATGTCAACTCAGTTTTACTAAAAGCTTTTGAAAATGATGCTACGAAAAAAAAAGAACATGTTGATTATTTCATGAAAACTACAGGCTTTTCTACATTTTGTGTCAAAATGAACATCTACATGAAATATTCTTCTATTTCTAAATAGATATTGAGGACCTTGAAGAGGCATCTGGAAGATGGAAAAACAGTCCTGAGCAAAAACTCAAGAGTGTTTCTCGAAAAAAGGGATTATCTTGCACAAATTTCATATGGTTATCATAACTCGCAAGACTCAGTTTGATTCACATGTTCAGTTTCAAGCACGGATATACACAATGAAGGTAACCTCTAAAAAGCAATCGCACATAAGAAAATCATTATATTCTATTGCTTGTTAGCAATATTGTACTAAAATATTGATATATCTATGAAATTTAGTTTGATAGATGGAAACAATTGTAAGCTCTTTTTGAAAAATTTGCGTTGCACTTACCTGGTGCAGTGGTTAGTGCCTCGGACGCTAATTTTTTAAAGAGATGAAAAGAGAAGAGAGAAAAAAAGAGAGAGAGAGAGAGAGAAGGGGGTACAGTTGAAAAAACGGGAAAGGTAAAAGAGCTTTTACATACATTTGTTTACAGTTGGTGCTATATTAGACAAGTTTTTTGTTTTAAAAGTCATTGGACAACACTCAGAAGTACTCTATTTTTTAATTAGTAAACCGACCTCAATCATATTCTAATACAAATTTATATTATTATGCAGCAAAATGAGGACTTCAATTTGACCATATTTCACCCAGTTATGAAGCAGATTAGGCAAATATATTCATCAGCAGACCTTTATTCTTATGACAAGGGAATTGAAACTCTCAAGAATTTTACAATTTTTCTCAGATTTGTTCCCTTCTTAATATTCATGTCCTATTTCATAATTCCCTATAAACTCTCACATCAGCTCATAAATATGGACATACTCCTTTTATCAACTACCAGAATGAAGAAATTAATGTTTTTCATAATGATGAGTTTTTTACAACTAATGAATAGCTGTTTGGAAGAAGAACATTTTGTTTGATCCATTAGCACAGGAAGATATCTACAATTTTCTCATTCTTTATCAGATTTTCAAAAATTCCACTCATGCTACCTTGATTTAATTTAACTTGTTGCCAGGATGGACTTCCCTTTATAAAAGGTCAAATATTCCTAAAGTGCATTTCGTACATAAATCTAGGGCCCTGATCATTTTTTCAATTCTAAATTTCTATCTCTTTGCAAAGTTGTAATTTTGCTATAGTATCTTAATCTATTGTTATGGAAATGTGCATTAAAGCCTTTCACCGTGTTTAATAGCACACTAATAATAAACTGAATTTTGTCCACATTTATATTTCAAGAAAATTAAGCAATTTGATCTCAGTAGAATAAAAACTGTGGTTATGAACTCACTTGTCTCTCCATTTGTTGCTGCCAACAGAAAACCTGCATATTGGGAAAGAGAGAATACATAAAATAATTATGATCCAATTCACTCTTTTACACATTTAAATAATGAAGTACCATCTCCATTAATTGAATTGTAAATGTTCAACTGTGAACCTGCAAGAGGCTGTGACTCCATTCAATGAATTGAGCACGTTCAAGAGTCTACGACTACATTCAATGAATTTTGAATGTTCAAGAGTCCGTTCAAGAGTCTGCGACTTCATTCAATGGACTGTGAACCTTCAAAAGTCTGTTACTCCATTCAATGAATGGTGAATGTTCAAGAATCTGTGCATCCTTTGTCAGCCACTCTAATAATGTAAATGTGTGATTAGAGCTTCTGGTAAGGGCTAGAAGGCATAGCGTAGTTTACAATGATGACATAAAGTGGAATACGCTTCGCATTTCTGTATAAAAAAACACAGAGCTCAGTGAATCCGCCAAAGTCCTTTGTTGTGTTCAGTTGCCAATCATAATACACGTTTTAAAAAGAACATGGCGTTTTTTTTTTTTGGGGGGGGGGGGGGTTTAATACCCCAAATCCGAGCCTTAAGTTGTGTTCTTCAAAATTTCATTTTCAATAAATCAAAAGAATAAACTCTGATGAAGCTGAACTGTGCACATTGTAAAGTTGAAAAATTAACAATTTTCTTGGCATTCTGAAACACTCCTTAAAGCGATACTGAACTGATGAACTTTCTGCCTTAGTGTACTGTTTATAGCACAGCGTCATCTCATGGTCAACTTCCCAACCTAATTGCAACTTTGAACCAACAGCGCAGCTCGGGAAGCAGTGAGTTACAGGACCATACTGCTACAGCTGAGCTGAGGGCGAGTATTGGGGTAGTGCTTCTAGCACAGTATGGCTTTAAAGTAGAGTAATGCAAATTGAAAGATCAAAATTTCATAACAGAAGTTGTAGAGACACTTGCTGAGATTAACAGAAAGGGGGTGGGGTAGATGAAGGAAGGAGAATATAATACAGCATCATTCCTCATGCAGTCAGGCAGTGAAAGGGGGGAGGGGTAAGAAGATACCAACAGAGGAAGACATGATGATGTCAATGTATCATGCTCATTTAACCAACCCCAAATGAAAACCACTCCTCCTCCCCCCCCCCCATTTGAAAAACTCAATTTGTAGAAACCAAAAGTAGAATCGTTCTCCTGTATGTTTATACAAATCCAGCACCCATGCAAACTTGATATAAATCATATTTTCTCTGTGCCATATAATTATTTTCATATATACAGTAATGGATTGGACAAGGAGTACATAGTGTAGAGGCATTGTGATGGAGTGGATATGTCACCGGATTGTCGATCACAAGGTCCGCGGTTCGAGTCCCACCACGGCACTAATGTCCTTTGGCAAGACATTGATCTTCAATTGCCACACTCAACCCAGGTGACGTAAATGGGTACCTGGCAGGAATTAATTCCTTGAAATGCTAGAGCGCCGTAATGGTAGCCGTGCTAAAGCCAGGGTAATAATCAGGAGATCCAGGAGTGTCAAGTCTGACAGACATGAGCGCTATACAGGCGCGGATCCAGGATTTTCCAATAGGGGGGGCCGGAAATTCCCAAATTGCGCAGACCGTTTTTTCAAGGTCATATTAGAAGCACCATACCGGTACAATTTTTGACATTTTCATCGGGGGGGGGGGGGGGGCTATAGCCTCTTGCCCGAAAAGTAATTTTCTGGTTTCACAATTCGGCTGGTGATCGAGCAACAATTTGACCATAATATTGTGAAAGTGTTATTCATCACCAAAATAAACGAGGAAAGATATACAAAAAAAACTCATATTCGGGCAGCTCGCTGCCACCCCCCCCCCAATTACGCGCGAAGCGCGGAAGCTTTGACCTTTCATTAATTATTAGAGAAAGAAGACGATTTGTTTTACCGTTCTCGACTCGTATTCCTTGTCTGAATTCAGTTTTCCCCCTCCCGCGCAAAGCGTGGAATCTTTGACCTTTTATAGTTTAAATTGAAATTTATTAGAGAAAGATGATTTGTTGTACCGTTCTAGACTCTTTTAAACTTTGTCTGAATTCAGTTTCTCCCTCCCGCGCGAAGCGCGGAAGCTTTGACGTTTCATTAAATTATTAGAGAAGGAAGACGATTTGTTGTACCATTCTCGACTCGTATTCCTTGTCTGAATTCAGTTTTCCCCCTTCCGCGCGAAGCGCGGAAGCTTTGACGTTTCATTAAATTATAAGAGAAAGAAAACTATTGGTTTTACCGTTCTAGACTCTTAATCCTTGTCTGAATTCAGTTTCCCCCCTCCCGCGCGAAGCGCGGAAGCTTTGACGTTTCATTAAATTATTAGAGAAGGAAGACGATTTGTTGTACCATTCTCGACTCGTATTCCTTGTCTGAATTCCCCCCCTCCCGCGCAAAGCGCGGAAGCTCTGACCTTTTATAGTTTAAATTGAAATTATTAGAGAAAAAAGATGATTTGTTGTACCGTTCTAGACTCTTAATCGTTGTCTGAATTGAGCTCCCCCCCCCGTCCCGCGCGAAGCGCGGAAGCTTTGAAGTTTCATTAAATTATAAGGGAAAGAAGACGATTCGTTGTACCATTCTCGACTCTTAATCCTTGTCTGAATTCAGGTTCATCCCGCCCGCGCAAAGCGCGGAAGCTTTGACCTTTTCATTAATTATTAGAGAAAGAAGATGATACGTTGTTTGTCTTGACTCTTAATCCTTGTCTGAATTCAGCTCCCCCCTCCTGCGCTTTGCGCGGAAGCTTAACATTTCATTAAATTATTAGAGAAAGAATACGATTCGTTGTACCGTCATCGACTCTTTATCCTTGTCTGAAATGAGTTCCCCCCCCCCCTCTCCCGCGCAAAGCGCGAAAGCTTTAACGTTTCATTAAATTATTAGAGAAAGAAGACGATTCGTTGTACCGTTCTCGATTCGTATTCCTTGTCTGAATTGAGTCCCCCTCCCCCCCCCCCTCCCGCGCGAAGCGCGGAAGCTTTGACGTTTTATTAAATTATAAGGGAAAGGAGACGATTATTTTTTACCATTCTCGACTCCTTGTCTAAATTCAGTTTTCCCCTGCCCGTGCGTAGCGCGTAAGCTTTGACGGTTCATTAAATTATTAGAGGAAGAAGACGAATCGTTGTACCATTCTCGTCTCTTAATCCTTGTTTGAATTCAGTTTCCTTCCTCCCGCGCGAAGCGCGGAAACTTTGACGTTTCATTAAATTATTAGAGAAAAAAGATGATTCGTTGTTCCATTCTCGACACTAAATCCTTGTCTGAATTCAGTTTTCCCGGCCCGCGCATAGCGCGTAAACTTCAGACGTTTCATTAAACTATTAGACAAAAAAGACGATTCGTTTTACCATTCTCGACTTCCAATCCTTGTCTGAATTCAGTTGTCCCCCTCCCGAGAGATGCGCGGAAGCTTTGACATTTCATTGAATTATTAGAGAAAGAAGACGATTCGTTGTACCATTCTCGACTCGTATTCCTTGTCTGAATTGAGTCCCCCTCCCCCCCCCCCTCCCGCGCGAAGCGCCGAAGCTTTGACGTTTTATTAAATTATAAGGGAAAGGAGACGATTATTTTTACCATTCTCGACTCCTTGTCTAAATTCAGTTTTCCCCGGCCCGTGCGTAGCGCGTAAGCTTTGACGGTTCATTAAATTATTAGAGGAACAAGACGAATCGTTGTACCATTCTCGTCTCTTAATCCTTGTTAGAATTCAGTTTTCTTCATCCCGCGCGATGCGCGGAAACTTTGACGTTTCATTAAATTATTAGAGAAAAAAGATGATTCGTTGTTCCATTCTCGACTCTAAATCCTTGTCTGAATTCAGTTTTCCCGGCCCGCGCATAGCGCGTAAACTTCTGACGTTTCATTAAACTATTAGACAAAGAAGACGATTCGTTTTACCATTCTCGACTTCCAATCCTTGTCTGAATTCAGTTGTCCCCCTCCCGAGAGATGCGCGGAAGCTTTGACATTTCATTAAATTATTAGAGAAGGAAGACGATTCGTTGTACCGTTCTCGACTTGTCAGAATTTTCAAAAATGTATCTTTGTCTGCTCCTTTTTCGACCTATGTCATCTTACTGCCCCTACCGTCCCTGGCTACGCGCCTGCTTTAAAGGGAAAATGAAACAATCATGATTGTGATGGCACACGATTAGGTTAGTATAAATGAAATGGAAAAAAAGATCTATTACACCAACCATGGATAAATCACGGCCGGGAGCGTCATAGTTTTGTGTTATCGGGCGAGGGCCGCGGCCGGCCGGGGCGTAGCGACCAAGCGAGATTTTTTCAATGTTGAATGCTGAAATTATGCATTCTAGAAAATCCCTAAGCCCAATATGTACGTTCTTTCCGCTATATTTCTTTCTAGCTATATTTCTAAATTTCCTGGGGGACGTGTCCCCCTATCGGGCCCAGGATTGCCGCCCCTGTCCATGATTACTACCAACATGAGTTTAAATACAAGCACAAGCGAGTTGGTATTAGTTGAATCCAAATGAAGGGCAAAATAAGAGTTGTGAAGCGGCCCTACCATTAATTTAAAATTTGACTGTTGAGTATATAACTTCTATTTAAAAGACACCCAAATATTGTGCCCTTTCAAATTTCTCACTTCAGAGTGATGACCTTTGTAGCGCAGGGGCTGTTCTTAACGTTTAACTTTGAATCCGCGGCTCGAGATTTCTTTTCTTTTCTCTTCTTTTTTCCTTTCTCTCCTCCTTTCTTTTCTCTTCTCCTTTTTTTTCTCCTCTTCTCCTTTCTTTTTTTCTCTTCTTTTCTTCCTTTTTTTTGAGCCGCCAATAGGGGGGCCGCGGCCGTTTCGGCCCCCCCCCCCTGGATCCGCCACTGCTATACACGAACCTATTACTATTATTATTATTATTATTAAAACTGAGAAAATTAGAAAAGATAATTTTTTTAAAGGAGAATTTGTAAAAAGAATAGTGAAGCAATAAATGAGTTGAATGCTATGTAGATCAGAGTACACTATATAAATTATAGAAAGACAAAGAGAAATATGAAGAAAAGGAAATAAACAGTACCCAAAAAGGGTTATTGTTGAAAATGACAGAAGAATAGTAAGATAGAAATAGGCATAGACACAAAGGCATATAAAACTGAAAGCTGTATTTTGTCATGCTAATTATCCTAGATTCAAAAGTAAATTAAAAGTAAAAGAACAAAATGCTGTAGTGTCTCAAGTGCTTCATCCAGAATTTTACTCTCACTTACTGCAATGTCTTTCCTATATGTTCATGTGTGTGTTTGAACATGAATAGCACATGTGCACTGTTGCTTCATGTTGTGGCTTATACTCAGTCAGTCTGTACATCATATTCAATGTAAATATTTCAAAATTGACAAAAGATCAGATATCGGTTGTTCAAAAACATACTCCTTTAACAAGTGCTCCATGGTAATATCCTGTGCGTGAAATGCGTGACAGAATTTTCAAAATGTTCAAAATTTTGGCACAACAATTTTGTTTGGCAAAGTTCGTGAATAATTCTTGAACTATGCGCACCCAATGCACTACCAAGTCGTGGCAGTGCGCACCGTTGAGTGTCCGTTGGCCTAGTGCCACGCCTGTTCAAGACTAGTTAACGACTAATTTGCTCACAATTTGCGCATTGGCTGCCCATACATATACTTCCTGAGCAGTTTTTGCTTGCCATGTGCATAGTCTGCGAATGCGTATCCTGGTTGTTACGCATTGTGTGAAGTATTCGTAAATTAGACGTGACCCTAAACGGACTGCGTGCCACTAATTGGCACGCATTGGCATAGAGCGGGGCAGTGCGGGACCAAAATGCGTGCAAGTGTCAATGAGGCATAACCCTAAACCGAAACCCGATTGCAAACATAACCTTGCCCTAGTCAAAATAAAATAGTCTAAAGCTAGTTGAAAAATAATGCACAAACAGCAAATATGTTTAATAGACTACTTCCATCTCTGTATATATTTTTCATTTGTCTTTTGATCCAAATCCTCAGCCTAAAAATATGTTCCTTGTCTGTTTTCCATTTTGGTTCATAACAAACTAGAAGAAAAATAGTCGAGTCTTCTGGAAAATACCATAACCATTTAGAGAAAATAGCAAAATAATTTATTGTTTGCATGTGAAAAACTGTCACCTGAGCATATCTCAGATGACAAAGCATACAAAATCAAATGTTGTGTATTAGGTATGCATGGCTACTGACACTACTTCAGATTTATCTATACCGGTACTGCAATCCACTGTCCTGATGCACTGCCATCCATGTACCACAATACCAACTGCTTTTTGTTTTTGTAATGGATTTGTCTGGTTTAGTTCTGTATGTTGATGTTTTGTGCCATTTTAATCTTTGTATTTCTATCTTGTTTTTGGTATATCTAAAAAACATTTTAAGTAAATCTTATTACCTTTGGGAATAACCTTGATAGGTCATTAACCTCTGTTTTTCCCACCACATTTAATGATGTTTCATTTCAACTTTTATTATTATAAAGATGCATATAAACTGTACTTGTGTTTTTGTTTTGAACAGATGTGGGAAAAAAAATTTGAAGTTGAACTGATTAGCGCGCGTGATGATGTTTGAGTGCAGGAACTGGAAATTGGTCTATGTCGGCCGTTACCAAATTTAAAAATACATTAAACAGCAGTGTAGAGATTTCAGAAATATGCTGCCTTTAAAAAAAAGTCATGAGAGGTTGTAGTTCAGTGTTATTTAACAGAGTGAGGTAGACATGAGATCACTGGCTCAAACCTACAGTTTAGCAGATGTATGTCACTATCCATTTCAAGATAGAAGGATCAGGCACGACCAAGCAGGCAGTACAATTTGCAATCGCTATATGTTTGGGGGGAAATGAAATGATTTACTTAATGGACTTAATGAGTAATTTACCGACAATCAGGTATCCATTTTATGGGACACACTGAACTGTGAAAACTAGATTAGGAAATACAAACCTGTCAATATGAGCACCGAAAACAGACACCTTCCTCCTCTCGAAACCATCTTGATGATCTCTTATCTTGCACTCCTGTATCATACAGAAAAAAAAGGAAGAAGATAAAACAGCTAGGCATAAATATTCAATTTCAAGTTTTTATTTCCAACATTCTATTAAAAACTTAAAGATGTAAGTTCATCAAAACATTATTAAAACTGGTGTACGATGCAAATATATATTTTTAAAAAAGGTAATAGTATGGCATACTTTAAAAAAAGGGTAAAGATGAAATGAAAATAAAGGTGGGAACCACAAAACCCATTGGCTTTATGAGGCAGAACCCCGTCATATCACAAATATATTAATTTTAAATGGGACTTAAAAATATGCTGGAGTGTATTCAAATTGTAGCATACATGTACATGTAGCTAATAACTGAAAATTAGAAACACTAAGCAATCTATGTGACAGACAACAGAGAAAGATGGTCATGAAATTGTCTGTGTAGATCTCCTCAATAGCTCATTACTGGTATCAAATTAAAAGATCTGTTACATTGTAGAAAGAACTTTTCATCAGGGTATCAAAATATTAATGTATTCTTAAATTGGTAATCAAATCAAAGCACTTTCAATGATGTTTAAATACTGACTGGTCATAGACATGTAGTTTACCAAACCCATAAAAATGTCATATACATGTACATCAAAACTACATGTAGTCCAGTACACATTTTGAACTATATTTCTTTTTATCTTGGTTTTCCATTGATCAATACTTGAACACACGTGTAGATGTACATGTAGTTTCAACACGTACATCTTACTATCAATGAAATATACGAACCAGGAAGTTGGAATAACTTAAATTCATTGGACGTCTATACACTGTACCATGCACGTACTCTGTGTAGTACTACTGAATTCCCCTCCTGTAGTATTACTGCTAATAGAGATCCGTTCTCTGATGTCTTTACGTATTCTCTTAATATGGCTCTCAAAACAGCAATATTTATCTTCCTTGAATATTTCCTTTTAACTTTAAAGTGTCCCAAGCACTTACAAAATAATGTAAACCTCCCCACCCTCCTCCCCCCCCCCCAAAAAAAAAATATATCTTAACCTGGTATTCTATAGATAAACACTTAAAGATAAAGTTGAGTTCTGGTCATGTGATTGCATTGTGAAAGAAACATGGAATCGATCAGAAAAGGTTGATCATCTAGCAGATAAGTATTGGTGTGTACTGCAAGGTTCTGGAATCATCAAAATGATAAGAAATTTGGTCCAGTCTTGGTAAAGCTACAAGCACTGTACACAGAAAGATGTTTATGGGACTACACAAATATATGGCATAAAAATTTGTCCTGATTTTTATGATGTTACATGCCATATTTAGAATTTTAAGGCATTTGAAGAGCCATGTTTTTCAGGGAACATTTTTTATCTGATGTTCTTGCACATTTTCATTATTACAATGATAACGCTCACAAATTATTGTTCACCTCTTCCCAAAGAAATAAAGAATTTATAACATAAAACTGTGCTTGACTTGGGTTCTGTGCACACCCTATTCTATTTGCAAGCGACAACTACTAGTCTGCTCAACAAGTCTTTTTACCAAGTTTTTATTTCAACTGCAATATCTCTTTGTAGAAGTAATAATTGAAGTTCATATTTTGAAATTTGAATACAGTACAGCAACCCGTACACCAAGAGCAAAATATGTTTCAGTGATTACCGTAGTACATTTTAAAATCTGCACTTGAATTTAAATGTAAATATCTCAGTCGTAATACTGAATATACTCTTCATATGCAGAAAAAAAATTAACTACAGAGACATGATTGCAGACCCCTTGAATAGAAAGCTTTCGTTTTCACAGCCATGACGCACAAGCTTTTTTAGATTTCCTTTTATTAAATTACTTAGAAATTGTATCACATCTATAAAAAAAACAGTAATTTAGCTTCACAAGTTTCCAGAGTAAAGAGGTCACACTTAAACGAGGATCTTATTCATGCCTCATTTATTTCCTTATTTTTTCATGGACGCATGAAGGAAAATATTTTCTTTTCTGGTTGATTTGGATCTGCTTGTATAGATGTGTATTTCATATGTAAGCTATCTACTATTATTATTGGAATAATGGAACAATAATTGTGGGAAATAAAGGTCATTGCATGTAAAAAGGATATCCATAACATCCTCATACCAGAGTAATTTATTTCCTTGTTTTGTTGTGCATATCACACACACCAATACATAAATAAGGTGTATACCGGTACTGATGGATATTCATTAGAATTTTTCTTATCTCAATCAGTATATTACACAATTGCATCTAAGCAAAGATTAGCCATACTTTTGCAAACGTGTGAGTGTGTGTGTGTATATTTGTGCGAGTGTGTACGGGTGGGTGGGGAGGGGGCTTGTGCATCATACAACAAAGGCTACAGAAATGTGCTATTAAAGCAATATTATGGCATTGTGTTTAAAACCAGGTACACTCCCGGATCCAAATACAAATAAACTAAAATTGCATTAATATATATGTCCCGGTAATTACATTTTGCATTTTACAGTAATGGAGTAGAGTCAGAAGATGAAATAAGATTCAGTGTGACACTTACGGTACTTTCTAAGATGTTTATCATGAGTAAGAGAAAGTAGAATACATGTAACTGCTTTACATCAATCTACCACAAAGTGCTTGCCAAGCAATATATTTTCTAAGAGGGCCAATACATATTAATGCATTCAAGTGACATTATAACAATGCATAAAATTAGATATGAAGAACACTTTTACTTTTGTAAGCTAATTACATGTATGTCTCATTGTCAGAATCATGTGTAAATGTCCATTTATATATATATAATGTACTCACATTGTGTTTAGGTAGTATGTTCATAAAAGTCAATTGTCAGTCAATATTATTATTATTATAAATTGCCTCCTGTATGACGTTGTTTGTACAGTTAAAACTAAATTTGTCATAAACTTATCCAACTTTTTAAATATGTGAAAAATTGATTTGTCCTGATTTATGTTTCTTTAGAATATAATATTAAAGTTTACATCAAAAAGTATTCAAAAGAGCTAGGCCCTTATTCAACACGTCCACCTTTCATTCTTGAGTTTTTGAAAAACAGGGGTAAAAACATCAAATTTACAAGGGGTATGAATAATTTAGTTGTTACATGTAAACTGTACATGTACATTTAATAGATCCATTAGGCGCAATACTTATATAATTTTGTAATAGATTTATAGTTCACTGTATCCCCCTTGATAACAATGTAGGCAGCACAAAATACATAGTTCAAACTTTATTCATGAAGTACATGTAGCTACTACTGATTAGTGTCCCTTGCATGATATGGCATTGTAAATAGGAAGCACGACTTCCTTTTAATTTGATCACCATTCTCATCATTCTCTGAACTAAACTAAAAACAAAAATCATTTCACTTTATAGAACTGTTCACCGTGGTAATTTCCCACCACAACCATTCTCCCATGCCAGCCAAACACTCAAGGTGAACGACAGCATTCTCTGACCTCGTTTCCTCTCAACATCAAAATTGTGAAGCAGTAATGGCCGACAAACTCCTGTGTACTTTTTACATGTACTACTAGATATGCGCAATCCTGTGTATGAACTTTTGGTTTGAGTCCGACCTTGAACATGAATGTCCTTTCTCTATATGCTCTCTTTTGATTTCCGGTTTGCATTGCTCTGTTTTAAGTCAAAATATATTTGTGCATATACCGGTATATATATATATATATATATATATATATATATATACAGATACAAATAAATTATTCAGACCCCTTTTAATTTTGATGTTTTATTTGTGGACTGGTTGAATTGGGGCCTATGTAGAATACTTTTAGATGCAAGCTTTCCTACGTCCAAAAAACCTAGAATGTTTCATCGCTGAGATTTTTGATCCAATGTGTGATGTATAATTTACTTGCTCATGTTTTAGCATTTACTTGAGAAAGTTATACATTTCGAAAGAATGTAAACTACACCATAAATCATGGAATTAAGAAGAACAAAATACACAATATACATGTATTGATGAATACAAACCTCTCAGTAAATTACATGTAGTTCTGCAGCATTTGGAATCCGAGCTCTCATCAAACTAGAAGTCTTTTAGATCGAAGGCCAGTATATCATTTCCTGGAACACAGAAAGTGAAAATATGCATTTAATGATCCACTTTCAAACACTCAGACAATCTTCTTCCTCATTTGATATTTTTGTACAATGATAGAGAAAGCGAAACTTGATGTCCATCTCCAAACGTATCTTCAAATGAGGATAATACACATTCACAGGGAGATAACGTCAAGTACAGTCATGGAGGTTTTTTTAAGGTAACAGCAATTACAGCAATTCACAATCTCGATAAAAATGTATAGTACAGCATCAATTAACTCTCTTGCATGTATTGCAAACTACACCATAAATCACATGTGATCTTGAAGTAAAACAAAATTCTGCACATATAATGATATACATGAATGATCATGATTAGTAGACCATGCACATGTACTTAGCAATGCCACCAAACAGTACCTGGATTTTTCTCCATACCATTTAAAGAGGCATACAATAGTGGGACTCACACACATAGGAATCTAGCTTTTTTCTTTGAATAAACCGCAATATCTCACGAAAAGTGCATATTTCTTTATTCAATAGTCATGCTTATTGGGCAAAGTGTTTTGCATGTGAACAAAAGCATAACAGTACTTGTCGAGAAGTTAGGTTTTTCCCCATTATGAATTGAGGCAAAAATAAAATGGGATTTGAATCGCGATCCAAATCTCACTTTATTTTGTGTGGGTGAAGGGGTTTAATGTAATCATGAAATAAAATATGTCTCTTTTATTAGAAACAATTTAAAAAACAATCACATTCAAGTAAAAGTGTCTGCAATATAATTGCAACGACTTCTGAATGGGCCTATGTAGTCATAAAATAAAATATGTCTCTTTTTTAGAAACACTTTAAAAAAAAAATCACATTTATGTAAAAGTGTCTTTAACATAATTGCAATGACTTTTGAACAAATCAATAGCCTTATATCCATCATTAGGATGTGTTTCACGCTCCAAACATGATTGATATGGGATTAAATAGGGTGATCTATAAACTGCCCCGAGTTTGTTTTAGGAGTCTCTGTTAAATTGTGTTCCTCACTTTTTTGCCTGATTTTTGTTGACTAATCTGTTTTGTTTGGGCCGGGGTGGACTGATTGTTTTCTGAATGAAAATTGCAAAGAGTCAATGGATGTAACAAGATCTGGAAATAAAAGCAGCGAGTGTGCATTAAAGGTTTTCCCACTGTCATCTAAATATTTATTTTGTATATTAGTAATGACATTGTAGAATCATTTAATGCCAGAATAAGAGTTAATATTCAGGGTAAACGACTCATTATGATTACATTATTTATTCTGAAGGGTCTCATCCTTCAATAGAAGTATTCCGAACCAATATAAATTCTGGAGAGAAGTATTTAAACAAGATATTTCTAGGACTGATTAATTGACAATAACTGGTCCACCCATTAGCTTCAATCAAACATCTGTCACATTTCTTATGTCAATAATGCAGTACATGTACTTAGACAGCGTTTTATGGTCCACACAGTTTTTAAAGGTAAAGAGCAGTTATGGTCATGCGATTGCATTGTGAAAGAAACGTTGTAGAATCGATCAGAAAGGTTGATCATCTAGCATCTAGCATCTGCAAGGTTCTGGAATCGTCAAAATGATAAGAAATTTGGCCCATTCTTCGTAAAGTTACAAGCACTATACACAGAAAGATGTATATGGGACTACCCTATATCTCTCACAGACCATGAGAGAAACAAATTTACCAAATATATGAATTAGTAGGCGGTTTCCCGGCAAATTTTGTATCATCATGTATTAGTCAAAACATATTCTTTCACATGATTGGTAATGAGAGCTTCCATTTCATTTTTTGAAATTGGGGCATTTCCAATACTGGTCTTTACCTTTAATAGAGATTCATGATTTGCTTTCTTTTCCGATGAAGTGAAGATATACATGTACATGTACATGTAGAGGTGAAGAGAATAGTTTAATGTTAAACACTGCCTAAAAATATAAAGCAGATTTTTGTTGTTATGTAGTTTCATAAACTCTTGTAAAATCCTTCAGAAGAGTTTACGATGATGTTAGTGGCTTATTACATGCACGCTCTTGTTTGTATAACAAATTACAAGTACAGTGTATTCTACAAGAGGTTTGGTTCTTTTTAAAAACATTTATCTATAATAATGCTGGTCTATATAATGAGCAAGATCTCACTGTATTTCCTTGTATGAAGATTTACAAGTCTGAACTTAAACATTTACCGACTTTGGTGACAAACAGGGAACAAATACAGGACTGCCACAGTGGACTGTTAATTGCCACACATATAGTGCATAGTGTACCGGTAAACAAATATACCACAAACTATGTGGTAGTCAAGGTTTTCCATCCATGGCAAATAAAGAGTTTAAAATGACTCGAGAATAAGTATGAAAGCTTTGGAATTTAAAATTACAGGTTTCCCTTTAAAATCAGTCGGTCACATTATATAAAAATTACCATTTCAATAGATTGAACTGAATAGACCACATGACACTACATGAACTATACTGTTATTGTTAGACAACCAGTTTGAGGAAGTAGATGCTTTAAAATATGAGTGATGTCGCAAGGAGTCTAAATGCATTGTAAACTACATACATGTACAGTATGTAGCACAATCATGTTGGAGTTAAAAATATGCATGTCTAGTGGAAAGAGTATTTGTACATCGTAAACCCGGCCCCCCCCCCCCCCACTCAGTGTTATTTAGGGTACGCATATGCTTGTTCCCTCTTTTTTAAAGCACCCCCTATCTGAGGACTGCCAACATTTCCGAACCCCCCTTTCGCAGGCTTGTCGCTGGCTTTTCCTGCCTTGGAGACCCCCCTAAATCATGAAAAATGCTCAATGTACCCCCTAAATTCGGAATAAACCTTTAAAAAAATTCGGAGTCCAAAGAGATGAGAAAAACAAAAGAAAAAACACCCCCATTTTAAAGAAATCTCCGGGTGAAAAGTTAATACACCCCTTTTTTTACAATTCTCGGGCCGGACTTTGTCGCACGGAAAGTACCCCTTTACCGGACATTTTGGTAACACGCATGGGGTCCGTCCGTTCTCGGAGAGGGGGGGGGCCGGGATCGTAAACTTGGTAAAAATTAGGTAAAAAAACGTAGCTGTGTCCCAGTACATATTTCGTAATTATGTTCACCATTTATTAAAAATTGAGCAATAAATCACCAAAGCTGGGCCTATGCTTGTCAAAAAGACATTCTGTAAAATCTATCTACAAAATACTGTATAATACATGTTCATCTAGGCTATTATGTCTTTTCTTGTAATCAAAACATGAAATCCCAGTGATTGTGACCATTGGATACATTTAAAAGTTTTGATCTGATAGCAGACATATGGACTAAACAATAATTTTTCATCAATGAGGTATAACCAGTCAGAAGGCTAGAAATGATGTCTGAATACAGGACTTGATGATTACAGGGATCTGATCTACAAGGGCCCTAAATATTTCAGCCCCTCCCTCTGTCAAAATATTTTAAAAGGGCCCAGGATTCCATTTGAAATACAAAATTGTGCTCAAGAACCACATGTCTATTGCAATTTAAGTTCGTGTTGTACATGTACATGTAGCCTTGCCTTTTTCATATTACATGTACAGCATAGTTATTTGAAATTGCCCACCTACACAAGTTTGCTATGCTACACTGTATGGTGGTCTAGACATTGCACATCGCTCTTGGGTTTTAGTTTCATAATGTGTACAAAATCATTCCATTTCCCAATTCTACAGTGCATTTCATAAACAAAGATTTGAATACACTGCATGCAGGGCTCGGTACTAACAGTTACCAAAGTCCAGACCACTTTTATTTCATAATGATAATCTTTACATAGGCCTCATGCATGTTTATACAGAGTCTTAAAAGGTAAATTTGGACCCCCTTCCAAAAAGGTTAGTCTGGAGCACTGTATGACATTTCAGACATAAAAATAAGAACAAAATTATATGAGGGTTCTATTAAGACCAAGTCACAATCGACGCCGATTGCTTGGGGATTTCCCCAAGAAACATAAAATTCTGTTCAAAGTGTCTCATCAATAACAGATAAAAATCAGGTCAGCAAACAAGTCATAAAACTGTAACCGACATGTACATGTAATCTTGAGTTAACATGCACTAGAAGTGGATCACAAATTAATATACCAATAAAAAAGATAAGTAGGAACTCTGTCGTAGACATTGACAACAAACCCTGAAAATCTTCTATATTACCGTAAATCAGAAATAAAGGCTAGCGTTCACAAAACATAGTTATCACTTATCACCCATATAATCTTGATTCTATCTCCATTTTGATTTATACTCCTTTTTCCATCAGGTATAAACAATTTAGTACATGACTTCTATGTGTACCTTTAGTAAAAAATCACACTATGTTTTGGTACAAAGATTTATTTGAAATTCAGTGTGAAGTGTTGTACAATTTTAGAATGCACATCTTTTTACCATGAAGATGCATGATTAACCCCTTTCCCTTGGGGAAGACGACATCATGAATTGGCAACGCACACGTATCTCCTCCCCCCCCCCCCCCCCCATTCTACCAATATTCCAGTCTTCTTTCCATATTAAACTCTCTCTTGATAATAATTCAGATATATATTAACACCATGGCAAATAGGACTACAGATATTTTGGTCCCAAAACAAATCTAACAAAAGAGTGGGGAGGGCTCCCCCCCCCCCCAGACTCCAGCCCATTACCATACTAAACATTTACTATCATACAGTAAATATGGGATTTACTGTTAACCCACATTCTCAAGATTAGAAGTCTACAATATTCCAAAGTAAATATCGCATTGGACATGTCATTGGCAAAGTTGTTTTGACATGGTACAATGTCCACATCAACCATTTCTCCTACTAAAAACAAGGAAATGATCATGGCTTTGATAAATCCGAGAACTCTTTCTTTGGAGGTACATATACAGATACAAAAAAAAACTGAAACAATCTTATGGGTATATTAAAATTGAAAGGTTTATAATCATCTGAAGGGATTTCTTGGTAAAAAAAAATCAAATTACATTAAATTACCGGTACATGCAATACATGCAGAAACTGGGATGACATATTGAGACTCCCTTGCAAAAAAAGAGCAGTATAACAAATTTGACATTCTTAATAGTAATTTCCTGGTTCAGAAAACATTCATACTTTATGACCTCCAATTCTCCATGAACTAATTCTTTAAACAAACCGGATAGTCCCTGTATAAAAACCTATACCTTTGTATGTAGGTGAATGAGAGAAATCAGTACTTAGTCAACCGGTTAAAAAGGGGGTTTTAGAAAACAGCACATCAGAGTCCCTGAACCATGCACTATGTACTACATGAAGCTGTATAGGCCTGGAATTGTAATGAGAATATATCTTCATGTACAAGAGCAAGTTGAAGAATTATTTAAAGCGATACTGAACTGATGAACTTTCTGGCCTAGCGTATTGTTTAATAGTGGACAGATCGAGCCATCTCATGGTCAACTTGCCAACAGTTCGTAACCAAATAGTAATCCCACTTCGCAGATAGACGACTAGGTGTGAAAAACAATAGCGCAACTAGGGAAGCAGCGAGTTACTGATGTCATGTGGTGAGGGGATTCGCGGTATTGCTTCTAGTACAGTATGGCTTTAGAATCATTCAAGTCAGTCAGAATTCACTTCCTTATATCAACAAATTGATTGTATTGTATATTTAATTTCCTCTCTCCAGGATGTATAAAATCATCAAAGAAAAGATATTTCATTAGCCATAGTTTCGAGTTTTGATTCTTTGTGTCATTGTTTAATTACATGTAGGCAAAATAATATTTCAATGGAAAAATCATGACAATAGATGTATCTGTCTTGTTTTAGGAAAAAGGAGCTGCTTTTGGTTGTAACGTATATCAAAACCTCTGATATCTTGGAGTGGGAAAAAGCTAACTGCATCACTATAATTCTCATGTCTGTGTCATGTTCCACTAGAGGAGTTTTCCCCTTACTGTTTACAAAAGTGTAAAGGGCACTTTTTCTACCTGTGGAAGTATTCTTCTTCTTTTTTTAATCTAGATGTATCATGCTACTCTGAAAATCATTATATCTATATTTCCAATTAGGATTAAATTACAAGGTCCACATGTACACATTACATGTATCTGCAACGTTGGTTTTGGATAAATAATAGAATATTTACAGGACACAGAAACAGAGCATCAATTTATAAGCACTTCAGCCAAGTTCAGGGGTTTTTAATGGGGGTGAACTTTGTACCACAACACGCCTTATTTAAATATTGCCTACATTGTACAATTACATGTTGTATACTTAAATACTTCACAGATCATTTCCTCATTTTACAGGTACAAGTTGTTTGCATAATACCAGGCTTGATGGCAAATCATAATCTACATCGATTGTGAGATTGTACACAGTATAATATCTAAAGCACCTGTGCTCTATATATCAATATTTCTATGAGAGGGTTATGATGTGGGAATATTCAAATCTAATCAAACTCTCTGTACAAAATAATATGGCAACAAAGACATATTTGATTCTACTCTCAGTCACAAAAACATAATTCTTTCATAATAAAATATATGTGGGTGAGAAATTGGCTATTAAAGATAAACTTTAGTACTGGTAATGCGATTGCATTGTGAAAGAAAAGGTGTGGAATGGATCAGAAAAGTTGATCATATAGCATGTAAGTAATGGTGTGTAATGCAAGGTTCTAGAGTCATCAAAATCATCATAAATTTGGCAGAGTCTTTGTAAAGTAACAATCACTTACACAGATAGATGTATATGGGACAACACACAACGTGTCGGGGCTAGTACTATCCTGATTTCCTTATCTTTCTATGCTCATTACTCAGCCAGTATACATTTTCTTCCAAAATTGTTTGGCACATGACATTTATTTGTAATCTTGAACATTTAGTGTAAGTTTCGTTAGATTCTGTGAGAATTCATTTTCGTTTTTTTTACCAGTACTCAAGTTTATCTTTAAGTTTGTTGATTTTTATACTGTGTTTTTTTAACGTTTCTCTTTTGAAACCTCCAACAAAATGTATGAATTATATAAAATAAACAGCGTAAAATTAAGTTAGTTTGATTTTTTTTCTTGAATTACTTTGTACATGTACATGTACAGGTATGCCCACAATAATATATAACATTTTCTCACAATTGTGGTATTAAAGTCTGTCGATTTTGACAGACATGGCACGTTTATGTTCATTATTATTATTATTTTTAATTACATATGAACATGTAAACTGACTATTCAGAGCCAAAAGGGCATTAAGTATACATGTGTTAAAGTACAGTAGATATGATTTAATGCCTTTCTGGCTCAAAGGAGAAGAAAATCAAATTACTATGAAATATAATACCTTGCCCTGATCTGATGACAATCAGCCTCTCCTGCAGTATAGGCCTACTATCAGTATCAAACGTCTTATTCTGGTACAGGATAACCTTGACCTGGAAATGATAAGGAACAAAAATAACCATGGAAACAAATATCCGCAGGCTTACAGTATATGTAGCAATTAGTGATTACCGTACATTTCAAAAGTTCATTTACATACAATTTCTCTAAAGCTCTGAAAACATTTTCTATAAAGATTTCATTGTTGATTCTACATCTAATTCATAAATAACAATATGAACAGTCTACTCATAATCCTAATACAATACAGTCCAACCTGTCTATAGCGACCACCCAAGGGAAACACAAAAAGTGGCCTTGTAGACAGGTGGTCTTTGTAGACAGGTTCCTTTAGTACACTGTACATGATTCAATGAGAAACCATTGACAAGGGAAACAACAAATGTTGCCTTTGTAGACAAGTGGTCTTTGTAGACAGGTGGTCACTAAAGCAGGTTTGACTGTAGCTGCTGTAAAGTTGTCCTACTTCTAATTGGAGTATTAAACACCAATGACAATAGTCCAAAATATGGCTGGTTTGATTTTAATTTGTGATTATGATCTCTCCCATCCCCCTACCTGCAGCAAGCAGAGGATGGAGTATGATCCACAAAGTCATATGCCCAGCTTGAAATTATCCTGCATTCAAATTCAGGGATAACGCCAGCAAGTACAAGGAGATCGTGTTGATAGAGATCGTTAAAATTGGCCAGACTCTGGACTACAGTACAATGGCAAATAAAATGAAAGATCCCTGGTCAGTCCAAATTAACATTAAATTTTTTCTTGGTTTTGGTAAATCTTTTCACCACCACCTGTACATGTACATTTAAACATACTGTACACTGTACACACATATTTGTACTTGCATATAAACCATCAAACAAAGAGGATCAACTTTTATTTCCTTATCATTCTGACCCATGCTATTAGTAAATACCTTACAGTAAACAGTACATAATCCATGTACACAACCAACTTAGTCATACCCTCACCAGGTTATGTTCCTTATTTATATTTCTTGAGAATATGACATATATTAGAGTTGATATCTAAAAGTTTTCAACAAAATCCCTATTCAACCAGTCCACCTTTTGTTCTTGAGATACAAAAAACATTAAATTTACAAGGGGTATATATGCAGGTTGTATATACAGTTTGTATATATTTTTGTTGGGGGGTAGGGGAGGGGCACAGGGACTTTACTATATGTGTACATGTACAGTGTACTATACCAAAAGACGAAGAGAATAAAATCTTATTTCCTTATTCTGACCCTTGCCATTAGTGTACATGTTAGTACTGTAAACACTTACAAATGTACATGTATAAAGTAATTATATAGTTTTTTCAATGTCATGTGGATTAATGTCTAATCTGTCATTTTATTTCCAAATGATTAAAAATATATCGTGAAACATTGACAAAGGTTCCACATACTAAACACTTGGATTCTGAGTAGTAAGAAACATTGTATGCTAAACTACAGTATATGATTCATATTCATATGGGTGTGCCTGACATTTAAAGCAAACCAACGACCAACAATAAAGCTTACACAGTAATACACACTGTAGATACATGTAAAGTTAACAATGACAAAGATCAAAGAAATACTTCAGGAAATAACGATGCCATTGATATTTTTAAAGTCTAGATATGTTACATCTGGATTCTCTGGAATCTATCTTCATAAAAATCAATTCTATTTTAGAATTCCAGAAACTTTCATGTATTTGAAAAATGTTAAGAGACAATTAAATTGTGTACAGGTACATACATGTAGCAAGAAACTTAAATGAGTTCAAGAAATTTAGCGTTTTATCAGTTGTTTTTGATAAAGTTTTGGTATTTGGTACATGTACATGTATGTACCAAACTGTGTACAAAATGAACTTACCACATATTTGAAACTGACATACTGTCTACTTAAAATGAGACAAGCATTAACTCACATTAATATGGGTAATTACCGGCCATGACATTTTGTAACATTAACTACAGTAATTGCATTCCCCAAAGATTTAATACACGTCCTTGCCCTTCTGTTTCTGAGCACTAGATAATGTCTACGTCTAAGGCTGGCTTTCAAAGTAAAAATAACTCTTAAAATGTAGAGGTGTCACGGTCTAGTGGATACGTCTATGGACTATTGATCATATGGTTTGTGGTTCGAGTCTAGCCATGGCACTAATGTCCTTTGGCAAGACGTTAATGTACATTTGCCACTCTCCACCTACATTGTAGGTGTTGAATGGGTACAAGTAGAAAGGAATTCTTTGAAAGCTTTAAGCACCGAAATCGGTAGCCTAGCAGAGCCTTCCGGTTAATATCAGAGTGCCTTGAGCACCTGGCATGGTGGATATACATGTATGCGCTATAAAAATATCCAATATTTGTATCATTATTATTATTATTATCGGTATATTTTTAAAATCCCTAGTAATCATCAATCAAACACTGTCAAAGTGTACTCCTAGTGTCCTACAGTGTACACGTACATGACAATGTAAATCAGTTTATCAATCACATGATCATTCCTCAGCTACTATTGACCAGGAATATGTGAAAGTCAGAGTAATTTATCATACAAAAAACATTACAATGTACATGTATACATGTATGGTCAATTCTATGCCCATGAAGAAGATACTCTCTGCGACTGCGGAGAGACTCAGACGGTGGATCACATCTTGCAGTGCGGCGGAACGGGTTGCACAGATGAAGACCTGACCCTCGTTAATGAAATGGCCATTGGGGCAATCGCGCGATGGAAGAACATAATTTAAATTAATTTCATTTTAATTAAGGAATTTTACCCAACTATCTAGATCTAAGGAGACACTAACGAACAAATTCTAGCGTAAAACGCATGACATTCAAATGCATAAAATTCAGATCTTATTTTATAACAGTTTCAATCCTTTGAATTTAGCCAATTCAACTAAAGAGGTTCAGGCGTTCTTTTGCTTGATACTAAATTTGCCACAGAATCAATATAATTAATAAAGTTATCATCAACTTTATGATTATTTGGGGGGCAAGTGAGCATTCGCCATGGAATTGCCAGTATATACGAGCCCACATTGTCTTCATATTTGCTAAGGATCATACCGTGTTAAGTTAGTAAGCAAATTCATAACCAGATGACAAGAGAGGAAGTTGGTAGGAAGCTTTATCTACCACTGTACACACATGCTACACAACACGCTATAATACCAATGTAATGAGGTACACGTACAGTCAGTACTCAGTACAATACATACTGTGTACTACATACAAGTATACATGTAGTCATACTGCATAAATATACATAACTGTACCTACTATACATGTATGATGTAAAGATAATGACTTACAATGCTTTTTGCTTTGTTTTGTTCAATATTTTGCCCTTGAATGCTTTTAAATTGAAATACCGGTACGATACATGTACTTTTAAAATCTTATACATGTACAATGTACAGTGTACACTGTGTGTACATGAACATGTAGCTGAATGCCACTGAAATATCAACTGTAGAGAGGAAAAGGAAAATCAGTCAAAGAATAATGATACTAGCATTTTTGTCATTTAATGGTGAAGCTCTTTATAAGAAACAGGTATTATTGTCAATACATATTCATGAATGTTCTAGAGGTACGTGTAATGAGCCATATTTAGAGACCAAAACGAAAATGAACACACCGACTATACAACCATGTTTGAATCACGACACCTTTTCTTTTCTCAGAAGGAAATCAATTAAAATTAACTAACCACAAGTTTTCACTTTATATTTCGGTGAAAGTGATACCAAGTACGTGTACAACAGGAAAGTGTGTCAAAAAAAGGAATACCGGTACAGACTTCTTTTCACAGTAGGAGTACATTTGAAGGAAGCTACCGTACTCCAAATACATTCTGGTTGCAAGTTTAAAGCATTACTTTATATCAACAATGCCCTCCAATTTCCCTATTACTCACTTGTTCCTTCCTCAACATTTTTGCTTCTTTTTTATTTCCTGCTTTAATGTTTTACTTTTTCCTTATAATCTAATCCCCTTTATAGACCTACATGTAAGTATAATTTATAGTCAAATCATTCAAACTATCTCTTATCATTATGTCGCATAGATTATAATGAAAATGTATTATCATGTGCAGATAAAGAGCTTCCACAGTATAAAGATCATACACTGTAGATCTGTCTATATTAAGACTGCCACCTTTAATTAATTAAATCAAATTTTATTTCTGTTTCCAACAAAACACTACAAATCCATTATAGTTGTTTACAACAATTAAGGAATATGTATTGGAAAAACAGGAGTCCACTAAAAAGCAATGCTTATGTAGGCCTACATTTAAAAAATTTGTAACTATAAAAAAAAAAGGAACGACCAGTACAAATATGGGGGAAAGGGGGTGCCAACAGAGACAAGAAAGGGACAGAGAACATGGTCACAATACAAAGAGTAAACAATGCCAAAAAAGAAGTGAGAGATCAGGGGTACAGAAAATGATACAAAAGGATGAGCTGCATGTGGGGTTGAGAAGATGAGAAAAGAGAAAGAAATATGCATGAGAAGGCACATATATATCAAATAACTTTTGAGTCAGTGAGTAGAAAATGACCTTGTTTTTTAAAAAATCAAACAAACAAACAGAAAGTAAATCCTTTCATTCAGAGCCAATAATCTTCAGCTACCAGTAAACCAACTCAATATTTTTATGATTATCAATTATATTGCTTACTGTCTCATTGGATCAGAACAAATTTAAGCCATTTCTAAGATGGACATGAGAATGAGTAGAGAATGAGTACAATAAGATAGACCTGGAAGCTTGACTGCTGTCTTAGCATTCTTCCAGAATTTGTGGTTAAGGAAAAGGTAAAGAAAGTTATTGATGTAAGCAGCTATCAACAACAGCATACATGTATACAGTACATGTACAATGTACACACAGTGATGCACAATTGTGCCAAGGAAGCAGAGACTTCTTCTTCTTCTTCCTTTTGAGTACAGACCTCTTTACAGAGTATTATCGTACTAAACTGTGTGCAGGAGGACCACTACACCGGGGTTTCCCCCTACTCTTATACGAATAGTGCACAGCCTTCATTTCCATAGATTGATTATATTATTTAGTCCCACAGCTGTTATTTTCATATGAATAATATATTTGCTATAATGAAACACATTTATCATAATGAAAATACATTCGCTATATAATGATTATACTTTGGCCATATTAAAAAACATTGGTGTCTCTTGAGAGATTTATTGGAAGGAAAAGTAGAAGGTACCAAACCAAAAGGGAAACCAAGAACTCACTGTACACACGCACTTCAGAAGGAAGTCTATGGAATTGGACACAACCCAAACTATGTTGCACGCAATGGTGAATGAACCGAAAGTTATCTTACAAGAAGGAAAAATCCAGTTCGTAATTGCCTATAATATTATCACGATTTATGTACGAGCAATTTATCCAACCAAGCTAAATGCAGCATGTATTCAGTAATTAAAAGTAAACAATGCAAGTGTATTTCAATAGTATTTAATTACATTAGTACTACTAACATGACATGAATGAATGACTTCCCGATTATATGTTTTCAGGAAAAGATGCGAATACTGAATAGTCTACACACATGACAAATAACATATTAGTCTGCAGATATATTAGACAAACTGTAGTTTGTGACAGTACAGGTGTAGTTAAATAGTGTAACTGATTTAATCCACCGTGAGTCAGTTTTACCTTACACCTGTCACACCCAACTTCAATGAAAGTTTAAAAAAAGAAAAACCGCGGTCTATCTATTTACACTTTGCATGCAGACGGTCCGCATACAAGACAGGCAGTCCCATTTACTACAAACCGCGTAAGCAAAAAAGAACAAGTATCCTTACCGAATCAAAGAAAAATAACAGCGTCCTTAATCCATAACTCGAAACTCGTAGAATCAGAACAGATAGTTTTCAGTTCTTCTGTCTGGTCACTTGAATTAAATATACACCTTCGGAAAATGAATGAGAATTTGCCACGAAAAACAGCATTTACGACATCTTTTCTACCCGGAAGTAAGAATAAAATCGCTGAAAGAGGCAGAAATGAATTGGAACTGCACTGGAGAAGCGTAAGAACGTCAAAATTGGTCCTTTTCTCCGTGTGTATGTCTGTCTAGTGGGTGCCAAAGTCATATGTGTGTGCGCTCTACGCGCACATGTACAGGTGAATGGGGGCGAGATCTCCATATGTTTGTATACAAAATACGTAATCAAAGACGCGACTGGGTGTTTGGGTGTGGGGAAGGGGGTAATGAAGAAGGGCGTGGCCGTTAGGATAGGTATTCGTGGCGCCGAGGTGGTATTTATTTTATTTTTTATTTATTTCTAATATTTTGACAGGGTAGCCCATTCACCAACAAGTAGTGGTCTTCCATGGGGCCCTGAATGAACATATTTACATCGTTTATAACATTTATACAGAACAGTTACAAAAATAATACTCGTTTGCAAAATAAATATAATCTTTAACCTAGTAAACAGTAATGTCAATAGGAAAATATTAATTAAGTCGCAATTATGTGAATAAGTCATGTAAATATTACAGAACATGCACGTAGTGTATGTACGGCTGAGCCATTCACAAATTACAACTTTGTTTAAACAATCTCTTAAATGAATTGACAGAGGAAGCCGTTCTCAATGAATTATCTAGCTTATTCCATTCAAATATGGAAGAAACAATTGGGCTACACTTATAACAATCAGTGTGAAATCTAGGCACACGTAAACATCCACTGTCTATTTGCCTTGTATGATGCTCATGCACATCATTAGGATTGATTAAGCCTACCTGAAGGTAAGAAGGTGCTAAGTTATGAACGCATTTAATTGATCGGCATCTCAAAAGCGCATAAGAAATTGACCAAATGAAGTGAACATCTCCTGAAGGCAGGCGCGTACGCAGGGGGGTGGGGGGGGGGGGGTGTTTGGGGGGTTAAAACCCCCTTTGGTATTTTGATGTGTGTAAACCCCCCTAAAAAATCCCTAAATCCCCCCCTTTTTTTTTTTTTTTTAATTATTTAAAAAAAAATTAAAAAAATCACCCCCATGGCTGACCTTACCCCCCCCCCAACGGAGCAAAATGTCAATTTTTTCAAATTTTGAGACAAAAAAAAAAAGTGTCCGCTTACCCCCCCCCCCCCCCCCTCCCCCCTCCCCCCTACTGAGCGACTTTTCGGCTGGCTGAGTCGTTGCGATTTTTTTTGGGCTCCCAAAAAAGAAAAAAAAAAGTGTCCGCCTACCCCCCCCCACTGAGCGACTTTTTGGCCGGCGCGATTTTCAAATTTTCCTGAGTCGTTGCGAAATTTTGGACCCGATTTTAACCCCCCCCCCCTTGAAAAAATCCTGCGTACGCCACTGCCTGAAGGTGTGACACAATCAGTAGTAAAGTTAGATCCAGAGTAAAAGAAGAAAGACAGTTCGCTGTGATAAATGTCATATGTTCATTTTCAAATAAATAGTGTCAGTATCATATAGCAGCTTTTTAGATTGATGTGCTTTTGTTATGTGGTTGCGTAGGCCTCACAGCTTAATGTTATGAACTCATTTTAGGTCTACCTTATAACGTATTTGAATGTATTTTACAAAATGAGCCTACTCTTGTTGTCGGCGGCGAATTTGGCAATCTGATACCCCCCCCCCCCCCTTTTTTTTTTTATTTTTTTTTTTTAGCAGTACCCAAATCCACTTATTATAAGTCTGAAGATTTCTCTTTTCTTTCGCTCGTTAGAATATATTGGGCAAAGATAAGATCGAAATTATTCCGACCACGCCCCCTTCAGTATGTTCTAGTGAAGCACCTGCTCAGTATGACACCACCCATTACAAAGTCTATAGACTATTGCCTATAAAGAGGGAATGACTTTTTCCTACTCTTTTTATGAAATGTTTGTTACAACATTGTGTGTTCGTGATAGATAACTATGCTTTCCTCTGCGAATTGTATTCATCACGAGATGAAGGTCATAGAGATAATGTCTATAATGTTATGAGAAGATATAAATTAATCCATCAAGAATAAATCTCATTTTCATAATTGTTTGTTCGAGCTTTATAGGCAACATAAATACCTCAGTCACACTCCCAAATCGACTTCATACCGATTTCAAACCAACCGATTCTGGCACATGCGGTTAAGTGAAAGATTTTGTTTGGTTTGATGTTGGTCTGGTGTCAGTCTTGTTGGCGTGACTGGGGCATATCTCTGACGAATAAACATCAATACCCATGTCGCAGTTGAGTGATTTGAATTAATCGCTGAAGTTCCTTCTAGGGAAGCCCTAACAAAGGAAGAAAAGAATAAGTAAGTTTCCCTCCTATTTTTCAAATTGTATGCGATATCATACTTATTTTGTTGACATCATTTCCAAATTTAGACTTGGCGACAATATATCGAAAGAGAATATTTTCTTAGGTTATGCTTGATTGACTGTAGAAAAGTGACATCATATTTATTGTCTGAATTGGTTGATACAGAGGTCGAATTCAGTTGAGTCAGAAAACGGAACAAAGTGTCTGAATATTCGGCGTCAAAATTCAATCAATCAAGTTGGTTTAATGTCATAGTGCCCTCATTGGTCATAATTCCAACCACGATGCAAAAACAAAACAAAACAAAATGAATTGTGATTTTACAAAAAATTCCTTTGAAACTTTAAAGATAAACTTTAGTACTGGTAATGCGATTGCATTGTGAAAGAAAAGGTTTGAAAGGATCAGAAACAGTTGATCATGTAGCATGTAAGTATTGGTGTGCACTGCAAGGTTCTGGAGTCATCAAAATCATAATAAATTTGACCGAGTCTTGGTAAAGTAACAACCACTCACATAGAAAGCTATATATGGGACAACACACATGGTGTCGGGGATGGTACTACCTTGGTTTCCTTGTCTTTCTATGCTCATTACTCAGCCAGTATACATTTTCTTCCAAAATTGTTTGGCACATGTCATTTATTTGTAATCTTGAACATTCAGTGTAAGTTTCGTTTGATTCTGTGAGAATTCATTTTTTTTTTTTTACCAGTACTGGAGTTTATCTTTAATGGTGAAAAGTAAATAGTCGGATACGAAATGGATCGTTCATTTCACAGATTCAACTTACTTTGTAAACGGTGGGTCATATTCTGGTATTTTCACCTCATTTAATTTTCATTCTTACCCCTTCCGTATCTTTCCTTTCTGTCTCTCTTACTCCTTATCATCTCCCTTTCTCCTTCTCTCTCTCTATCTCATCCTCCATCTCTTTACACTCTTTCTAAGATTGCATATTTCCCCGTTCTTTACTCTCTCTCTCTCTCCCCCTCTCTACCTCCCTTTCTGCACACTCTCTTTCTAAGATTATATATTTTCCTGTTCTTCACCCTCTTCACAGCCTCTCTCTCTTTCTCTATCTACCTCCTTTTTATCTTTACAATCTATCATAGAATAAATATTAACCTGTTTTTCTCTCTTTCTCTCTCTCTCTCTCTCTCTTTTATTCTACCATCCCTTCTATTATTTAAACAAGCATTTAAAGGTAATACAAAGTTTTGGTATGGGGTCATGAATCTGGTTCAAATGAACATATTGGAAGCATATGCGATCCTACAATATTTAGTGATCATTTTCGCGGTTGAAATCGAGTCTACAGTTATGAAATTGTAGATAATAAACTCTTTATGTTATATAGCTCCCTCTCAAGGTCAAGATATTAATTAAGCTATAAAACAATGTGTGTTGACTTAAGTCGACCGATTAACTATTCCCGTTAGGAAACTATATATATTACAATTACATATTCTGACAATTTCATGGTCGCAGCTATACCATTGTACGGCCGTAGGCGCTATTTAAAATTTATCAAAATTTACCGGGAGCACCGGTAAATTTTTGTATGTAGTTTTTCTCGAAAACAGAAATGTTTTAGGGGCTAAATTTTCTAGTGCTTTTAATGCATCCACAGGGGCATCCAAATATATCGAAATTGTAAAGAATCACTAACCACCCAATTTTCATAATTTCCCCAAACTTTGTATTGGTAGAAAGTTTGTTGTGTATTTTATGTATGCCAATTGGCTTTCAAAGAGGGGGGGGGGGGGGGGGGGGGGGGGGTAGGGGTGTCATGGACTGGTCTTACCGTAACTGTGTCCTTACCATTGTATCTTATATTACGTCAGTAGACCATATCTATTCAGGTTCCTTTTGAAAATGTCTTCGAATGTTTTCTTAGTGTAGTCTTCTTCTGCATATTACCTCCTGCTATGGTATCATGATAGAGAAACGTATGTACAAGAGAGAGATAGAGAGAGAGAGAGAGAGAGAGAGCGAGAGAGAGAGAGAGAGAGAGAGAGAGAGAGAGAGAGAGAGAGAGAGAGAGAGAGAGAGAGAGAGAGAGAGAGGGGTGACCCGGTGGGGTGGGGGGGGGGGGGGGGAGATGGTGAAAGTGAGGAAAGCGAGGCTCCATATCATTCGCGCCCGATATCATAATTAGTATCAGTTCGAGACCATACCATTTATCTACCACGACGACCTCCTGTACTTAAATCTGTACCGGAAGAGCATCTCAGCACACTCTGACTATTCGAGCAGTGCAGCTTAAAAATGTGTATGGAATCACCCAACACATGAGTCGGCGAAATGACTTTCTATATCCGAAACCTGAGATCCGTAATCAATACATTCGATGAACTATTGACAATAATGCAATGAAACTTGGTCGAATAATGAAAATAATGATTACTTCTCGATTGATGGATTTCTCCATTTTTTAAAAGATACTATTTCCCATTAAATTCCAACGGCACTTGCAAGATTTAATTTAGAGCATCCCTAAAAAAAGGGAGGCTTGAACATGTCTTTAAGTGGGAAAATAACGACTCTTAGTTGTCGACTCGACTTAGAGGTACTATGTCCCATTTGCAGGCCAAAAAAAATGAAAAAGTTAAATTCCAACTGCATTTGAAAGATAATACTAATTTAGAACAATCATATTAAATAATTTAGCTTCATATTTTGTAAAATGGAATCTGATATTATCTCTATAAACACCCTATAGACCGTGGCAAACTTACTTATTACCTCATTCATTATGTATGTTTATCATATGTTTATGTTTATCACTGTCCTGTTATATATTATTTGTATTG